GGTTACCATCAGGAAGGACTTTCCGTAACGTCTTTCTGAAAAACAAGGATGTGTTGCAGGACGCGAATGAGTTGCATTCAGCCAGAGGCCAGAGCTTAAAGTTGGATAGTGATGTGTCCTTCAGGAAATATTAGCTTGTAAGTATGTATAATATTTTGCAGCACCCAAGATGCGCACACCACCAGTCCCTGAATCATGCAGCTGCGAAAAGCCGATAGCGTTGAAAATTGGATTGGCATCATAACCCGCTTGCTGTACAATGGCCGAAACTTAAGGCCTCATGAAGAATGATAAAAATTGGATAACCTTACATTTCCTGGGGAATCAGTATCGAGTCCAACTTTCACCATTCCATGCGGAAGAGTGGCACCTACGCAAAAATCAACAGATGTCAAATATGCGCTGTAGGAGCAAACCGGGGAAAACATGTCCTCCATTGGTTGTGCCGATGAAAACATTGACGAGGCTTGCAGGGTCCGAGTCTGTGATAGTAGTGTTTCCTGGCGAAGATGACGCTTCGTCTGTCTGGGAGCGAACAGTTAATTTCGGACGCGAATGGGTGGCTAATCGCGTGTGTGAATGGGCACTTGAACCAGAGAGCAGAAAAAGTACAGAGAGCAGCACTAGCCAACGGGCCATATTGATGAAGATTCGGCACAAGTGAGAGCACTCTTATTAAAATCAACCGGCATTATAACAAGAGATATTCCCACATCTAGTATCATATTTCGCTGGTAACGAAGAAACCTTGTAATCCCAAGTTGGGTGATTTATGAGAACGATGATGTACGTACTCCATGTATAACAATTAAGCTGCAAATAGAACCCGAGTTCTAGCAAGGATAACGCATCCATTAAGCATACTGCGAGGACTGTCTCTTGCGCATCTGAGCAGACACTTAAAAGTCCGGCGTGAACGAAAGCATGGAGTCAATCGCAAATGAAAAAAAAAACTTGCGAGCTGCGCGCGAAATTGTCGCTCGCACAGTGGAGATGCGAAGGAAAAGAAATAAACCATCAGAAAATGCAGTGGAAGATCACAGGGCGAAAAGGTTGCTCCGAACTTGAGAGTTGAAGTATTAGTCCGACAAAGTCAGTTTGATTGAACAATGAGAGGGTGTAAGTTGGACTTTTGCCATTTAAGGCCAGCGACTCTAGTGGCACGGAGATAACGGGGTTTCCACAACATCGAAGTCTGCTAAGTACTTAACGGTGAACAACCCTGCGGCTTATTACAGTACGTCTCGAAGGCGTAGTAGTCTCTGACACGTATCAGTCATGTCAAAGACAGAACGCGAAGATGCTATATCAGCTATTGTAAGTTGTCCGACGGCTTGATAGTAGTCCGTTAGCGCTAACCGGGAATTCACTGTGCACCAGACATCCAAGATCTTCTCAGCCATGCTGGATGACCTAGCAATGGATGCGGCACTGCAGGCGCACCACCAGCTTCTGCGCAGTAGAGCAGTTTGTCGCATATGTCACACACGGTGCGTCATCAGTGCACTACCAGTGTGAAAACCCACTGACCTGTTGGCAGGTGTGGCTTGGGTATGTTGGCACTTTCGTCCGTCATTTACTATTCCTGACATATTATCCTTCCTCCATAAATCTAGTTCATCCAAATGGGGCCCAGACTATAACACCGCAATCGCAGTCTATCCTTCACGGCGATGTCGGAGGAAAGACGGCTTCAAGTACTGGAACCAACACTCCGAACGGAAGTAAATCCGACGGCAACATTTTTTTTGAATGCATGGTCTGCAAGCGTCAAGTAAGCACAGGGCTCAATGAACTTTATATGTTAAACTAAGTCGCCACTCTAGATCTCTTCTAATAGATTTGCCCCACACCTCAGCGCTTGTATGGGGACAGGGACCGGAAGCAGGCGTGCGGCTCCTCGCGGAACAAATCTTAAAGCAAAGTGAGCTACACGCCAATGTCACCGGTCAAACGTACTCAAAATGTCTTCAGAATTCCCATCGAACCTGGCCGGTCAGCGTCTCCATACCCAGGTTCAGAAAATGGCAATGTTTCAGATGATAACTCGAACGGTAAGGGCAAGGCAAAGAGCAAAGGAAAGCGAGCAGGTAACATACTTCTACTTTTTTGCCGATCAGGGAGTGTTTTGATAAACTTGTTGTAGATGACACGGACTTCCATCTGAAGCGAAAACGAGTAGGGACGACGCAACTCCTGTTTGGCCCCGATCTGAATTGCTGTTATTCTAGCCCATATCACCTCAGACATCACCAACGAAAAAGCCCACGAAGAAACTTAAAACAGCAGGTAAAACAGACTTGTTCTTTGCATCGTCTTCTCGTGATCTAAACTCTGACAGGGTCACCGGTGTCTCGCCTTAAAGCAGACCCTGACAGCAACGGCACGATTCCAAGCAACGTGCGAGTCCTTTTTATCATTTTATCCCTTCTTACCCGACTTTACCCAGACTCTTCAAGTCCCTTCATCGTCTTCCCAATCCAAAGTCCCGTCGAAACTTCGTTCCTCGTCTACTGCTTCTTTCCTTGAACGTGAACGTGACCGCTCTTCTACCCCAGGTTCTCAATCATCTGTTGGCACGCCCATTGCGTCAACGTCGTCCGCAATATCAGCGAGGAGCGTTGCAGGTACAGGTCCGCCGAAACGTGGGCGTCCCAAGGGTAGTAAGACAGGGACAGGCAGGGGTGCGTTGGCTGCCCAGCAGAAGCGCCCGAGTCCCCCAAGACCATTACTTCCCCCGCCACCGCCCCCGCCACCAGCGCCTGCTGTGAGAATTGAACAAGACTATCTTGTCGGTAAGTTTCAATGTTACATACATCATTGTCTCTACTTACTCATCAACCAATGGTGCCAGACGTCGAAGGAGACGAGACTGGGTCGTCGACCGATACAGACGGCTGATCGCCATTTTTTTCGGTCTTGTCATTTGTTGCGTGTGCGAACACTTCCTATCTATTTCTGCTCACACATGGACCAGTCCAGTCATGCTGTGTGCCATGTTTATGAAAGCAAGGTCATGATACCCTACTAATCTGTAATACTCTCCGCTGACAATGTTGTTGTTACATATGTTATGTGTTATATGTTATACAAGATGTGAAATTGATTGTTGAATTTATTAGACGCCTACACTTGTTGATATTGTTCATGCGCGGTACTTTCCATCAAAGGGTAAGTAGCCCAGGGAGCTCGAGAGTGAGTATCTTCACTGAGCGGATGTTGGTTGGGGTACAAGGGGCAGTTGACGAGGAAGAGGACTTGGAAGAGCGTTGGTTTATATTCACTAGTTTCGTCAACGCTGTTTCTTGTCTCCGAGGTAGTACAGGGTCAGAGTCGGGGTATGCCATGGACCAAGTTGATATCGTCATGATTGTCGGATGAAGACTAAAACTTTTAAAGGGCGCTGTGATAGTGAAACCTAGTCAAGACTGTCGTGCGCCTGTGTTTCAGTATTTCAGACAGTAATTGTGTAGATTAGGGCCAGGAGCTTTGGTATACTAGCCCAGTGCACTTGCAGATGGTTGTGACCATCAACAAGTATACATATAAGGGTGCAATGAATGTGTGAGAGAAAAATGACACGAGATATCGACTGAATATATCGGAATTATCGACGAGAATGATCATCAACTTCTCAACTTCGTCGCTGCGCAGGGTCACTGCTGGTTCAAATGATGAAGCGATGAGGGAGAGACCGGGATGAGAGACCGGGCATCCGAGCGAGCGTTTTGTAGAAGAAGAGTATCGTCGATGCCTGCCGGCCGGTCGGGTCATGATACAATGGTCGTAATCAATTGAATACGTTCCTGTAAATTCTGCCCATATTTTTGCCATCCGACAGTAATAACGATTCTGCCAAATCGATCAGAATTATGCCCATTAGTATACGCAAGATGTATAAAAGCTGGCCGTCGTCCTATAGTGTTGCCCCATCCTTGAAGACATCATTTGAGATCCCCCTCAGAAGAATCCATATCACCTCGCACAGAACATGCGTTTCTCCTTCCTCCCCGTTGTTGTTGCTTTGATAGCATCGATGACTGTCAGTGCATGTAGCCAAACACCTTGCACAACAAGTGCAGATTGTTGCACAAGCTATGTTTGTGGAATGGAAGTGAGTATGAGCTTGTCACCGTGCAACCAGACATTACTCACCTGCGCGCCTCAGAATGGTGGTTTGTTCTGCATGGCGGAGCCGGCAGTCCGAGCGTTACGTTACGACAGATCTGGAGCATAACCTGAAGCATAACCTATCGTCTACCAAAAGTGAGAGGTCAGGATGAGAGACCTGGAAAAAATGGAGGGCAAGGGTTGCTCGACATCGACACAATAGCTCAAAGGTTGTTTCGTCGCTGATAAGAAAAGATACGTAATGTTGTGGAGAAATACATTTGTACCGCCAAAACCGTGAAAGTCACCAGTTGCAGTTGATCATCGGTGATTAGCGATGTCGAGTTCGTCTCAAGTGGATATAATATAACACCTTGCAGTACGCTGCCTTCTGTGCTTGTCTCTGATCGCACTAACGGTAGTTCAGTGAACGTTAGCTATGTAGATGCTGTGACACGCATACCACCATTATTTCCGCGTCAAGTCTTGCCCATATCGTCCGCCCTATCCACACATATCGTTCCCCATCAAGCTTCACCGTATCGGTGTCATGTAAACCTTACCAAGGCCGCATCAGACGTGGCCTTTAGTCGCCTTAAGTCTCAATCGGAAACTAGTCAGAAGTGCAAACATCAATTTTCAGTGAAGCTAGTAGTGCAACAGCCGTGTCACGTCCGCGGCAGGCAAAAATGAGGCAGCGAACACAAGATCACAGAATGAAACAGCTCTTTCAATACTGGCAGCACGCAAATAGCACAAGTGGAGCAGTTTGGATTTCCGAATTGTGAAGAGTGGAGCACTGCGAAGAGATAGATTCAGAGACCGTTTAAATCAGTAATTCATGCGGGAGAACTCACGTATCATGAACTATACCCCTAACACAATACAGCCCGAGAGAACTCGGCACGTGGCAAACCCAGCAAACGTTTTCCATGCTACACACTGATGCCGGTCGACACATGCACACGCTCTTCAAAGGCAATTGAAGTCATGCCAGGACCCCTTTCGGAGTCAGCCACAAGCTTCGCGTGATATTCTCGAACGCCAAGGATCAGGCGTGGTCCCAGCACGCACATCACTGTGACTATGAAAGTTTGAGCCAAACCAAAATAAATCTGATGTTCCGTGACAACTGTGTCCTGTAGTAATGATCAACGACGTTCGCATGCAAAAGGCAGAGTCACATTCACATACCGCTATGGCCGTTAGAAGCGCATAAGGGAGGATAAAGCCAGAAACAACAACAAAACTGAAGGTGCAGAACTTCAGCGGAGAAAGGAGGATCATATTCGCATCCTCACCTCGCAAAGTAAATTACGTGAGTTTTTGTTAACACCGCGAAACAGTCTCTGACATCAAGCCATCCTGTCAACGGTCGCTGCAGCTCACGGAGGCGTTTGAAAGCAATCCGGATTGCGAGACATAATGCAAGGACCTCCCATACAGCGGGGAGAATCCAAGTCATCAAAGCCAGAAGTAGATTATCCGAGCCTTCTTGAAAGTCAGAAGCGCACTGAGCGATGCCAAAGAGGATGAACACTTCTGTGTTTGCAAATGAGCTTTACACATTCTAGTCCACCATTTCGCCAAAATGAAAGCTTACCCGACGAAACACGACTCGTAACCATTGCGGTGATCACTCCATCAGTAATGTTGACAGCCAGGAAAATGATGCTGAGAGATATCAGTACTTTTTTGGATTGCTGATGCAACGCATGTAACCGAGCGATCATGATGACTTGCACTATGCGTCAGTTCAGTCAAAATAATGCAGCTGCGTAGCTCACCACCCAACATTGCAGTCACCGCAACATTCAGCCAACATAGTGCGTCGAACATCGTACGGCCTAGAAAATCAAGTGATGTTGGTTAACAGCCTCAGATGATCACAGACTTTAGACAAACTCACAACTATGACAGTATTATGTTGAACCAAGAAGCTCGGTAACTCACTCACCCCTGCAGGGGAGTACAATTAATTGGATATGGATGGCAAGCAGCGGTGCAGAATACTCACTGAATCTGTCACTGAAGTTCTTGGAAGAGATACTGCATGCTGTCGATCAGAGGAAATATATGCAGTGTATGTGCATAGACATACACTGGATATTAATGCTGAGTATGAGAGTCAGCTGATTAACACAACACCGATTGCTTAGCCATCCAAACATACATAGCATGTGATATACCAGCACAACGGACCTAGAATATTGTCGAGTCGGTACAACGTCTTGACCACACTTCAACAACACGAAATACGTACACCGAGATACAGAACAGTCATGAATGACCAACGTTGCCTCTGCCGCGCGTTAATTGTATTTCCATGTGTTTTCTGAAGCGAGCTCTGCTCACCCAGACCAGTTCGACCTATAAATATGCGATCAGCGAGATGGTTGCTTCGGTAATGATACCGACCTACCTCTCGTCCGAACGTCAATGCTGGAACACACCATAAGTATACCAGTATACCGTGATACTTGAATACTATCTTGCTTACCCCAATCATACATCAGCCCAAAAGAGAAGGCAGCTGCAAAACCGCAGGGTTAGATTATCACATGGTCATGCTTCGTCCAACTGGTTCTCTACGAACCAACAACATAACTGGTCATTTGGGTCGAAAGCATGAACGGCCACCAGGCGGAATCATTTGATACTAGGGTCATGCTGTTAGAGGATGAATGTGCACCCAGTGATGGGCGGTCTTAGTCTGTGCTAAATATGAATCTCACCAGGCAGCGCATCACTGCCAAAACAAGAAGTTAACTATAGGAATGGTGTATATCCCTGCTTTGAATGCCTGAACGCCGATCAGCGCCAGCGCTCAGCTTCATCTCTACTTTGCTCACCCGGGCCGGGGAGCATAACAGGAGTCCAAGGTCACTCGACACGGTCACATTCTGTTGGCATGAAAGTAGAAAAGTCACAAGCGAAAAGTAGGGGAGATTCAAATAGAGCGAACGGATAAGTCACCTGTCCCACCCGGGCTGCTAACGACCCCTCAGATTATACCTCTCCATACCTACTAATTCTTGTGCTCCTCAGCACCTTCCGAGTCAAGTTTGTTGTGCTTTGCCGCAGCCATCGGACTATACTGTCACAAGTATAGTCAGCGCGGTGTGGCTCTGATGAAAACCAATGTAAAACACAGCATCAAATCAATCATGCACATGGTGATTATAGATGCACAGCCAGATACATTTCGAGGGATGTCAGCACTAGAACCATACGGTGATGGTGTCGGGCGTCAGTACATCAGTACCGTAGCGGCGTTACATATATAGTTTAAACTCCGCACGGGTCGGCCCCGCTGAGCCCCACCTCAAACATCTCACTTATTCTCGGCGAACTGCAAAAATATCAGATGCAAAATGTTAATTCTACCTTACTGGCACGGCAGCCACAGGCTGTTGTTGTGCTGCTGGAACTGGATAAACCACAAAGTTATCTCAGAGTTGTTCATCGATAGTTAACTCGTGCTTGACCCTTCTTGCGCTCTTCAACTTCGTACAGGTTTGTTCCGACTCGAACTTCAAAGCTTCAGTGACGGCCCGTTCATCCTCAGTGATTTGTTATCGGACTTTTCGCAGATCTAGGCACAGGTAGTAGGCCTGCGAACCAGTTATCTTCTTCAGCCTGCCCCCCAATCTCCACAGGCTGTTCTGTCCATCATGTCTGACAACCCATCATTCGTGCTCAAGGGCATCCTGGATACTGAGATCAAAAGCCAGTTCCAGAGAGTTAGTCTACTATCTTTGGCCAGTTCACGCTCGCTTACTTGATCGTTCTATCTTGTGAAGTTGGCGCCAATGAGATCCTCGTGGAAGTGAAGAAGACTGGTGCGTTCACAAAACCTCTTTGTCCCTCGTTATTCTCCCAAAGCTCATTCGTGGCGATGAAGGAATTTGCGGCACCGACGTATGCCCCTGTCAATTTTTTCTGTACCAGGACAACAAATCATCGCCTGCAGGTGCACTTTCTCGTCCATGGAAGTGTTGGCAATTTTATCGTAGAGAAGCCTATGGTCAGTTACTTTTTGTCGAAATTCATGACCAAGCCTCATCGTTAGCTATCAGGTGCTGGGTCATGAGTCAGCAGGCGTGGTGTCGAAAGGTAGGTCTATAGTTTATTTAGAATGATCATTTGTCGCAACCCTCGTTCTTTAGTTGGTCCCGGCGTGACCAATGTCAAGGTGGGTGACCGAGTGGCTATGGAACCTGCCGCAACATGCCGCAAGTGTGAAGCTTGCAAGGAAGGTCGCTACCAGGCGAGCATGGTTGTCCACCCCAATTTTAGTTTTTGACGCCCGAGAAGATCTGCCCCGATATCATATGTGCTGCTACTCCCCCCACAGACGGCACTCTCACTCGTTATTACCGCCTCCCGTCTGATCTCGCTTACCCACTTCCACCAAGTCCCAGTCTTGAGGATGGAGCACTGGTGAGCGATTGACCACAATGTATTTTATTTACTGTTGACCCTATTCTAGATGGAACCTCTTTCCGTGGCAGTCCATGCTGTCTCGAAACTCGGTGCTTTGCGGTCAAACCAGTCCGTTGCCGTCTTTGGTTGTGGACCAGTTGGACTTCTATGTATGGCCGTCGCGAAAGCTCTGGGTGCTTCCCGCGTTATTGCTGTGGATGTCATTCCTGACCGCCTCGAGTTTGCTAAAACATACGCTGCAACTGATACCTTCCTACCTCCTTCTATCGATAAGGGCGAGTCGGGGGTCGAGTTCTCAATACGCAATGCCCAGACAATGAAGGAGAAGCTTGGCATTGCTGAGAATGGATCTCGGGCGATTGACTTGGTTTTGGATGCTTCTGGCGTAGAGGTCGCTATCCAGACAGGTATCCGGATCGCCAAGAGTGGTGGTACCTTCGTTCAAGTAATTTGAAATCCACTGTAGTGAAAGATCTATCTGATTGGTTATGATTAGGTCGGCATAGGTAATCGCGATATCACCATTGACATGTTTGCTGTCCTTTGCAAGGAGCTCGTTCTCAAGGGTTCCTTACGTTACGGAGCAAGCACTCGCTGTTTTCTCCGTGGGATTACTTGATCTATCTCTAACAAAGCCTGGCGACTACTCTCTCGCCATTGCCCTTGTTGCATCAGGCAAGGTCGACGTCAAGTCCCTGGTATCGCACCGGTATGTCCACTATCGTAACTGCTATCCAATGTCGTGTTAACAGTCACAATAGTTTCTCATTCAGGCAGGCATGTGAGGCATTTGAAATCACTCGCAACGGCAAGAGTCCCGATGGAAAAGGGGTTATCAAGGTCATGATCTCCGGTCCTGACGTCGACATCAATGAGGTTTGAAAATCACAGCGTCTATCATGGACGCTACACCGAGGCGGATTTTTTGATGTTGTTCTGTTCTTGTGATCGCATTGAAAGTGGATCCAAGGGGGGTTGGTACATGACGTTGACACGAATGGCTTCCACAGGAACAAACACTCTATGTAAATATACACTACTCTATGGCCAAAAATTTGATGTCCGAATCGAGGTGTCTATAACATTCTTTGATGGCTTCTCTAGGTTCACACAGAACTTGAAACGCGCACAGGCAGAGACGAGGGGAAGAAGAGCCAAAGGACGAACATGGCCACATTTTGAGAGACTGTTACATAGCAGAAGACTCTCATGCCGTCCTTGTTTGAGATTATACCGGTGATGAAGGGGAGCACGGCTTAAACACTTCGGTTAGCCTGAAAGAGTATAACACAAGTCGAATAACGTACCACTTCCTGCGCTAGCAACAGCAGTGCTGATATAGAAGTCCCGGTCAGTTATGTCTGGAATGCTGTGACGAGGCCACTCACAGAATAGCCATTGAAACCATGTGCACGTCTCTCGGAAGGATATCGTTACAAAGGCCCAGTGTCCCGGGAAATATAGGCCCATACATCAAACCCACCACGGCGGATGAAAGGGCGTTCTCGATTGTCGAGTCAACAAACCAAATAAGGATGGTCATGAGGAAGGAAACGCCTGGATATTGTTATGAAGTCAGGGTGTCAGTCTGAGGAGCAGGCCCTCATCGACGAACCTCTGAAGGTTAGCAATCAGTAACTTTTCAGAGTCATAAATGGAGTGACGGACGTGCATGCATGAATAATGCGTTTGCGTTGGGTAAAGGTCAAGCTGCCGAACACATCAAAAATTAGACAAGGCCATGAGGATGCCCTGCGACCGACCTTGTGCAATAGTATCCCCATAAAATTCTGCCAGCGGCCATACCTCCCCAAAAGCCACTACTGACGTATCCGACAGTATTTGGACTAGAACCCTGGTGCATGTTCAAAATGGGACAGTAGTAACTAGATAAACAGAAACACACTCGATTGGTAAGGAGATAGGTAACGATCTGCGAGAACTCATTCAAGATTCTGTTCAGTGCTCAAGTCCGAATGGACAACTCACAAATCCTTGAAAAGTGGTTTCGCTACCGCTGTAAATAAACGCGAACAACGAAAAGGCCCATTGGTATGGCATCGACAAAGCCAGGAAGAGAGCTAGGAGAATATTAGTATTGCAGATTATGTTCAGCAACAGTGACCGCACTATTGGGTGGGGACTGAGTATCAACACGGCGGGTAGAGGAATCTCGGACTTTCTCTGCATGCGATGGTTGTATCGTCGTGTCAGTCCCAGGGCTGTTGGCACTCTGCGTAATTTTCATAGCGTCGAGTGCGACCTTGCAGTCTGCCAGAAACTCGTTGCGTGTCGGACGGAAAGAAAAGATGATCAAGCTTAAAGCAACTGCAGAAATAACTAAGGAGCCAAGATAAAAATGCTTCCAGGGAATTCCCTCTGCCATGAGTGTTTGGCACACAAGCGGCGCTGAAAATGACCCAATACCTGAAAGACATGAGCAGCATTATCATACAGACACACATCACTGCTTACACCAACATCCCAGTAAAACCCCAAGGGGCTTCTTGGGTGTAGACACAACGTAAAAATTCCTGCAACTTTTTAGCATCAGGAAGATACCATAGCGCAACGCTCACGATGATGCTAAAACAACCCGCATAAGTGAAACATTAAGATCAAAACAAGTGCTCACCGGTCCAGAAAGAGCGTGCAAACGCGGCAATAGCATATGCCAGAAATAACGCGGGATAATTACGAGCGGTACCCATGACAACAAAGAACAGAGGATGAAGGAGACCTCCAAGGACGAGCAAGGAAAATCGTGCTTTTGCGGGTGAATATCCGACACCGCAAGGGAGAGCTGCTGACACATTCCTGGTGAACAGGCGATCAAAAAACGGAACGGCGGGAAAATAGGTGTGTTGATCCAAAGTCGGGTAAAATTGACCAAGGAAGTCGACGATTCGTTCAAGCAGGATGGTGCCGATCACAGACCTAAGGGATAATTATCGGTATTTTATAGATATTTTGGCGAGAGAAGCTTACCCGACCGTACTGCCTGTAAACAATAAGGAGCACATCGTATAGCTCAAACCAAAGTCTTTCTCGAATGCTGGTAGAACAACGCTGAATAAGACATCAGGAGCAAACCGAAAACAAACATACAGGGAAGAACAGTAGCGGTGACTAAGAAGTTTGATGAGCGTGGTTTACAAACTTAAACCGTGGACTGACCTCCATCACCCCATCCGCAGACAAAATATATGAAGTAGGTAGTCAATAATCTTTGAGTCACATGCTCGAACTCAAGGCTAGGTGTCGACACCTCTACCTCCTTTTCGAATGAATTTTTGCGACTCCACGCATCAGTGGGGAAAACGTTTACATACGTAGCCGTCGAGGGGGTTCTTGCCAAGGACTCAGGAGAGAAAGCGTTTTCGTGATCGTCCAGACCAGGATGGGACAATTGCGTAATAGTTTTTTCGAAAGTTGCGCCGGTTTTCGAAGACTCTGTCAACAATCGAGTCTCGACTACAATATTCGCGCCAAGTGAATGCCCATGATGAGCATCATGTGATAAAAATGATGGGGCAACAGGCAGTTTATTGGGCGGATACCAACAGCGATCAGGAAGTGTGATTAATTCTGGGTGGGAGTCAGTGACTTGCGACTGCGGAGAATCCATGAGGATGTTCGGTGAAAGACGTCCACTCACAGAGAGCAATTTTATAGTAGCTTTGAGGTAGACATAGGGACATTCAAGCCCCGCCAAGTGGTGCTGAGATTCTACGTGTGAGAGAGATATATGAGCGTATGAAGCCTCTGGAATGTATGTGGAGTCGCAATCGGGCCGTGAAGCTCGATTCAAGTAGTCAGTTTTCCTTGAAATTCCCTGCTTGCATGCCTCTATCTATCCATATGATGTAGATTGATGTGTGGGCAACTAGTACGTACCCGTGATATGTGCAGCTGAGACTCTGACATGTTGCCGGCCGAAAAAGATACGCGCAAGTTAACCATAACTAGCAGAGGATATTCCTATTAAGAACGTATCAACAAACTGTTTGGGGCCTGTGGTTCCGAGCAGGAGTACTGGTTGTGGGTACAATTTGGAGGTCAGACCACCGTACAAGGTCGTATGCATCGTCATCTAGAAGCAGTGGTCACCTTCAGTAAGCAATTATGCTACCACATAGAGCGATTTTAGTATTTTAGATACAAGAACTTACCAGTTGGAGTTCTCGGATATTGAGTCTTCAGCGTTGTAAGCGTTGAAGTCAAAGAAGGGAATCCTAAAAAGGCAAACTACTTGGTTTGACGAAGTCCTGCTCGTGGTTCTCATACTGAGTTACTTGGCTGCATATTATATCACACTTGGAAATTTTTCACTTACCATATAGATAGTTCTAACCGACCGCTTCCCAGCATCCTCGATGAAAAAAAGTCTGCCTCACACTAGCGAGTCACGACATATTTGGTTGTCTTACCCATATCCAATTTGCTGGTTTTTGGCTTAGGCCAGCTCACTTGAAGTTGAGGTCGGCGGATCTACAATGAGCACGCGGAACACCGACTGATCCACTTAATTGACTCTAGTGAAGAATGGAAACTCGTGAGTCGGCGTCCACTGGCACACTTCAAGTTCAATATAACTTCTTTATCAGAAATAACTTGAACTGGTTAGTTCGTTGAAGACGTATACGTTGCACTCATTTGTATGCATAGGCAACTACATTCGTTCGGCGCTCCCACTGGTCCAAAAGAGTATGCAACTTTTGCATGTTTCTTTCCTGGATGAATCAGGTTACCACACTATTTTTCCGACACGGAGCATGATATATCAAGGTTCGAGGAATGCTGTTGCTCAAAAGTATCACATTTGCTTCATTTAAGGAGGGCTCCACCTCTGTGCACATGTTCGAGACACTTCCAAACAAGTATTGGACACCAATTGGCAGGGTGAACATCTGTTTGTGGAATCTATACGACGAACGGACTACTCCCAACCTATATCTTTGTGAATATTGCTGCGAGTTTCATGATTCCGGCATGCCATGCCATTGTTACTCCGATACTGATTATTCGAGAGCTTATTATCATCGTGGTCACACTTTTAATTATAGACCTTAGTCGGGCGCTTGAGGGAAATTATTCTCACGGTTAGAACAGTGCGGCAAACACAAAAGCTGTGGTGACCGCTGGTGGTGGCTATCTTACAATTAGTTGTGACAAGTACTGCCATCGCGCCCAAGCTGTGATCTCACACTCTTTTCTATCATTACACTCGCAGGACGATCCGAAACATTCACAAATTTCTTAAACTCACTCTCTTTTCATCTCCCAACAATGTCACGCCCGTTCACAACCTACGGGGATCACTCAACAGACTATCTATCCACACAACATCCCGATTCATCTTCTTCAGACTACTTCAAGTCTTCGTATAACGACGACGTCAGCGATCTCATTGACCAATATGCGGAGCCGTATTCAAGAACTTCACGGCATCAGACTTTTGCTGTATCGACTGACCCATTGGACGATTCATCTGATTCACGAGACCGCTCTTTCTCTATGGACCAGAAAGTATCATATCCGGTTGATAAAGTTGTAGAGGATGATGCCGAACTAGACCCTTCGAATCATGACTACCCTCCAACACCGAAGCAGGAGAAGCCGATCGACACCAGGAGTTGTTGGGCAAAAGTCAGCACTACTGTCTCGCAGATACCAGTTGTTTTTACTGAAATTCATCTAGATTCTTCCCGACTCCTGGGCATGTCGACTGTTTGTCCTAACTGTGGTGGTCGAGACCGCAGTGGATCTGGCCATCGAGAGTGACTTGTTTGTTCGATTGCAGGATGACTCGGGAAAACTGGCAGTATATCTCAGCGTATTCGCACTTGCCCAGTACGTGTTCGAACATCTTTCAACGTCTTAATTTGACGTCATTTTACAATTTAGTATCTTCCAACTTGTCATGGCGGTTGATGCAGTGTATGCGCGCAATACTCTGCAATTTTTGTCTCTCATGTAAGCACACATCTAACTTTTTCCTTACAATGGCATATTTCTGACACTTGGTTTACAGCATATTCAACCTTCTTTTCCTGCTATACGCCGTTATTGAAATCGGCGAAATCAAGAACTCGACAACAACTTCCGCCGGCTTTGTACATGTACCAGTGACTGTTCTCACTGACATCATACCTGCCGTCATATCCACCGCGGAGATAGCATACATCGGTCTTGGTTGGAAAATCTATAACGAGTTCGGCTGGAAGGTTTACAAGTTTCTGGGTGCCGACCGCCGCATCAAGAAAATGTATGCCACATATCAGATCTTCGAATGTCTTGTCAAGTTCGACGTTTTCTTTTGGGTCGGCTTCTCCGTGCAGTTCATATGGTTGGTCCTCCAGAAGAACGATTGGGAGTACTACGTTACCTGGGCAGCTCTCCCGTTATCAATTCTCCTCCTCATCGAAGGCCACCTTGCTGTGCGTCACGAGAATAAGTGGATGATGGGAACTTTTATATTTGGAAGTATAGGCGCTCTGGTCTATTTCTCATACAAAGTGAGTTCTTTTAACAAACTTGCTGCGCAGAGCTCGTTTGCTTATGACGTTTCAGCTTTTCCGGGTCCTTCAGTACAGGACCACGCAATATGCCTCGTACTGGAAACCACTCACCACGTTCTGTAAGTCCTTTGATATATAAATTTTACTGGCAGCTCACGATAATGGTAGCTGCAATCGCAATCGTCCTTCTCGTCATCACGATCATCTTTTCTGTCTTAGTGATGCGTAATTTCGGTCGAGGACTGAAGGCATCAAGTCAGTGATTTCTTTCCCTTCATGGTTTCTTTGACTGATGCGCTGTGTGACAGTTGCAAGAAGTAAAACTCACACACAAGGACATGGCTCTCAACACTTGAACCGAGGACCAATGAGCGCGAACCCAAACCGGATGAGCATCGAATAAAAGCGCACGGACGTAACAGCCACGGACTTGCTTGTATTCTATAGCGCTATTTGCCACTCTTTCGGTTTGACATACTACCCTAACCTTGCCCCGACCAAGATCACATTTGCATTGACGTGTCATCTTCGCATTGCCATGTTTCGCGTTCTTTAGTTTCTTGATTTATAGGTATAAATATTACGAATATATCTGCACGCATGCCAGTAGCATGCATCGCTCTCCGATCTGGATCTGGAGGCTTTGTGTTTCTTCTGGTATTCGTTTTTTTACCCTCCTTTGGAGTTACCTATGCTTTGTGGATATTTTCATGTATCGATGGTATTACAAGATTTACTAGTACATAGTATCACAAGCTAAACGAACTTGGGTAGAACGTGTGACGTGGAAGATGGTGTACTTCATTTTTGTCAATTGGACCCGCATACACATCGCCGTCTTCAGCCTCGGCTGTGTTGAGTCGAAGGGCTTTTAGTAATATTGTTGTTCTCTTTCGAATTCACCCGTTGGTCGGGAAGCGTGGAGCTGGTCTTATACACACCACTATATGTCCCAAAGGTGAGGCACTCCCAGGACCTCCTTTGCACTCTTCATTAATTAATGCTTCAGATACAGAGCAACAAGTGCAGCGCTACGAGACCGTTCAGCTCTCCTGGGTGTGACACCCCCAGCTTCGGGACGCTCCTCACCGTATAACAGCCCGAACCCAGGGCCATCTGGCCACCGCTACGTGGATGACTTGGAAGGTCAGAATGACGAGGCGTTGGAAGGCCTGGCAGCCAAGGTGAAGCTGCTCAAGGATGTAAGTGGTGCTTCCCGTCTCGCCCGTCCATCAAACTCATCGTTTTCACACGAAGATCACCGTTGGCATTGGAAACGAGGTCCGAGAATCGACTGTACAACTCAGTCAGATGGTACGTGCATACTGTTGTTCTACTCATCAGCGGCTCCCAACTTATCATGCGCTCTGTAGAATGACGCATTCGCGGAGACCTCGGGCATCCTAGCTGGCACATTCCGTCGTATGAACAACATGGCACAGCGGCAGGGTTGTCGATGGTTATGGTACATTCTATTTCTCGTGCTTGTATTCTGGTTCTTCATCGTTGTATGGTGGTTTCGGCGGTGACAATCACCCACTACGGGCGTTTATCAATATATCTGGATCAACAGCTTGCTCGGTGTGCCTCTCTTGTCATCCAAATCACCCCATTTCCGTATCCACAGTAAATGCTAATGCAGAGTATCATAAAATCATATAAAGAGTAATGCGTGGAAGCCCATTGTCATGGGCCGTCCAGGAACTTGGCATGGCCAATTTCCCAAATCATCCGCCGCCGCAAGTAGGTCATGTCCCGCTGCGAGAAACGGAATCCTTCCTCCCCTCTGGACAAGGATTCCAAGAACTGGCATGTAAATACGCCACAGTCATAACCATTCTCCTGTTGTGGTGTGTCCTCAGGATTGTGATTCTGCCACCCAGTGAAGTCAAAAGGTTTCTTTCGCTTGTTTCTGTGTTCCGAGTCCAGATAACTTCGCAAGGCCTTGAGGGACAGTATAAGGACCTTCCTGGGCACGCCAAGGCAAGTTAACGTACCTTGAAGACTTGATGTCGGTCAAGATTCATGCTGTCATATGACTCTATCCGCTTCTGACGGAAGTTTATGGCAGCCCCGGTCCAGTGAGAATTGTTGTGGTTGATAGGAATAAGGATGATATCTTTCGAAAAGATATCAATCTGTATGTGGAATGAGAAATCATCTTCAATTTCACTGGGCAGTAACGGACCTTCTTTGTCCATTTCGCTAGCCGCCCCTGCTCATACCCCTCATTTTTCAGCTTTGGCCAAAAGAAGGTGCTAAAATAGTGGACATCCAGCATCTTTCTCTTTGCGGTAGGGTCGCGGTTGGACTCCGAGCGCGTCAAGATCATTGCACCATAAAAGTTCATAATTTCGTCGTTCAACCACTGACTGGGCAGTAACCGAGATATATCTCGATCATTAACAGATTCTCGAGCAACCTTGGAAATTACTCCTTTCTTGCACAGGAGCGCGTTGACTTGGGTGTCAGCATCAGGAGGGAGAGCCTTGGGTAGCCTTGGCCGCAGACGTTTCTCAATAGCCTCATCTCTGTGACGTGCCGATAAACGGAGACGATCGTGTGAGGGAGAAAATGGTTTGGGTGGCGGACTATAGAAAATCGATTCAGCGAGGAAGACATGCAAGAGATACCCTCATACAGCTCAAATGACTTTTTGGCCTTTCTAAGTGCACGTTCCAGGAAGTCGGGATCAACATCCTGGCACAATTTAGCACAGCAGCAAACAAAGTATGCACACGCTCACATCTGAGAAGGAGTGCCTACGGGAGTGCCCAGGTAATGACTGCTTTGCGCGCAGATCTGTCAGTGATGGTGAAGCTACGCACGACGTCGTAAGTGTGCTAAACTGAAGTAATAAGAATCACGCACGCGAAAGTGCATGTCGTTCAAGAATTTCAAGTCGAGCTTGGTAATTAATCAAAGCTGAAATTCATGAAAATTAGATGTAGACATGAACAAGACAGAATGGACGCACATTTAAAAGAGTCAAAATCTGAGGTATATCCTAATCAGAGTGAGAGATAGAGCATCAAGAAAAGTACTAGCGTGCTGACCGGTAGAACGTTTGTAATGGAAGAGTTCTTGCACCAGCTCTTCGCGGTCCTTTTTCCTATCTTCTTGTACTTTGGCTCTGTGCTACGGCATCGGTGGATAGTGAGATATAGGAACCGGTTAGCATTGCTCATACACTCACAACACGAGCGTATATATGATCTCGACTCTGCCGAGGGCGAATGCCGCCCACCACACCTCGTCTGTGCACGGAATTTCCTATGAAGTCGTAAGACTGGCTGTGTTGAATGTGTTCCTTCGATGTCGAGGGAACCGGGGTGACGGAGGTGTGTCCGGTGAGGGTTGATGGAGGTGAGTTCCCGTTTCCATTGAGTGCATTCGAGGATTCTGAACACGATAGTAAAGAAGATGAAAGCCGCGAGAGACCTGCTACTGGTTGTGAATCTTTGGGTTTGTGGAACTCTTCTGGTATAGACTGACGAGGTGGCAAAGCCAGGTGGGTAGCTTGCGAGGGTAAAAAGCCAGTTTGATTAGGTTTTTCCGACTGTTGTGACGTGATTTGAGATCTACCTGGATTTTGAGAGGCTTTGAACACGTTGTTAGTGAACGATCGTGTCTGGCAATATAGAACTAATCTCACAGTTCATGAGGGACAGGTATCCGAGGCGGACCGTTTCGTAGCCAAGTGTGAATGCGTCAGTTCCGAGTTGACGCCAACGATTCCAAATGCCCTGGTTCTCTTCTGTGCGTTGGTATTTAGCAGAACGCACTGGGAGTAGAGAATCTGCGGCCTGTCTCTTCCGACTGGTCATCCGAGCAAACGCTAAGAATGGAAGGGAGATATTTTGAAAGACTTGTGGCACGGAGCCAGCTCGAGGCTGAGCTCAATGAATAGCCGCGAGGACAGACAGACTCGTCAAAGCAACGTGTTCTTGACGGTGGTTATGTGCAATCACGATCAAGACTAAGTTGTAAAGTCTTGTCAAGCTTTAACAGCGTCAAAGCACAGCACAACAACTTTCTCAAGAGCACTTGATTATATAATCAAATTCTAATTTTAGTCGTGGGCTCGCTTGGCTCAGTTGGTTAGAGCGCAGGTCTCATACATGTCGTATGACGAGCGTAGACTCGGTAATCCTGAGGTCGCAAGTTCGAACCTTGCAGCGAGCACTGTCTTTTTGATATTACATTCGGAAATTAGACTCTAATTTAGACTTAAACACATAAGGTTATTTCTCCACAAGTCACGATTCTTCTTGTTTTCTAACAATGATTTCTTCACAAAGCTGTGCGCGGTACAAGACAAATTATCAGCGTGTAGTGCCGCTGTCACGTTCCTCAGGCGCTCTGTTCTAGTACATCGAACAAGGCAGCCCATCTTGGCAGCCATATGCTGATAACTGAGAAGCCCTCTTGCTACCAGTAAAAACTGTGCGGCGGGATCTGGTGCAACATCGTGTTCCGGTCAAACAATTGGCAATTGCTGCGGTCAGACCTTTCTGGTTGAACCTTTTGAACAGTAGTGTTTAGATGCCAGGATGTGTGGTGGGATGAGAACAAGCAGACAAAGATGAGTGTTTTCACTGAAGAATCATTTGCATTGAAGGTTTGGCAAAGATATGACTATTCAAACATACCCTCCAAAACCATTCGAATTAAAGACTGGAACCCGGCGGAGGCACTTCGAGATGTCATGAGAATGAGAACATACAGCCCCCTCCCCTCTTGGATCTGGATTCCGAGCTTTATCCAATTTCTGACCCATCGCATCAGAAGTTCCGTCTCCTTTACAAAGTGGCTGGACCTGAAGTGCTCGCTTGTATAAAAATCAACATCACTGATCACCCACTCAAGGGTTTCCCCTCTGTATAACCTCGTGCAATGCCCTCCAGGACGAGATCGTTCGAGCTCACCAGCTTCCATTGGTTCCCTGTAGGGAGCGACTTATTTTTTGGCCCTTTGGTAAGATGCAAGGTGGTTGTACTTGTTCGTTGGTTGTGGATTCTAATACCTAGGCTGGCACTTCCTGTCGGCGGCCTATCACGTAGCGTTTCCCGTGGCATATTCTATGAACGAAGCTGTGAAATATTCTCTGTTCTACGCATTGCTGGGCACACTGGTACGCAGTACGGGATGTATCAGAAATGACATGCGACTTCGATCGCAAAGTGGGTACTCAGTTCAGTCCTGACTGTGTCTCCAAACACTGGGATGGAACATTCAAAGGGCCTACAATTGTGTCAGGAGCTATCTCTAGGTCGGAGGCTTCAGTTCTTCTGGCTTTCTCGTCGCTACTATCTTTTAAATGTTTTCGACTACTTTCTCCGCACGTGAGTAGTCAAGAATTGTTAGACTTCTCTCACAGACTATTGTTTTTAGTTTCACCTTTCATTCAATGTCGTTGGGTTCTCTGTGTGTGGTGGTAGTATCCGATGATGAAGCGCTAGATATAATGGCCTTCTTTGTTCTCTGTACGGCTTTTTATGCAGAAGTTTACTGTCTTACCTGGTTCTAAGGCTTTCCTTGCAGCTCGGCCGTGCCATCCACCTGAATTGCAACGACGGGCCAGGTCAATTGGGACGTCATCCTGACCATCTCAATTGCGTCGTGCTGGTAAGTATGGAGACGGCTGCTTATCATGAGTCACTGGCAGCGCCTCAGTAGCTGGACATCGTTTCGGACCAGAAGGCGTGCGCTGATTACATCGCCTCAGGGCAGGAAAGATAACGACATGGCGGGAGTCAAGTCCATAGCAGTCAGTCTGGGCACATGTATTCATCCAGCATCGAGTTTATTTGATTTGGCACTTTTGGGGTGCCTTTCGTGGGCTGGGTACTTGAACAGCAAGTGCCTGCCGGTCCATGCTATGTGACGTGTCATTGCGTCGTTCAAACGTTCATCCCCTGCCTCCGGCACATAGGTCCTTTGACAATCATGATCTCAAATACAGCCGGAAGACATTCATGGTGTACCCGACTGCTACTATAGCCACATGTGCTGAAGATCAGCCATGGTCTGCGTTGGATTGTGTGGACCATTGCTTCAAACTCGCGTCCCATGCCACTTGATCATTCGTATGAAGGCACTGTTATCATATACGTACCGGTATTGGCGCAGTAAAAATTGAAATGACCACTTTTTGTAATGAATGTATGAAGTGTGTACACGTGAACATGTGAGGGAAATAATCATCGCAGTGTCAAGTCTAGTACTATATTGCTTCCGATGGACCGGGTCTCGTAATTTCTTGCCATCGAAAATTGATGTTTCTTACCATTTTCAAGGCCTAATATACCTGTGAGACGGTCCTGAGCCCTGCTAAAGACTCGTTTATACTGAACCTGTATATTTCTGTCTCTTTTCCTCTAGCCCTCTTCCAGTTCGGCCTCTGTGTCATCACAGGCTCCTCGACTTCAAGTTAGATCTCGGAAACCTGCCAGTGGGTGTTTCGAGTTGGCCCATATATCAGCGACTACCAAAATGCAAAATGAGATAATCGAACTCAGTGATTCAGACAGTGATATCAATAGTAAAAGTATTCGCCCGCTGGTGAAGGAGGAGTCCACTGTGACAGAAATATCGCACCGCAATTCCGAAGTAGCTATCCTGAAGGTAAAGCTGACAGCCCAAAGCAAGCTCGTTGCGGACCAGGGCAAGGAGTTAAATAAACTCCGCAAGCAAAACAAGCAGTTCAAGAACGAACGAGATATTCAGACTGCCGAGATCACAGGCCTTCAAGACGAGTTGAAGAATATCTTGCGGCAGCTCGATGACGAGACGGTTCGTGTATGGTAGCAATCCACTCGCTCAAATACTAAATACTTTATCATATCCTCGACAGGTCAAAAATCTCAATTTCAATATGATTGAGCTAAATAGCTTGAAGTCGAATGTTGTCATGGTATGTGAGCATATTTTTCCCTTTGGTTTTGATATTGAATTTTATGGACAGCCAAATGGGACTGCTGCTGAAGTTATGTGGAATCAGGACGTTGATCAAGACATGTCCGACAGCTTCGCATCCAACCGTCCTATACCCAAAGATGAGCCCCAAAACGCAGTATCGACGCAGCCCCAAACACCCAACGCTTCTGGATCTAGTTTTACTGCCATAAAATCAGAGCCAGAAGGCCCGAAAATTGCCGTTGTTATTAAGTCCGAACTTGAACACGAACCTGATCTGAACGCCCATGTTACGTTTATCAAGAGCGAGGACGGGAAGTTCGACATCTGGAATCTTGAGCACCTTCATCTTGGACCTCCAGTTTCCGTAGAAAAGAGGTTTCATGTTGGATTCAGGCGTTCTGTAATCAGCAACGTGAGCTCGGAATTGCCCCGTCTATCAAATTAAGCTGACACCTGATATTACTTGAGGCTCTTGGGGGAAATTGGCAAAACACATTCGTCAACTGGCAAGGTCCGACTAGCAAATTGAATAGGACCCCCTAGTGCGTACCCCAAGTCTACCTGACCCACCGCTACTAAAGCGAGCATTACAGCATGGCCCTTAAACGATCCTGGAATCCGTATCTGCCGCTCGTTCCCGGAGAGCACGGTGTCGTATTTTGCGGGGTGAAGGAATTTGATGATGGCACGCTCATTACTGGATCAGTCGACATTGTGGTATCCAGCAAAGCAAATGAATGGGTGTACTTTGGTTCGTACGAGACCTCTCGGTCAGGTGAGATCACACCTCACCAACTTCACCTGCTCCCTCCCCTGGTCGTACGAACATGGGTGGAGGGAACTCTGAAGTCTGTGTGGGGAAGGAATTGGGTCGAAGCGACGAATGCTGAGCTCGTGGACAAAGGGGGTGAAATTCACCTCATCGAGCATACGACACAAGGTCTTCGGGAGGCACTCAGTGATGGAAGGCTCGTGATTGGCTTCACTGTCATGAAATGCGTTGGATATCGTGCAGAGTGGTTCGATCAGTTTTTGCATTACCAAGCACATCCAAAGCCCCCAACAACACAGAAAAGAAAGGAAGGAACCTTGGGAGCCAAAAAACCTTCTGCAAAAAGGGTGAAAGGGAGCACGCGCCAGAGAGAGGTGTCATCTGAAAGTGACGGTGACGAAGACGAGTTTTCTGAGGTAGAGGACAAGATGAAAGTACATTTGGGTTCAGCCTCGCCGGGCACGAGGAAGAGTAGTCGCCTTTCTGCAAAATTAGTTGGAGTACGCGCGAGAACGCCGAGCTGAGGGTGAAGAACACGAAGTACACGGGCGTCATACTCGACATGCCTCAGCACTCGCGGGCTCAGGAGGTCAAGTTGCTCTTGATGAGCAACAAGCTCTTTGCGACGTCACGCGACTGGGGTATGTTGGAGAAGGAGATTGGCGAAGTCGTCGAGGAGTAGATAGCGTAACTTCTGGTCAGCAGACCGTGGTTTGAGAAGTCTGCAACTCTTCGAAATCGATGAATACTTGACTCTTGGCAGACTCTTGGGATTGGCATATTCACTACATAGTCAAACACGTACCGTACAAAACTTATAAATATCCACACTCAGGGAGTTATTACAGTCAACTAGACCCACATTGGAAGAAAGATGGAGTGAAAGTAATGAAGTGCGAATTCTCCTGAGCGGGGGAACCTAGAACGTCTGGCTGGTCACGGCGTCATAATCATGCAACTCTCTGTTACAACAGATGAGTGGCAACATCGAATCCCTGGATAGTGATGTTCCGGCTTGGGCTCAAAGCCCCGGCTTAGGCTCGGCCTGGGGGGGCTTAGGCTCACCAGATTTCAAGCCTGAGCCGTGAGCCCAAGCCGGGGCTTGGGCCCATGCAAGCCGCGGCCCACATGCTGAATCACGTGTAATCGATGTCTGAGCTCCACCATGCTGTTCCCAACACCACGAACACCATGCGCAAACGCCCAGCATACATCAGCAACTGCTGACGTGGCTCAGACAAATACGGACGATGGACGAGAGCAGGAGAAGGGAAGAAGACAAGGAGGAGGACGAGAACGAGAGAGGAGATGGACGATCGGTAGCACTCGAGTGCTTCGATTCTGCACGCCTGGAAGAGTACAATGACCGGAGGTCCCACCCAAAGGTCTGAAAACAAGGCACTTGAGCACAGATATCATGTCGAGTCGGTTGTATTGTATTGACGTACCACGATGCGTAGAATATTGCAGCAGCCTGCAAACCATAATGAAGCACGGAGCATGGAAGAAAAATGCAACGGACCTTCATCAGAGAAATGAGGTGATGGGTTGCTGAATCTCCAGTCGCCATCTTCAACGCGAGATCAAATGCGCTACACGCTTCCTAAATCTGCCCTTTGACATAAAGCCTACCGACGAGCGCTGAATACTGATGGACTAACATGTCGCGACCCAAATTAGTATATCTTGAAGAGGCTCAGTATTAGTCGGTATAACTCACCTGGTTTGCATCTTCAGTACTGAGTGATGGCACCTGTTCTACTATGCTAATAAACCGCAAATACTCTCGCTTGGTGGCATTAAGCCTTGCGCTATCACCAAGTTGAGTTCGAAGAACAATGCGAGTGTGGTGACCAAGCTCATTATAACCTTGCTGTATGGTCTCGAGCGGTGGTGGAATTTGCTCTAGGACTTCAGGTTCGTCCATGCCCAACAATGGTTGAAGTTGTACATGCGTGCGCAGCGACTTTGTCTATGTATGGTCATCCGTTTCCCAATGCAGACAAGAGACTTCGTTGAAGTTCGAAATCAGAAAATCGACAACTAATTTTGTTCGATTTGTTATTTTTGAAACAAGAGAAACTCGGAATCTTTCTCACTGGGTTTTCAATTTTCGTATTTTTGTCCAGCGCGGCCATATAACACGCCATGGTGGGTTTTCACTAGACTGGTGACCAGCCCGTCTAATGCATAGGCAAGCCGTCGCGATAGTGGGTTTGAATTTGGATAGTGCTTTGAATTTGAATTTTTATATTTGGCCATCTACTAGTACGCTCACATAAGCTCAGGTAACTAGGTTCCTCGATGGCTCAACTACCAATGAAACAAAAACGTCCTGCCAATGCAGTCCAACGTCCGAAATTAAAGCAAAGCTACACGTCTGATATTGTGGCCAAAGCCCCGCGTCGTCAGAAAACAGGCGCTGAGCCGCTAGTTCCAAGACCTCTCGTACACGATCGGCAGCCTTGCCCTCGAGTAAGGAGGTCTCATCACAGAGCTGCATGTTATGCGCACGATGGATAGCCAAGAAGGCCGGGCAGCGAGCAAAAATATGGTGAACGCTCTCAAAGGGATTACAACCGAAATGACACCAGGGCAGCGTATCACGAAAACGCCGATGCCGCACCTCTGCGGTGTCAAGTTGTGATGATCGGGCATACAACTGTACGACGGCAGAGAAAGAGCTAGATGCTCGAGTGTATGGGAAGTCCGGCAGGCGATGACTGTCATACAGTGCAAGAGTCAGGGCTCGTGCTGGACGAAAGGAGTCGCTCAACGCATAAGAATCTTCAAGCCTAGAAATGAGGAAAGAGGACAGGTTGTTCTCAACAAAACCATAACCGGATGCAAACATAGCGTAGTCGTCCATTGAGAAAGTTGCGAGGGGCGCAGAGGGAATAACACCACGCCGTCCTTGCGCAAACGAGGCCAACCGATCAACATAATCGTTGGCTAGACATTCTGGCGTCAGGCCGTTGGTATGAGCAGCGGTCCAGACGAGTGAGGGCGCGGTTGTCGGAGAGTGCAGAAGTGAACAACCAGCGGTACAACAAACGCGCTGGCCGATTGTTCCATACGTGGGGTAGAGCACCGGGAAGTACTTCTTGTATCATGTGGACTGCATTTTTGTGATCTGTCAAAACGGAGTAGGGTTCTTGCGGGCTAGCGTGAATAGACAGTAAAACAGCGGCTATGATGCCCAGCAGCTCGCCATGCAGGATCCCTGCTGATGTTCCATACTTCGCAAGTGAGAATACCACCTGGCTATTAGGTGTCGCGGCTGCAGATGTAACCGAGCGACCCTGAAAGAGTGACGCTGGTGATGGGAGCATTGAAGCGTCCAAGGCAGCAAAAGGACGTTGTTGAGAGAAGGAGGTCGTGGGAGCAGTATGCAGGGATGACAATGCTATGATTTCTTCTTCTGCATGTAAGCGTCGCAGAGGACGAGCGATAGCCAGTGTTTCATCACATGATCCGTTCAGTAGTGTGCTGAGGCAGAGACGTTCGAGCCAAGATATCAACGAAGGGAGATGACGCCGTAGAGATGGCGCGGCGGTAGGCAGTTCAGCTGTCAAGCTATGCGAAGGCTCAAAATGGAATGGTGAGGCCGTATTTTGTGTAGACCATGATCCGAAGTGAAAGAGCTGCGTGAAACCATGTCGTGTCAGTGCTGGCAAGGCAGCGCTCGGGAAGGACGAAGCAAGCCGTGGTGAACTGTTTATGATATGGCGTATGCTGACGTGCCCCTCGAGCAAGTGAGATTGATCAGTCGGCACAAAGGAGCAATGGACATCAAGGAGGGTCTGTCGTGCCAAAATCCATGCCCAGGGGAGGCGCTGATGGGCACGAACAAAGGACTGGTGATGAGATGATGTCGCTAAGGGGTAGCGACAACCATTCAGCATGCACGACCAGTCTAGGTGAGTGTGATCTGTGCCATGGTATACGAAAGGCATTGATGCGCGCTTTGAAGTCGTCACATGACCTGTAGCCAATCCGAAAACTAAAATTTTGTCGAGAATATTTGAGATATTGAGATTAATGTTTGAATATTGACGCGAGGTAAACGCGGTCGCATCGCTAATGTATGTATTTACTCTACAATGGATGTGAACTCAATCATCCAAGCTGTGCGGGAATCATCACTGGAAGGACTAGATTCATTTGCTCGCTTGCTGATACAAAAATGGCTCCCTATTGACTACTGCATCGAAACCCTCACATAATAACTTAGCAGACTTATCTAAGCAGTGTCTAAGTCATTCAAACCCAGTCCGTCATTAGACGGGCTGGTCACCAGTCTATACCTTACGTACGGCAATATTAGTATTCAACACATTCCATGAGCTCAAATCCATCCCTTCGTGATCTCTACAACCCTCCCTCATCCGCATGGGCATTCATTCCTCCACCTCCTATGCAGAACGCAAGCGTACCCGCACCCGCACCCGCTCCTGCAGTGCCTAGCTATCAATGGACTACTCGTCCTGCGCATAACTCAATTTTTGATTTGTCTCCTTCACTAGACCTCAGCGAACCTTCTAGTCTTGATGTGTCCCTGCTACTGCGTTCTCTAGTCGCGTCAGCATTGCTTCAGTATACGAGTACAGCACTTGTGATGCCACTGGAAGTAGGCAAGCTACTTCTTCAAATTCAGTGGATTCCCAAGGACGCTCCAGCACCATCTAGCCAGATATACGAGGAGGAAGAAGAGGAAGAAACGGTAGGTGGGCATCTAATACGTGCAACCCATATAATTGTAAGTTTCATCTTAGCTTAGCGACTCTACAAACGAGGACGAGTCCTACTTCGCGGACCCCGCCGCTTCGCACACAAAGTACCCCGCACCAAAGCCCGTTGACGATCAGGGCTATGTAATCAGGACGTCTGTGCTGGAAGACGGAACGCGCCCCGAATATATCATTCCTGTGGGCAGTATGAATGGCACTTGGGATATGGTGAAACGTGTCGCTACCTTCCGTGGAGAAGGCTGGCTTTCACTATGGAAAGGTGAGTCCTTATCCTCTAATGGTGTCCTGTATCTGACCTCAGTTAATATGCGCAGGGCTACTCACATCTTGCATTCACGACGTGCTTTTCAGTAATGTGCAACCACTCGTCGACAATTTTATCCACTCTATATTCTTGTCGTCGGCCGCTGGGCTATATCGCCCACCACTTCTTTTGCCGGTAGCATCGCATGTCATCACTGGTTTTCTGCTATCGCCTTTGGATCTCGTTCGGACACGCTTAGTTGCCCAATCGGCGATGCAACGCTACCGGACGTACACTGGGCCATTTGATGCATTAAGGCAGATAATAGCCCAAGAGGGAGGTATTAGAAGCATCTATTTTCATCCCCAACTCCTTATCCCTACCATTCTGGACAATGGCCTTCGTCCTCTATTGCACATCCTCATGCCTACGCTGATCGCTCCTCGACTGGGTTTCGGTCCACACGTCGCTCCAGACACCAGGCCCATTGCATGGGCTTTCGCTCAAGTGTTAGGATCTGTGGCAAGCCTTCTCATCACGTTACCTATCGAGACTGTGCGCAGAAGGTTACAAGTACAAACACGGGGTACGGCGAAGGCGCTGCGTACGTGCGCCGAGACGCGTCCTGTACCATACAATGGTGTCGTAGACGCGCTGTGGCACATTGTGACTGAGGAGAGGTCAGACCTTCCTATCAAGCGAAGATCAAAACCGAGAAAACAGCAAACGGAGCACGCGGAAGAAAATGATTCTAACGACCTGATTGCGGAGGAGCAAGACGAATCCAGATGGCTCAGAAATACGGGTATCGGGCAACTATATCGGGGAATGAGAATGCGTGTTGGTGTTAGCGTTATTGTATTACTCTTGACTACCTTCGGAGGTCAACAAGAGGTAGACGGGGGTTGGGCAGAACTTTAGGCAGATTTTACTCTACATGATTCTCTCGTCCCTCAGTAGCAATTATAACTCTCCTCTGCAGCGCGTAGCTCTCTGTAATTAAATCATTAGTTCTAAGGTCAACAAATTAGGTATTCACTTTTGCTAAGACATGGGTGAACTATTACGCCAAATTAGGAAAGGCATAATATAACACCAAACGAGCGACGCGTCACTGGCCGCGCCAGTGAAAGTACTGTCTCTCTTATACTAAACCACAGAATCAACCAGAGCCAACAAACATGGTTAGCCCACTCTCCGACCTAACATATTCTACTGTGCTGATTTGCTGATTTTACACTGTCTACAGTCGATTATGGAATACAACGGTGGCTCCGTTATAGCCATGGTGGGGAAAGATTGTGTCGCCATTGCTTCAGATTTGCGGTTGGGAAGTCAAGCATTGGGAATATCCTCGAATTTTCAGAGAGTATGGTTTTTGTTCTCGTGTGATACCTCCCATCCTGCTAAGCGTCATTGCTCGTTAGATATTTCCTGTCACTGATCGGGTATATGTTGGTCTGCCTGGATTGGCCACTGACGTGACGACGCTGTGAGTTGACTGTTTTCAGTTTTACTACTCACTGGCTAACGTAGCAGCATCTAGTCGGGAGCGCTTCCGCTATCGGGTTAATATGTATACCATCAAGGAAGAGAGAGAAATAGAACCAGAGACATTTGCCCACCTGGTTTCCTCGACGCTCTATCAGCATCGGTTTGGCCCTTACTTCATCGAACCAGTAATGGCTGGTCTATCGAAAACACCTTCTGGAGGTTTCAAGCCCTTCATCGCAGCCACAGATCTCATAGGATGTCTAAACTTTGCAAAAGACTTTGTGGTAGCTGGTACGGCGAGCGCAAAATTATTTGGTGTAGCAGAGGGCCTTTGGGAACCAGATTTGGAAGCTGAAGATCTGTTCGAAACTATCTCACAAACGCTTTTGAATGCCGTCGATAGAGACGCGTACTCTGGTTGGGGAGCAATTGTCCATGTCATGTGAGTTTCTCCTGCTCCAGTCTACTTTCTGTCATTGATTTCATTTCTACTTCATAGTACCAAGGACAAGATCATTACGCGTACACTGAAAGGTAGAATGGACTAGATTGTAATATCACACCGCAATGCATACTTATAACCTGAGCCAAACGCATGTTCCGCCTGCAGAGCTAATTATCCTAGTGTATTGCTGCACTTGGTGACGTTCAGAGCTACATACTTTGGATTTTCATCTCTTGAGTTCGGGTCTCAAACAGATATGATTTGTGTGCAGACTCGCTTAGACCCGAGCCTCCAGTTAGTAACTGCAGCGGCAACAAGGTGGCAACCAAACTTACCAAACCTCGGCCATGTCGCTAATACAGTGCGTTTATAAACAACGTCTTCGTGGCAATTGGGGTCGATGGCTCGCAGGACGATCATCTTTCGTTGTCTCCTCACCGCTTGTGCTGTGCTGTTCGGTGTCCATCTGCTCTTGCGTCAACGCACTCATGTGCCAGCTGACTCAGATCAGACTCCCTGGGAGGGCCTCGCCAGCCCTAGTCGTCCCCTTGCGGCGAGCTTCTTGGTTGGAACAAATAGGTCTTCAAATGCTCAAAGAGCTAGCTCAGTTTCAGTGTCTCGATCCTATCCTGACGTGACAGCGGTCATTCTGAACTGGTCACGGCTCCCAAATGTTGTCCAGATTGTCAGTCTTCTTTGTGGTCCATGGTTGGAAGATGTCATAGCGGAGGTTGTGGTATGGAACAACAATCCGAAGGAAATCACATACCAGGTGAGTGAAGAATCTGCAGACCCCATCTTATACACACCGTTCTTTCTGGCCAGACCTTCGCGAAGACAGGTTGCCCTTCCGAAAAGTTGAAGATATACAACTCGCCTCATAACACCTACTTTCAAGCTCGATACGTTGCGTGTGAACAGGCTACCACTCGTTTCTGCTTCCTGCAGGTCGGTAGACAATGTTCTCTTTTGGGCTCATGTTCTGAGATAGGATATTTGAATTTACAGGATGACGACTACCTTATTATGCCTGAGGTTATTCGAACTCTGCATGCTCGGGTTTTCGGAACTCCTGACCACTCAATACACCTTCTGCCCCCACATGAGGTTCTATCCACTCAACTACGTACAACGGTTACGTCCGACGGTGTGCACACTTCGTCCGCGTGGCTTGGACACGGTACAATTCTGCCTCGGACTGGCGCTGCGGACTTCTTAGCGCTCTTACATCATCTGAATGCATCCGAGGATGAGATGAAGATGGCAGACAACTATTTTACGATCCTGAATAATCGGATTCCTGACGTTTGGTTCGATCAAGGTATTGAGCTAGGAGGTGGTCAACCATTCACGGTCGGAATGGAAGGTGATGAACGTAATAAAATTCATGTTGTTAGTGAAATTTCCTGACACCGCTACGCAAATTATGAAGTCACACTAACTATGGAAACACAGATTAATGCTTCTCGGTACCTGGCAACTCTCTTGAATGCGTTCAGAGCCTCAGATATATCTCATAAATCGAAATTACCGTTCATCGAAGTCGATGCGGTAACCCCTGCTGGTCATGAAGTATCTCAAGCGCCGTGCCTGGGCGATTCTTGTTTGCTGCAGACGAATATCCCTTTACTACCATCAAACTTGAAGGCTGAAAGTCATTCGGCCGATGATATAGTTATGCAAGAATTACGAAGTATCCAGTCTTTGGGTCAGGATGCCGTGGACCATTTCTTGCAATTCCCTCCTTCTCAGGCTGTCGACGGCCGCCCGGATACTGCATTCCGCAGCCCATTTCGTACGTTGATGGGTGATGAGTCGAAGTGTAGCGATTGACACCTTTTGTCAGCGGCACGACGGGGTGACTTCGTAAGCCTGGACATGCTGTCACGCATGGGCTCAGCAAGCGATTCCACAATTGAAATAACGCTACTAGTCACGAGGGAAACGGTGGACATTTTACGCCAAGTCCAGTTCGAATCCTCTCCAGATGCTGTCAACTGGGTAAATTCATGTGCTTTGGTCAGCTTAGCTTCATCGTGTTAACTTGGCGCATTAAGGTTGTCTCCACGCATGAATTGGTGTGCGAAGAAACCGAATTAACCGGACTTCGTGGTCGTAGGTCCCCGCCTCGCAAATTGCAAGAATGTAGCGTGCAGTCGCAGGAGACGGATCATCGGTTCTTCCGAGCGAGTTTACAGGTTGACATACCGTCTTCCCCTCACTGGATGATCTACGAATTTTGGATACGGTGGTTAGCATGATATATTAGTTCTGTATCTAACATCCCACTGAGTATATTCATTTTTAAAAATCAACTTGCTTGTCAAAGGCTGCAGTTCCACCTGAATTAGAACGAATTGTGGTTGGTTGAAAGTTGAAACTCAGGGGTCGCTTATATCAAGTGCTTATATTGTTACGTCACATGTACCGCTTCTTCAACGTCAACCCTACGACCATCTCCACTGCATTTTTTTATTCACTAGCTTTTATTATGTTGCCATCTCTCGCAAACAGATCTATTCATAAAGTCGCGCTCTCTGGAGCGCGCAGAACGATATCCGTCCAGGTAGCGCACATTCAACGTTGCGACAGTTGTCCTAATGGAGTGTTCTTTAGAGTCTCCTCCACGGATCACCAGAAGCGAAGAAAGCAGGAGATATCGAGATTCAACAGCACTCAAGGATAGTTGCTAGGGGAAAATATGTTCACGGCTTCGAGGGTGAGAAGCGAATACGAGCTTCTAGACTTTGTCTGACAATTTGCATCCTAAAGTTCATCGAGTTCAGCCAGGGGCGCTTGACGAGTACAAAGCCGCAGCGTAAGAAAATAATTCCCATCTTTTAAAGGGCACTTTTTGAGAAATGGTTGGCTTATTCAGGGAGAAGTACTACGCTGGAATAAAGGATGATCCACAGTTACACGTCAAGCTGACCGGAAGTTGGGAAACCGTGGTGGGACAACAGGACACTTTTGGTATGTTTTTCAAAGGACATCATACGCTAATTATTTTGATGTGGCGCGCGACGTCAAGTTCATATACTCGAATACGAGAATTACGCCGGCTTTGACAAGACCACTGCACTCATAAGAACGTCAGATGTATGAGTCTGCCCATCTCGAGTATGCATCGACTCATCGGGTATCTGTTAGCACGCCAAAGCGTACAAGGCGCTCCTACCTTACGTTACCTCACGGTCATCTCAGCTCACGCAAGAGTTTGCTTTCTTTCCCACTGCACCACCCCACGCCCAAGGCGGCATCTTCGAGCTTCGGAGCTACCAGTTAAAACCAGGAACACTACTTGAGTGGGAGAATGCATGGTTCGTTTCAACTTTTTTGGAAGTCTTGCTCTTACAGAAGCTTGTGCAGGCGGAGAGGGATCGAAGCTCGTCGCAAGTTCGTCGCTCCCATCGGAGCTTGGTTCTCGCAGGTTGGAAGATTACACCAGGTGAACCACATGTGGCAATACCCGTTCGTTCACCAATAGATACTTCACGTTGATATAACTGATGTCTTGCGAACAGGAGTCTCGAGGCAAGGAAAGAGTTACGTGAGAAAGCATGGCAGATTGACGGTTGGGCGGAGACTGTGTCTAAAGTATGTGGAACGACTTTTCCTTGAAATGCACTTACCGTAACACATCAAACTCAGACTTCCCAGCTTGCGACGCACATGGATTCATTCATTCTGCTCCCGCTCTCTTACAGCCCTTTGAAATGAGGACGCACATAGCCGTGCGAGTGATGTTCCAGGATGTTCCGCTCTGTCTATTGCGAGCATGCTCCTCATCGAATCCGAATGAAGCCTAAGGCGAGCCTCAGGCTCCTGATATCTTATCTTGCGTCGGCCATGTTCTATTTATATACTCCACCATGCTAAGGACTAAACGCCATTGCAACTGTATTACCCTCAATACCTCTTCATCCATTCCGCGTAGTCGTTTATGCATCCGCTGTCGCTTTGAAATGGAGAGCACAATGCTTTTTTTATTCGCAATATGAGACTTTTCAGCCATTAAGGACATGGGAGCCATCATTCTTAATCAAGAAAGTCTTAAGACCTATCAGATATGCAAGAATAGAGCTACCAGAGCGTCGCCGAAGCCATTTCTTGTCACACCTCCACCTTCACGACCCCTGGCCCCTTGAAATTCAACCACTCCTCGTAATACACGCACTCTTGTGGGTTCGTAGGCCCCTTGTCGCGACAGAAGTCGAATACTGGACATCTACCGCATGGAGCTTGGGACCATCCCAGCGCTACTCGCTCTTGGCGGATTGCTCGGTAGACAAAGGCTCCTCCGACGTTGATATTGTCATCCGCCTCCGGAGACTCGAATTTAACGCGTTTTGAACTCGAGGATGGCTTCTTTGTCTTCGCTTTCGTCTTCTTCGACTTTAATTTTGAACTCGATTTCGATTTCGATTTCGAACGACGATGGTCAGAGTCGGATTCAGATTCAGAGTCATCGTCAGAGGAATCATCAAGCTTCTTCCCTTTGCGCTTGCGCTTGCGTTTAGACGTCGAGGACTTACGATCATCATCATCGCTGTCTTCGCTCTCGCTCTCATCCTCTTTTTCCCGGCTCTTCCGTTTCTTATTCTTCTTACTTTTGTGATCCTCCTCCTCATCGCTCTCCTCCTTCTTACTTCGTTTCCTCTTCCGTTTCTGCTGTTCCTCTTCTTCAGACTCGTCATCATCGCTGTCGCTCTCACTGGAACTGCTTGATTCCTCCGTACGCCGCCGTTTTCGCGTTTTAGTTTTACGTTCTTTCTTCTTTTTTGATGAGCTGCGTTTACGCTTTTTGCGAGTGGCTGTGTCTGAGTCCGAGTCCGAGCTAGATCCAGGAACTGAATCGTCAGAGTCGACTGTAGCGTCCCAAGCAGATGCTGTGAACGCAGGTAACTATAAACCAATCAATCAGCATACATTTACAACGAGGGCAATGAAGTGAAGCAAGAAACTAGCCTTCTCAATCTCCCCATCCAACTCCAACACTCTTAAAAGCATCTCGACATGCTCAACGCCCAATTGGGTCTCTGTGATCTTGCTCTTGCTTAAAAAATGTTGAATGTGCTGGGCAGATGGGTAGGAAGGCGCAGCGCTTATAGAGTAGAGTCTGTATTCGTTTTGGGCTTTGGAGCTTTGTTTGGGGAAGGACTGCCGGAAAAGAATATTGTGAGTGTGAATTGTGGGGTGAAGGGAAGGGACGTACACGGTCACGGATGTAATGCAGACATGCAGTTGAAAGGAGCTTGATGAATTCCGTGTCGAGTTCGTTGTCAGTGTACCATGGCCCACCCGTAAGCTCGACTGAAGGTTCTAGGTGCGCGAGCATGTAGATCTTGCGGGTTGGGTGCTAGCGTAGCGTAGTACAAGTATATGAGGAAATGTACCAAGAACTTTGGATGGTGGAACACACCCTGACAGCTTTGATAGCCTTCACGAGCTGCTTCTGAACGAGTGATTTGAGGCATCTATCAATGACTGTTTGGTGCAATTCCGTTTTGGCTTTGAGGTGTTTCGTCCAGATGCCTGTGGGTTACATGAAATAAGATAAGTCTTACCGTTTGATTCGACACGTGGCAACTCACCTTCATTTGCTGAAGCTTGGATATGACCGAGCACCATGGCCTCTTCACCGCTCATATCTTTTTTCCTATGTCCTGCACGTCAGGGGGTTCTCACGGGAAACGCAATGGAGATATTATACACACACTTCTATCTCCTTTTTCATTACAGCTCGGAAGGAGATGACGCCTGCTGCATTCGACAGGACTTTGAGCATGCCCTTCGAATTTGCATGTCAGGATCGTAGAAACATGCATCGTGTGGAAGTGCTCACAGCTCCCAGAAGGAAATTGACTGCTGCAGTGCGTGCGGACACATCTGGGACAATTTTTTCAGCTTCTTTTGAGGTTAATACCTGCCAATGAATGATGAGTGTGACCAGTGTGGTATTTATGGGTGATCAAGAGAATTGAGCTCACCTTGTCTGTGCTGGAAAGCGCAGCTTGGTGGAGCTTTTGCTCTTCGGGGCTGAGTTTTCGCCCGCTCATGGTGTGGAGGCGATCAGATCGATCAAGTCAAGTGCAGAGTCGAGTCGGACAGCTGATTAGGCAGGTGCAATCAGCCACGTGGCACATACTATCCATTACGGTCTATTCGTGACGGGCCTCTATTTCGTGAGTCACACTCATGTCACGAATAGTAACGGACAGTCACATTGGCCGAATTTACAGTCCGCCCAGCAGACATTCGTGATTCGTGAACTTCGGCGCGATTGATTAGGACGTAGGACCCACTACTAGGATATCTGTGAGCTACAGTGTGTACAGAGAATTATATAGAGCTAAATTCAAATCATTGACGCTGTGTTGAGGGAATGTAGTATGTAGATATTGATTGTGAAGTCCGTGACTCGGGTGTGGGGGTTGAGCGAAAAAAATATGGTGGATGTGGTGCGGGAATACTGAAACCCTAGTGAGATGACGGATGCTTAGATGACACCAGCTTGCTTCAGTGACGCCCCATGGGCCATGGTATGGCCTGCTCAGCGCTCACAGACTGCAGCCTGCTGTTAAATTTAATGACCGACGTCGGCAGCCACGGCAGGTGTCACCAATTCGTGATTTTTGCTGCTGTCACACTGAAAACGCGATCTCTACCATTTCCCAACGGATTTGTTTTATTTCACTTGGAATATGTTAGTATAGTGTGTAGAACATACTCAGTAAAGTGGCTAAGCAATTACTTTAAAATTGATTGTTGTAGACAAAAATCACGAAATAGAGGCCCGTCACGAATAGACCGTAACGTTACGTAATGGATAGTATGTCGGACACCAAGCTTGAAGCTTGAATATTTGAATTTCCGACCTTCCTTGCTTCGCTGCATTCACTATCGCAACCATTAATTCAAGTCTGCTATTCAAGAGCAACAGGGCCGGGCTGGCGCTTCTCATGATATAAATTGGGTAGCAATCACACTCTTAGTTTCTTGTCTTCCTCAAATGTGTCCTTGACCTGCAAACCACAGTGCAAACAAAGTTACTTGAAGGACGCGCCACACCTGCTTTCTGGGGGAACACCTTGTCAGTCAACATTCGCATACCTACGGCCACAAGTGCCTTCGAAACCACTAAATAGGCATGGGATAGTCCGGAATGTGCGGCTTCTGCGAATCCTGGGGTGAGGTTCCCGCCATCTGGATAGCTTGAAAAGTTCATTTGGAACCTGCGTGACTTACAAAAAACCAAAATGAAGACCAGGTATCACTGACAGACAAGAACTTCATCAGTATGTAAATGTGCTTAGCCCCGGTCGCGACTCGCGGAAGTATGAAATGATCCCCTTTTGGTCTGAAGCATCAACTCCATCGCACTTTTTAGATGTGCGAAATATTCATGAAATCCGTAGAAGCACTCTTACAAACTTTCCAGAGGTATAAGCAGGCAACACAAATATCATGTGTCAAAAGAGAATCATAAGGTGGTGGGGATAAGCTAGCGAGCTTATCCCCGACTCCACTTTAGTGGAAGAGGGTTCTCTCGCAAGGAAATGACTATTTCTCTGCAAACGGACCCGTGGGTGTGGGAAAATATGGATGTGGGAAAATGTGGGTGTGGGAAGATGTGCGCTTGTAATTAGTCGGTGGTCGATGTTGTGGGTGGGAAAGCATCGCGCTGTCATTTTTCCTTTTTCTTTCTCCAACAAAATACTTGCAGATACACTGAAAAAGCACGCACTGCGGCAGGTACATGTTGAGTATAGTTCGTTTGTTTCATTCAATGCAGTATAGCTAATGCGTGTTCAGGGTTTTTATTACAAAGATGCCTTGTCATTTGGCTCGAGTCCTTGATGAAGGACACTGTCCTCCTTTCGACGAGCCCCACGATGTGAACAAATATCCCCGTTATTATAATGCACTCTATTATCCACGATATAATCTTGCGTTTTTTGAAACATCCGAACATTTTTGTACATGGTTGAAGTCTTCGCTTAAATCTCATCCTCTGTGTTGCTCGACGTGCCGCTGGTCAAATTTTCATGGTTGTGTTTCGTACGACGGCGTTAGTATCACTATATGCCATCAACAAAAATCATTGACCATGACGCCAGGTGAATTTGCAGACGCGAGTTACCGTCATTGTGTTGTCTTTCGCAAGCTTTCCTCTCGTGATGCCCTCTCTGTCGAGAAGTGCCTGCCTTCGAGGCTAGACGCCTACCCTACATGGTTCTATTACAGCGAAGAAATTCAAGAGCAACATTTATCGGTCCTTCTGGATGGTGTCTTGGTTGATTGTGTTTCTCGTCTCTCTGTTTCGCGAGGAAAAATGAAAAAGGATCGCATGCACGCGGTGCTACATCATTTTGCTGCCACCCGACTACGAGTGATGCGTTCGAGTAAGGATCAACTGCAAACATTACTTTCCCGCACCCCAGTCGTTGCAGAAGGTAGCCAACTCGTTCCTCGTTTGGCAAGGTACTTCGGCGATATGTATGGAAAACCCGTTTTTGAGGCTCTGTGTCGACCACCGCACCCACAGGTTTGTGTCTTCGATCCTGTCGACGTGCCGAAAATCAGTTGGTCTGCTCTCCCGATTACACATTTAGTCCAGAGGCTTCATAAACTGACTATCGAAGTGCTTTCAGATTGTATACATGGTCTACCTTCGAAGGGGCGTCCGTCGATAAACCACCGCTCACGTCAGAAGACTTGCAATGGTCTTGCTGTTCACATTCGCGATCGGGTGAATTTCTTGCAATATATCGGTCCAAGTACGGTGTGTGATATCTTGCTTTGTTACCTACCATTGTCTCAGCCTTGTCATCAGTTAGACGAGGAGTATATTCTGCAAATCCTGTTGTTTGAATATGGATCTGCTGTGGTGGAGCGTCTTGGACATCAAATACTTTCTCAGCCCAAACCGCGTAGAGACAACCCCCGCGATGTCAACGGTTCTCGTATACCAGATCATGCTGCAACATATGCAACTTCTGCCTTGCACTAAGTACACTCAGCCTGTTTTCGTGGACTCGCTCAAGGATAGGAAGAGGAAACGAAAGGCCGCGGACGAGACGATGGGGCAGTCGCCCACTAAAAAAGGTTCTTTTACCGGTGTGCCTGACGAGGACGAGTTGGAGTATACTATGGTCGAGTAGGTTCACGCGATTGTCTTTCTTGGTGGCCTTTTTTTTCTTGGGCTCGATTCTGCCGCTCGAACTGTATAAATGACCTATACTATCTTGTTGTTACGAATATCTGCGAATCGTATCTTGTATGTGTTTTCTTGCGGAGTCGGGGATTGGCGCCCGCGCCGCTACGATAAGATAGATTGGATGCCAGGTCAGGTGGCAGGGTGGCTGTGATTACGCTACCGTTGAAACTCCGCCTGAAACAACCCTGACCACCCCAGACTGGAGTCCTCCCGCCTTTAACTACAACTTTGACCCAGTATTTGTTCATTTCCTGGATCAAATTGACGGGTCCAGCCCATGCTTACGTAAGCCTTGCCAAAAACGGAAGAGGCGCGTCTTATTAATCCTTCTATAAACGCGACCTCTCAGACATCTTTCGAAACTCTCCTTTGATCGTCATGTCCGCTCATCAGTGGAACGAATCAGAGCCTTCCGATGAAGAAGTTAGCCAAGAAACATTCGCAATTAGGAAGCGCAGCAGTAGAGGTGCGCCCAGTCTGGGCATTTATTCGACTTGTAGTTGAATTATGTTAGCTTGTGATCAGTGCAGAAAGACAAAGAGCAAGTGCGAGCCATCCCCAGCTGCTGGTACCTGCAAGAGTTGTACGATAGCGGGAAACAGTGCGTAGCATAACTGAGGCATTCCATACATCTCAATTTACCCTATTTGATTGCAGCATGTACATTTCTGGGTAAGCGTTCTTTGCATGAGCGCCGGTGAGGAAACCAATATTATTGCCAGGTCCCAGTTATAAGCGCGGTCCCCCTAAGGGTTACATACAAGCGATCGAACAACGATGGCATCAAGTGGAGTCCCTTCTTGGCGCCGTTCTCTCTTGTCCAGATACCCGAGTACGACAAATCATAGCCGATATTAGGCAAGATGATCTTGCAAGGGAAATTCTCAATCGAGTAGACACGGGCCCATTTGTAAGTGCTGACGTACATTCAACAACTAAATGGAGCAAATTGTTTGATCCGAATCTGCAGGGACCTTCTGGCAAATTATCACAGCCAGCAGGGGCGACAAAAGAAGACTTCTTCGCATGTATATTCCGAAGCAACGAAGCTTCCGCTCGTGATTCTCCCCGTTCCCGAAGGCAGTCCAGGATCTCGAGAGAAATTGTATCATCGTCTAGAGGTAAGTAACTAGCCTTGGGGAATACCCGAACGTCATGCAAAGCGCCTTTTGTAGACAATACACTTTCAACCATACCAACTTCAGAGTGGCAGGATCGCCTGTCCGCGAGTCTGACGAGAGGACATGTCGGCCATCATGGTGTCCCGCCAGCCCATAACCTTAGCGGACCTCCTATGCAGCAGCGGCGGCGACTCGACGTGCCGTCAACTAGTAGTGGTCCACATCAGCTAAACTGGAATGATATGTACACGATGGATGCACTTTCAGGTGAGGGTCTTACTCCATACGTCTTTGATCTGATCAGCCAATACGATCATAGAATCAGAAGGTACAGATGAGTCTAATGGCCCGGATACTGCTTTTGGTCAACTCTCTCTGGATGAGAATCAAGAGGTCAACGAGCTTTGGAATTTGTGTCTGGAACCTATGCTCATATTCTTATATTAGGTTCGGTACCATGGCAAAGTTAGTGGTCTCCACCTTTTGGGGCGTAGCTCTCGTTTGGATAGCAGACATGAGGGGGGAATATGGTTCGTTTTTAACTCTGATTACTTCTATGCGTAGTCATGACTGTGATGACAGGAAATTGCCTATGGCACGTTTTTGGCCCTCCGCAAAGTCCAATGCAGTTCCTGTTCCACCAGCCGAAGGCGTTGTTGTCAACTTACCTTCCCTTGTGGTGCAAGATCATTTGGTTGATTTATATTTCACTTACGCCCACCCATTTTTCCCTGTAATTCACAAAGGGCGGTTCCTAAGAGAGTATAGCGAGTGGTGAGCCTGTCACTCTTGTGTCTATCTGTCATTCTTCTGACTTTGACATAGGAAACAAAAGTAAGCTGCTTAACAGGACTGTCATTGACTTGCTTACAACGTCAGCCAAAGTAGTAATCCAGCTACACCAGAGGCTGCGAGGGGCACTCCATACTACTCCAATCCAGAACCTTCACAAAACTTGACCAAGCTGCTTCTGTTGGCTATCTTTGCCATTGCCGCTCGTTATCTGGATGACAACCCTGCTACATCTATTGATGCGATGTGGGAGGCTGGCAATGACTACCTTGCGCAAGCGAGGGCAGCTCTTGGTAAATAATATTTTCAGTTTGACTACCTGTGCTTACCAATGGCATAGCGCAAGTCTATCACAGTTCTCGCGCAACTACTTGTCAAGCCTTACTTCTCCTGGGTCATCGTGAATTTGGGATAGGTTGGTGATTGAAGCAAATTGTTTGAACGACATGTTTATGAGTATCATCTAGGTTCTATGGAGCAAGGTTGGCTGTACATTGGTATGTATGCGTCGTTGATTTACGCTCGCCCTGTCTCATGGCTTTCCGGTCGCAGGTATGGCAATTAGAATGGTTAGTATGGTAAATCGTTTGAAGGCAGGGTACTTAGCTACGTGTAGGCCCAAGACCTTGGATTAAATCGTGCTGCGGATAACTGGCAACTTAATGGAAGAAAAATGTTCTCCCTTGAGGAGAACCAGGTCAGGAAACACATATGGTGGGGTTGTTGCATTGCAGACAAGTGCGAAATCCGTATCTCTTGGGGGGTGTTGCACTAATGACTGTTCATAGATACACTTCTATATATATGGGTATGTCTCATACATCTTCTTTGGCGCACTCAACCGTCCCCCTCGCTAGGTCGACCCGTGTCCATCGGTGAAGGCGACTTTGATACACTTCTTCCGGATCCCGCCGAAGTACGCTCAAACCCACGACGTGTTAGTTATTCACTCACTTTCTTCTTCTGCAGTACAATGAAGACACCTCCAGCGACCTAGTCACGTCGCACCACATTTCGACACCGCTGACAATGAGCTGCTTCAAGGCTGCTGCAACACTATGTTCGTATACCTTATCCGCAGACTATGTGCAAACCTGATGGAGATGCAGCCGTTTTGATTGGTTCCATTGTGACAATGATTTATCCAGTTCGCTCAACAGGAAGAGGCTCACGGCGGGCAGTCTTGAGTAATCTGGAGTCTAGACTGGACCAGTGGTACATCGACCTTCCTGATAATCTTCGGTACGACCCAGCTAGCAAGCGAAATACTCCGCCACTGGCGGTTCTATTTATCCATATCCAATATTGGTCCGCAGTACTATTGTTACACCGAGCGTTGTACGTCAAACGTCGGAATATTCAATTTGTGTCACTGATGCCTCTACAGTATCCCTGATTGGAAAGGGTGATTCATCTGTCACCTTGATACCTTGAAGAGTCCCAGTCTGATCTTCTTACTCTAGCTCGGAACAGATATTACAGAATCCTCCCAACGGATCTGACACAGCCTCCCTAAAAGCCTTTGATCTCTGTCAAAGTGCCGCCACTTATGTCAGCACAATAGGTATGTGCGCTCGACTAAATTTCTTTGATGCACGCTGATTTCAACCTAGTAACGACATATCACGAGAACTTCAATATTAAATGCAGTTCACCGTTCTTGTCATCGTATATTCTTAGTGCTGGGTTTGTTTTATCATTTGTATTAGTAATTTGTAACTTCTAATCCCTAATATCTATTCATCAGAATTATGCACATCGTGACATGCGAGTACTTTCCTTTGAAGGACGTGTACCTTTCTGAATCCTCTTCCCTTACCAGTGACCCTCCGGCCATCAAATGTCCAGGCCTATATTGGCTTGCGACAATGTCTTGCCGTTTTGAAAGAGATGCAGGTCAGCCCGAGCCACTATTATCCACATTTAATCTTACCTTAGCCAAGATTACATGGCCTAGCGCCGGAAGAGCCCGGGATCTTCTTAATGGTGTAAGAGTACAGGTTGACAGCAACATGCCACCTTTGGTGCATGGTCCTGATCGTCAAAAGAGAGCGGCAGATGATGCGTTTGGAGAAAGGAGCTCTGACGTACTGCAACGCGAGGCATTTGGTGATGTTCTTCAAAGGGAACGTGTTCCACAGAACAGCGGTATCCAGGAGATTAGCACCCGAATGATGGCGCATATGCTTGGTCTTGACATTCCTGGCATTGAGCCCTCGACGTCGTATTACCCAGGTTACGAGTGGTGGCCACGAGCCAACCAGCTTTCACCTCAGTCGTATCACGGATCATCGACAGGTGCATCTTCGCTGATCAATATGGATTATCCTTTACCAAACGACCAAGACTGGAGAGTTCAAAATCCCACCTCCGACTATTCTTACGAGTATCAGAATGCGCCACCTGATCGTTATCGCATGTAGTGGGCTAATCACCTTTGTCTCCTTAGCGTAGAACGCCACCAATAATAATCCATCGTCCCTCATCTCCTGCTCCTGTTACTCAATTAGAAGGTACAACATTGATTATGTAACTTATGTAATGGACCTACAAGAACCTCTAAATTGAACGATTGCAATTGTCTGCGAACCTATGTTTCGCCCTCAGAAATACTATGTCGAGTCTGAAAAATTTGTTGAACCCCGAAGATGACTCTACAACCATGTATCAGTATGTGCACCTGTTCTCGGATTTTTTTGGCGGCTTATTCTGACACCTCTGTTTGCTACCCCCTTTGTATTCGCCAACAGCTCAACAACCGGACAACCTATTTCCACGAGCTCCTCCTCTCCCACCTCGGACGGCAGCGCCAACGCAACAGTAGAATGTCCTCAATACGATCCACCATACAAAGAACATGCTCCTCATCCAAATTGTCCCGACACTTTAGCCTGTCTTCCAGATACGGATGGGCGGCCACAGCATACTCTTCCAGTAATCTTGCGATGTGCAATCCTTGGCAGTGCACGGAGACGTCTCACTATTCGCGAGATATATGCTGCAATGGAGGAAAAATATTTGTATTTCAGGACTGCGGGGCCGACATGGAAGGTCAGTGCACTAGGGTGTGATGGCTAAAACTTTTGCGTTCAAACTTGAATTACAGCAATCTGTCCGCCATCACCTGTCTTTGAATAGATTATTTGAAAAACAGCCTCGTCCCGTCACAGACCCTGGCTTTGGTTCTTACTGGACAGTAAATCTTTCTGCTCCCCCAGGCACCAAGCGACCACGGAAGCGGGGAAGACCTACAAAGGCTGCCGAGGAGCCATCTAACTCCACTCAGCAGAAGAAACGGGGACGACCTCGAAAATCCATTGATCCGTTATCTCCCCTGAACTCACTGGCTGTGGGCTCGGGACGTTCGATCCCGCCGTGCAACATTTCCGCCGTACGCACCGGGGGAAACGACCATGATGGTGGAAATGGCGAGGACGATATGGATCTAGGTGCAGACGTACATGAGATGAGTGAGGATGAATACGAGAGTGAGGAAGATATGGTTGTTCCCCCTCATCAGTCACCATTTGCCGGACTTGGCGCTTTTGGACTAAACGAGGCCCCTTCTCGTTTACTGAGCCCCTCAACATCCCGTGCACTGATTACCCATTCCGATGAAAATCTCGTGGACCGATTGCAGATCGAAATGGCGGGATTGCGGAGGCAGTCTGCGGATGCGATATCTGTTTCGGTAAAGATATCAGATCAGCTAGCGGAAGCTCAGGCTGAGGCAGCTAGAGCGAGGACTGCTCTCAGAACAGTCGAGGCAATGCTGGAGGAGGAGGTCATAAAGAGGAGGGAAGCTGAATCTTTAGCAGACCAGGAAGCTAAGTTGAGGCGAGTAGCAGAGGACACGATTACACGCATGCAAAGTCAGTGGCAGGCTGCCCATCGAGCTACATAAAGTATGTTTGTCCCTTCTTTTATTAATTTGATGTATGAATGTTGACACGTTCCTCGTACCAGTAGCACATTTTAGACCGAAGCTAGTAGCGCAACTTGAAACCCAAACGAGTCCTCGTCTGCTATCCTTCCTGGAGGTTCATATCCGACAACTAGTTTTCAGCTACTCACTGGGACTCATCAATGGACTCGACATATTCTACGAATCTTCTTTACTTTCTCAATTCATTGGTGTACAAGGGTACTCTAGAATGTCTGAACATGTATATTGCCGCGGCGGAATGGACGAGTAGTTTTGGAAAAGGAAATTAGAGGATACAAAACCAAATAGACTCGTGAATTTTGTATATGCCCCGAAGTCAACCCAAAGTCACATTAGATGGCATCCACAGGTGGCAAATCCAGATTGAAAACAGTGTGAGTTCCTTTGCGTGCCATCTCCACGCGCCAGCGTTCTGAGTTTCTGAGCAGCTACAAAAACAAGCGTTCTATTGGACCGCTTCATACGTGCGGATCTGTCGCGGTCACTGGTGATGGGAGCAGACTCGTTACTTGTGTCGCAGAGGAGGCTGTACTCACCAACATCTTGACGGGCGAAGAAATATGTCGGTTTGCAGGGGTGAGTTATTCCGCCCTCAAACCGTTAGGAAACGCCATAATTGATGACTGAAGCAATCTAGGACACTCAATCGATTACTTCGCTGTGTTTGACCCCATCGGCTTCGCAACTGATCGTATTCACTTCTACTCCTTCTTTGCGTGTGTACGAGATCCCCACTGCTACCGTGAAAAATAAAATTCATCCCGTCCGGGTGGTTGCTCGTGCACATGATGCCCCCGTACACGTCTGCACCATCGATCCATCCTCCACATATCTTGCTTCGGGCTCTGCGGACGGTGTTGTCAAGGTTTGGGACATAAAACGCGGCTACATCACTCACGTCTTCAAAGGGCACGGGGGCATTGTGAGCGCGTTGAAGTTTAACTTTCCCCGAGACCCTTCTGTCGTGGTCCCACAAAATATACACCAACTCATCACAGCCTCCGTGGATACTCGCATCCGGATATTTGATCTAACGGCGACCTCAAGCAAGGGAGATCAAGCTGCGCTACGTCCGATCGCTATTCTCGAAGGACACGTTTCTGTTCCCCGGGGTTTGGACGTGACTCCTGACGGAAAATGGCTTATAAGCGGGGGAAGAGACTCCGTTGTTTTGGTGTGGAACTTGCTCGCGAAGTCAACTGGAGCAAAATCTGCAGAAGCCACTAAGGGGAAAGGAAAAAGCAATTCACCTGTACTGACTCAAACTATTCCTGTCATGGAACGCGTCGAGGCAGTTGGGCTGTTGCAGGCCGAGGACTCGGTTCCTAGTAGTAGCGCTTCCAAACTGCGTTTCTACACTGCTGGGGAGAAAGGTATCATCCGGATATGGGACGTAAAGGATTCCTCCGTCTTATATTCCCTCAGCCAGGTGGCAGATCTACAGACTGAAGATCAAGAGGAACAGCGTCAGATTGTAGAAGCTATGTTAGTACGAGTTTCCTCGCGTGTACTTTTGTCACTAACAGCACGCTTTCAGCTACTTGCCGTTAATATCGACAATTGTCTCGGTACATGCAGACCAGAATATCCTGTTCTACGACCTGAACACTCGAAATCTCCACCGGCAACTCATTGGTTTCAACGACGAGATCGTTGATGCGGTTTTCTTGTCTCCAAATGCCCCAAAATCTGTCGATTCTCACATCGCATTCGCTACAAATTCATCCCTCATCCGAGTTTATTCAACTACAGGGCTTGATGCGCGGCTTTTGACTGGTCACACAGAAATCGTGTTATCACTTGACCATGGCGCGGGAGGCAAACTTTTTGCGAGCGGAAGCAAAGATCGCTCTGTTCGATTATGGGCGCCTACATCTCCGAACGACGACCTATCGACAGAATGGGGCTGCGTTGCTATCTGTGAAGGTCATGCAGAAAGCGTAGGCACTGTCGCAATGTCGCGAACTTCTGGCGAAGTTGGCACCACGAGTGTGCAATTTATGTTCAGCGGTAGTCAGGACCGCACGATTAAGATGTGGTATATTGGTGACGTGCCACTGGTTTTCGATGCCTCCCAGCATGGCCAAAGCCTCATGAAGTGCAAGAGTTTGACCACTCATAAAGCACACGAGAAAGACATTAATTCTCTCGATGTCGCACCCAACGACCGCCTCTTGGCATCTGGATCGCAAGACCGCACAACTAAGGTATATGAAATTAATTTTTCACGTGCAACTGGAGACCGCTCTGCACATGGAGAGATCAAGCTACTGGGAACCTGTAAAGGCCACAAGCGGGGTGTTTGGACAGTCAAGTTTGGTCGCTCGGAGCGCGTGCTAGCAACCGGAAGCGGCGATAAAACTGTAAAATTATGGAACTTGGAAGATTTCACTTGCGTGAAAACGTTCGAGGGACATACCAACTCGGTGTTGAGAGTTGATTTCATCAATCACGACATGCAGCTCGTTACATCTGCATCCGACGGCCTTGTCAAAATGTGGAATGTACGCGAAGAAGAATGTACGGCTACCATGGACAATCACGAAGACAAGGTGAGACTGCTCGCTCTCTCATTTTAGTTGAAGTTAATCTATTTGCAGGTTTGGGCACTCGCCGTTAGTACGGATGAGCGTGTGATTGTGTCTGCAGCAGCGGACTCTGTAGTGACATTCTGGCAAGATTGCACTGAGGAACAGGCACAGGAGAACGAGGCTAAACGTTCCGAGCTAGTCTTGAGGTTTGAAAGTCATCAACCATATCTTGTTCCAACTCATGTTTTTTGTCAGGGAGCAAGATTTCATGAACTATTTGTCCCTTCATGACTATCGCAAAGCTATACAACTTGCCCTCGCTATGCAGCAGCCCGGGAGATTGTTGTCCCTGTTTAAAGATATTCGTGCCACCTCATCGGAATTCGCAGCTGATGCATCATCGGTGACTGGCAACGATGCGGTTGATGAGGTGTTACGGACCCTTGGCGGATCTGATCTTGCCCGCCTCTTACGCTATGTTCGTGACTGGAATCCCAATGCTAAGACAAGCGGAGTGGCGCAAGGGGTGTTGTATGCAATCATGAAGCTGAGATCGGCGGACGATGTCATAGCGGCATTTACGGACGAAGCTCAGGAAGGTATATTGCAATCCTCTGGTCAAGAGAGCGTGAAAAGTACCGCGAGCGGCGACACTGCACTGAAGGAACTCATCGATGGTATGATTCCATACACTGAACGGCATCTCTCAAGAATGGACCGCCTTGTTCAGGATAGTTTCGTGGTGGACTATATCTTGAGCGAGATGGATGACGGAATGTTTGATGGTCAGGACATAGATACTAGTACTATGGAGGTAGATACAGAGGTCAGTTCATAATTGCATTTCCAGTAAAAGTAGTCTAGTCTTTGGCATAATCACCCGTCTCGGTTGAAGTATGCAATTTAATCCGTCCTAACCGGCAACCAATGACACCGTTAGAAACAAGCACCCACTCATCATCCTTGATGCTATCAAGTGTAAGCTCGTCCTCTACTGCTTCAAAAATACGGTGTTGTTCAATAAGCCACCGTCGCAAAATGCCAGATATGCAACCAACGGCCAAAGGGGGAGTGACCCAACGATCGTTGCGATAGAATGCAACATTACAAACAGACGACTCAGTGACAGCATTCCGGGTATTGTACAAGATGACATCATCAGGTGCATCATCAGCTGGTGGGTCTAACGAGCCTATAGGTTGGAGGCCAACTCGGATACGCGCGTCGTCATAGGCCCGCCTATCTGTTGTCTTCAATGATACGGTGTCTGATGTTGGCTGGCTATCAATATGAATGACGAGGACGGGCGTCGGGGGAACGTCTGTTAAGGGATTGAAGAGAGATGGCAGGGTTGGATCGCTCGTGAACGCTTTAGCCGGGGTTGCGGTGGCAGAAAGCTCTCCAGAAGGATTTAAAACGACGCGAACCTGGTAAGACGGTGAGTTAGTGTTTCACGAATCTTGTGTTAAATGTTGACACCTTCAACGCAGTTTCCCCCATAGAATCATTGTGCTCACGGACAACTTTGTCACATAATGCCTTGACATTGGACAAAGTGGTTCCATGACGGAAAGTCTTATCATCGAGTGCGGCAGACGCGATGAGACGGTCTGCTTGGTAATGAAGTAGAAGATAAGGTGATGGCCCGTCTACATCATTGTTCCAAACACATGATGTTAAAAAGGGGTCATATCGTGTGGACGCGAGAAGGGCGTATGACATCGTAGAAGCACTGCGGAGAGAAGATCCCCAGCTGGAAAACAACTTTAAACGTTATGACTACGCTACTGATATCATCACCAAAATTACCGAATCCAGAGATCACCTGATATGTTGAATTTTCTGACACCACCGACGACACCTGCCCGTTATATCCGACATTTGACATGTCACCCCGGCACGCTGACGTCAAGCGTGTTATCTGTCAGACATATTTCATTTCGTAGTGTAGCGGTATGCCATATGTCAGATACATTTAGATACATCCATGTATTGTATAGAGAAATATAAAACAAAAATGAATGAAAACCACACAAGTCAAATAGAAAGTACCTAAAGAGCGCCATAGCCTTCTTCAATGAGTATGTCGTCATCGAGCACCTCACCGTACTCAGCTATTTTCAATGAGTATGTCGTCATCGAGCACCTCACCGTACTCAGCTATTATCCTGTCCTCGTCATCATCATCGTCCTCGTCCTCGTCATCATCATCGTCCTCGTCCTCGTCATCATCATCGTCCTCGTCCTCATCCTCGTCCTCATTCTCATCACCCTCGTCACTCTCGTCACTCTCGTCACCCTCTTCGACATCCCCCTCATCCAGTTCCTCGTCACTACCGTCTTCGTCCTCCATTTCGATATCTTCGTCGGCTTCACTATTCAAGTCTTCGGCAATGTGTCCCTCACGCTGCAAAACATCGTCCCACTCTCGCATGCCCTTGTGACCAACGGCACCACCTCAAAATCGCATGAACATGTCTCTGTCCACGAACCTAGTAAGCATTATATACATCATTAGTAGTTGGTAGACAGTGAAATAAAAAATACGCCTACATATTCACATAATAACAGTACCAATCTGGGTCTTCCTCATGTCGTGCAATTGTTGGATCAAAAAGTTCTTTGGAACGGCCGTAAGCGAATCCCGGGATTATATGTACACCTCTAATGACGCACTCCGGATCAAGAAATCCGAATGCATCAGGGCTTTCATCCTCAAAGAATTCGAGGCGTTGGAGCCTCTTCGCGCTGAACCCGGAGGGAATATTGTCGCGCTTGAACCATCGAACGAAGAGGAAATCCATACGCTTTGGACGGGACCGTATTGCATCCGGGTTTTTGTAGTATTCTACATTCATGTGGAATATTTTGATGAGACGGGCATACCAGTAGGGATGAGTGCGATCATCCTCGTGTGACATGACCATGAGATCAGCACGAGTGCGGGGATTGATTGAGTCTTGCTCGCGTCGAAGATCGTAGGTAGTGTAGTTGATACGAAGGATGCTGTGTTCGAAGAGCTTGTTGTCCGTGATGAGAACTGAGTTCCGCTCTGCATCGGTAAAGTTGTACTCGTCGCCTTTGTATACAAGCCCTTGAAGACGTGCATATAAGTGGTCTTTGAGACGAGGAATAAAGTTCTATTTCATATCATGAGATATAAAATTTAATACGAATCAGAAGCACGTACCTTGACAGCCGGATCATCCCCAAGCTCACCCAACCATGCTGTGAGGTCGTAAGTTGAACGAGCAGACTTTGCAATGTGGTAATGGTCGGAAGGTGAGGTCCGTACACGACGAGGTCTATCGGTACCCCGTTGGGCGGAAAATTGTGCCCGAGCATTGATTACCTTTGTACAAAGTCGTTCGATGGCATTTTGATTTGCGATGCTTGTGTTTGTAGTTGCCTTTGTTTTCGAAGTGCGAGGGTAACGTCGCTTGAGACATCGATGCTGTAGTTCTCCCTGCACCAGAATTAGAGGAGTGTTGTGCATAAAAAAAAAGTCTCACTGGTTGCGTACTATAGCTATCCGTTGTTCCCCTCATCCGAATTGTATTTGGGTAGTCCCCAAGCGCGTGAAATTTATAAGTCTGGATATTTAATTTCTTTACCTTGCGATGCAAAGTACCTCCTTTCTCCTTAGCTAATACACCTTGCTTTGCGGCCAGTGCAGCTTGTCGGCGCCCTCGAGCCATGTGTTCGTGAGGTAATTCTGTCGTGTGGTAGTGTTCGCAAGTCGTCTGTTTGAACTTTCGAACACTGTTGCCGAGGACGGCCATAGCACCATCAAAAAAGTTCAGAGTGTCTTCAGTGTGGAGACGGAGCTTTGCGTAAGCTTGCCAAGTAGCAAGGTCAAACAGAAGGTCCAGGATGATGTTGTCGTGATGGTCGTCCAGGAGCAACCCTTCAAAGACTGGTATCGCACACTGAAATTAAAATCAGGTATGAAATCAGATCTGAAATCAGTTAAAACTCACCTGCAACAAGTCTTCAAAATCTCGAGCTGCAAGGCGCTTCATTGCAGAAGTGTTCTTGTGGAAACGACGGATAGTACCCCTCCCGAACAGTTGGAACATGACGGTACCTGTAGTAGATATGTAGTCAGTAATACGAAAAGCATACTATCAAATGACGTACCTCCAGTTCAACTCTTGTATCGCAACACCACCAGCAGCGTGCATGATGCGCAACAAGTGCGTGAAGATAGCCTTCCACACACCAAGCTCGAATTCATGCAGCATGTCCACCACGAGCATTAGAAAGAAATTGAATCCAAAGGCAAAAAAACGATCCGAAAAGGCGTTCTGTATCCCATTAGCAACAATTTGAATATAATGTGAAGTACTCACACGTGTAGGGACAAGGGACTCAGGATTAAGGATAGACTTGACTCGCTTGCCATCCACTGGCGCACCACGTTTGAAAATAAGTTTGCGTGCCTTTTCAATGTTGGCACGGCGAGCCTTGTCATCAACACGTTGGAGTGACATGCGATCGTGCATATCGTGTTCTGTACCCATCTCAGACACATCAGCCTTCTTGATAAGGCAGCGCGGGCATAGACATTGGCCAAGAAACTTGATACCAGCAAGGAGAATCCTGAAAAGACGTCAATCTAAGAAGCGCGTGACTAAAAAAACTTACTTCTCTGGATAATCAGCCGAGTAGGTGAAAAAACGCGGAAACACCCTGCGAGTGATTCCATCTCCACAACAGATCACAATCCCATGCTCGTAAGCCTGCATAAAGTCGTCATCGAGAAGGAGCTTCCAGATTGCTTGCATAAGCTCCCGCTTGCAGTGCGTGTGCACTTCCGCTGAAGATGCGTCCCCAAAGGCCTGAATGTATGAATCTTGAAAATCATCCGGAATCTAAATGTTGCGTCAATAAGGTGCAAGGGATGTGAGGGATTTGAGAAAGACTTACCGAAGGAATGTATGCAACATGATGGCATGCGGAAGCTGTCGGTTTTCCACGTGTATACTTAGATTCATTACCAAAAAATAGATAGAATGGCCAGAGTGATGCGTCCCCGAAGTTGGACAGGTGAGTCGAATCAGAATACATCATGAGTGATGCTACAACACGTTCGAGATCGTCGTCTGCTGCACGGGGAAGGGAGTTAATCTCAGCGTGGGCCTCCAGCATCGCAGGGGAAGAATAAGCCTCCGAAAAGACCTCGATACTTCGCTCGTCTGAGACTTTCCACATCTGACGAAATGGCGTCATATGGAACGTTGTGGCTGCACCGTCTTCAAAAACCTCTGTTATGATATTGACCAAAGATCGATGGTGCACACCTTGAATTTCGAGCTTGGGGGCGTCATCTTCAGGATGGCCATTTCATTTTTTCTTTCGGAAGGCGAACATAGACAGATGACTCCTTCCATCCGTTACTGGCACTGAAGGGGTTGGATTGGTCCTCAAGGTACTTTGCAACAAGCTTTTTCTCCCGAGTGACGCTGAAATGACGTATATTGTTTCGGTCGTAAGCATCATCATCAAGGAAAGTAGTAAGTCGCTGCAAAGCAGCATCCGAAATCGAGTTGGGGTTGGAATATTGCCAGCACAGAAGTAGACCAGCGGTTGGACTACTAAACGCGGAGTACAGGTTCTCAGGAGTGACAGACAATGGGAGGGGGGGACCAGTGAGTAGTTGAGATGAGTTGTACCTCGGATCTTCACCAGTCTGCAACATCGGAGAGTCGCATAGAGTATTAAGGGTGGTACCGGTCCGCGGAAATAGAGTAGGACGAGTAGGATACACTCGGTACAATCCCATTGTATCTGGCTCTGTCTCGAAAGAAATTAGCTCATCGCCGGTGTGATCTCCCTCTTCAGACATCACATCTTCAGGCTGAGGCACATCAGGTACCTCATCGCCGGGAACAAAGTTGTCGTATCGTTTGGGCATGCGAATGATGCGCCCGGAACGATTGGAGCGAATAGCTGCGCTAGGCTCAGGTAGTGGTGGGGAAGGGGATCGTTGCAAAGGTCCAGGAATGTCGTTGTCCTGTAATATATGTCAAATATTAGTTCTGTAGGATTAAAAAGACAAGACATACCTGATTATGCCAGTTTTCGGCATGCACGTCACCTATTTCTTGGGGGGCATCCTCCTCTCCACTGAAAGACTCCTGACGGTTGGTTTTTCTCTTCTTGATCTTGCAATTTCTTTCAGAGCGCCGGTATGATTTGCTGATCTGTGTGCTGAATTCATGGTGAGTCTCGCATAGCGTCTCATGTGCGCTCAAGCGCCTCTGGCTGTTGAAAGCCTTTCCACACCCAAGGCAGGTGAGGTCGTCCATGGAGTAGCGGGAGCGGGGGTTTCAGATGGGAGGACAGTGCTATTTATCTAGAATACAAGCACTACACTACCAAATATACTTGAGGATATGTCAATACCTAAATGCCTGGTATGAATCACATGGACGCACCTTATAATGGAAGTCCTTTAGTGATACTGGAAGGCCGCATCAAGTCTGCCGCATGGTATCATCCTGCAAATCCAAACCATGTAAGCATTTGAGTCACTGCAGCACCTTATGCAGTGTACCGGTGCGCGAGCCAGCGGTCTCCATCCCGTAGCTCATGGGGTTAGATAGGGTGGGGGTAGAGTAGAGGATATAAGAAACACCGTTCTGGTTGGATGCGGGGTCGGAAGAAGCATGGTTAGTGACAGAGGATCCGTCACCTCTCCTGCGCCTGCGACCTTCTCTGAACTCAACGCTAGGCTTGAGGTCTGGCTTGGTGGGGGTGGAGCCTTTGCCAGAGAAGGTGTAGGATAAAGATGAAGTTGCAGGGAATGAGCTGGGGGAGCGTCGATACTGAATGTAAACTGCATTCGCTTAATGGTACCGGGCTGGGCGTTCTGAGAAGCCTCTTGGGAACGTTCGCGTTCGACGGCTCGTTGATGGATGAGGTTGGTGGAGAGGCATATCTTGGAAGCCTTGGAAACATAGCGCGCTCGTGGGTGGACAAGAAATACAACTTGAATTCTGATATTAGTAGTACATGGGACAATGGGATAACTCGTGCAGAGCGTGTCGGTATCTGATGCAAAGTGAAATGAAAGTGTAACAAAATGAAAGCGGGACAAAGTGCTGCAAAGGATTGGCGAAAACGATGAGATGAAAACATACTATGTAATTTTGTCAATGGCTACTACGTCAGCAGGTGTAATCTTAAGGCTCTCAAAAGCTGAGATAGGTAAAGAAGAAACATTTCGGTAGCCACGAGGCCAGCGGGGGGGCCAAGCGGAATCTGCATCTCCAAAGAAGTGACCGTGACCGAGCTTGCGTTTTTTCGAGGAAAAGTCCTTCCTGATTGCGTCGAGCCTCACTGGAGTTGCGATGAAGAGATTGGGGTTATCGCTGAATCAAGATGTGAAAAAATTGAATTAAACACTGCCAAAAAAACATACTCGGTCTTGGAGGTTGTCTCTTTGGAGACAAATGTTGCATCCAGGTCGTCCTTCGTGCTAGACGAAGAGCTAAAAAGGTAGAATGTGAGTGTGTACACTAATGAGAAAAAAAACTGTATCATACATCTTGCAAGCCTTCGATTCTGATGTCTCCATGTCGCTGTCCTCGTCTTCGACATATTTGAATCTAGACGCGTCTTTTAAATGCAATATAAGTGTCTGTATGATTAATGTAAGTAAAACAATGCGACTCAGAATTTGAAGTGAATACTTACCACGGGTCCTGGGTGGGTCGGCGTGAACTTGATCGTATACGTTGGCCAGTCTACTGAGCAGGTTTCGACATCCATGAAGATGTGGTTGCCAGCGACACCGACTTTACCAGTGACATCGACTTTGTCACTGCAGTCGACAGGTCCGAAAGAGAGAGCAGTACTAGTGTTAGGCATTAGAATATAAATATTAGGTATAAGATTAAGAGGTCAAAGCAATACACAGCGTCAAAGCGTGTCAAACACTTATGAAAAATTCCAGCGGAGCCAAATCTAATAGGAGCCAAACAAGGACAAGCGCGTCAATAATATTCACGTGTCTTAAGTTATCACTGATTCTTATCTTTCCATCCTACACCATGGCGCGTCGCAAACGCGCTACCTCTGTTTCATCATCTTCATCATCCGACAGTTCTATCTCATCCCAGTCAGCAGTAGCTGTACCTCCGAAGAAGATCTCAAAGAAACTCACCAGGCCAAAAAAAAGGCGCCGTTCATCAGACGATGACGAGAAAACATAAGTAGATTCATCATCAGTTCGTTTGATGTTGTGATCACTAATAATGCTTTAATACAGGAATATGGAGCCTGAGACTGACCCTCACGAAGAATTTGTCGGTGCAGCGCGTTGCATAGCGCGCTGCATTGACGTGTTTTGCAAGACAAAACAACTTATCACGGTAGGTCTTTCTCTGCAGCAGCGTGACACTGCGGAGAATAATGATGTCTCGGAGGACGAAGATATCCGGGCTAGTCGCGACAAGCGACTCTCGAAAATGTGAGTCACTTATGAATCTTACCATTAACTGAATCTTTTCCTGGTCCGCAGGTCACCTAAGATCCAAGATCGATACAAGAGGAACTACACTCGTCTACTCCAGCTCGCGCCGAGCTTGAAGCTTCTACTTGGCGACCCTCGGAAAAGTTCGGAACTCAATGCCATCATCAAGAAGGTGAGTTTATGCGCATATATGCGCATATCATGTACTTAATTCATCCATCAGATGGATGCTACTATCTCCGCTACTCGTTCTGACGATACCTCGCGCCTGAAGAACCAAATCGGTCACTACGCGGCCTTCAACCTTCGTTCCCCGATAATGCCACCTATATACGACGGCACTGGTTCGCGTACCCACCTGGGTAGTAACCACCCCGTTCTCGCTCAATTTCTCTGTCCAGTCAGGGAACTCAAAGAATTTTCAAAGGACGCTGAGAAGTACGTTTTTTTTAATTCAAGTCCAACTCAAGTTAGTCTAACGCGATACAGGGCTCAGAAAAAACTTCAAAACGGCAAGATTAAGATGACTGCCTCCGCTCTTCCTGCCTTTCTGTGGGCTGGGGATCTACCAGGCAAGGACTACGACGACAATAACATGTTCGAAGGCATGTTCGAGGGTCATTTGTTGGAAAGAGTATGTGTTGTTTCTTCGTTGTTGCCTTACGCTGATGTTGCTTTAGACGATGCGCCACATCTTTACAAGTCCCTCGAGTGCGTATGGGGAGCAGACGCGGGCGACACGCACCTGTAACGCTGCCCTACACGACATGACCACAGTAGAAGCAGCGCATATTGCCTATGGCTGCTTGCAGGTTTGATTCCCCAACATCTATCTGTAGTCATGAGTTGCTCAATTTTCAAAGGTTCGTTTTGGTATTGGCGCCAAGAACGCTTGGTCAGAAGTCGACGGCAATTTCAACTATCGCGACTTCTACAACAACATTGTCGACCTCATCGAAGATTCACCCGATCCAGAATGGAAAGACGAGCTCCTCAGAGCTTGGAACATGTAAGTTTCTTTTATATTCCTCATGTCACGCTAACATGATTGATTCAAGGAAATTATTCAAGAACGAAGAAGGCCGTGAGGGCGACTCTATTAATAGTAGAGATAACGACATTTCTAGCACCTCTCGTGAAGGAAGAGACGACGATCTAGCACGAGTCCGTGCCCAAATGGCGGCTCGTCGTGCAGCCAAAGCAGCTCCAGCACATCCTCCTTCTCCCCCACCTTCCCTTTCACCACCTCCCCCTCCTCACGAGTCAACGCCAGCTCATCCTTCCGAACCAATGCCTTCTCGCGAAACAACTCCAGTGCCACCTCCTACTCCCAGGCCGGTTCCCACTCCCAGGCCAGTTGCTACTCCCAGGCCAGTTCCTACTCCCAGGCCGGTTCCCACTCCCAGGCCAGTTCCTGCTCGCAAGCCAGCTCCTACTCCCAGGCCAGTTCCTGCTCCATCTGCACCAGCACCTGCGCCTCCTCGCAAACCAACGCCAGCCCCTCACGAACCAACGCCAGCGCCTTCTGCTCCCAAACGAGTTTCTCCTCGCAAGCTTCCAGCTCCATCTGCACCAGCACCTGCGCGTGCTGAGTCGCCCGCCCCCAGTGATCTAACGGGGTCCGAGTCGGACGATGAGTCTGAACCCGTCCAGGTCAAAGGTAAACGCAAGGCCAAGAAGGGGAGCACCAAAGTCTCTAAGCCAAAGCGTGGCAAGGCTGCCCGATCTGCAGAAGCCAAGCCACGGAGAAGTTCAAGGAAGTAGCTGTCCCCTGCCTCATACATCATCGCACGTTCTCCTCTTATTCGCATTGCTCGCAGACCTCCATGTGTACTTTCATTTTCTCGCTGTCATTTGCTACTGTGCTGTACTACTGACCTACTCATAGATCACTCGTTTTCCCATTCTGTTGTCTGCTCTCGATTACCTGCATTCACATACATAGGCTCGGAACCGTTGTACCTCACTGCTTTGTACTACCATTAATTCAATGCATCACATTGTTATATCTGAACGCAATTGCAATGTCTGATGAATCTGAGCGAAATTCAAATGCATTATGTACATAGCAATGTTTGATATATCGGTACACTAGCCTAATGCCAGACTATAGTCATATGGCAGTCGCAATGTCAGAATTGAGTTTCCTAACATTGCCTTATATTGGGACCTTCCGCCAGATACATATGGCAGGTATGGTAGCTCCGACATGGCAATATATGGCCATCTCTGGATTCGGTAATTTTGGTGATGATATAAACAGTTATCACACATAGTCGCCAGCTCATCGACTCATCTTGATCCTGGGATATCCGACCGTCCGACCTCATCCGCGCCAGCAGAGTCATCGTTCCCACACATCACATGTATATACATTATTCTTGTGACTATCAGCATTGGTACGACAGGGTGGCCTGTTCCTCTGTCTGCAGAGCCTGTTGCAGGTTTGGACTGTATCCGAGGATGACCAATCCTGATACCAAAGCTTACCTAAGCAACTCAATAGCAGAGCTGGTTCATAAATTACCCTCAGGTGCAGACCTCTCAAAGAGGATGCAGTGGTATTGTCGTAAGGTGATCGTGATCTATTGCATGGCAAGCAGTATACGGACTGTACGGGGTAAATGGATAGCAATACGGATCACAAGGGAATGAATGTAAACTAACTGTATACTGCCAGAAACGATCTATCAAGTGTCCTCCTGCGTAATAAATTAGACGAGTGAATCAAGGAGGGGGATGTAGACACTGACTACCACATCCACTATCAATGCAAACAAGTAAGCAGTTTACTTGCCACCAGTGGTGCCGAGACCCATCGACGCCTTGAAGGAGTCGTAGATCCACCATTGGAAGCCTTAATTAACGTGTTGGTCAGCTATTTTAAAACAGAGTACGATGCACACGTACCGGTAAGAGTACCAATCATCAATACACGGGTGCCGAGACCCTTGGTTGCAAGTGCGACGAAACCAGTTTCTGATGCGATCGTGCCAATGCTCTTGCCCTTGTTTGCAGGCTTACCCATGAGAGAGACGACGGAGTCAGCCGGGTGGGAGACAATAGCGCAGACAACACCAGCGAGGTAACCAGAAGCAAAAGTGACTCCGAGTTGAGTGGTCTTAGCATAAGACTCCTTGGGTTCGGTGAAAACGCGAGTGTAGAAGACCTGGACAATCTTCTCAAAGAAGAAGAACTTGGCCATGGTGTAAGGGATCTGTAACAAAAAATTGTGAGCAATTCAATCGGAAAAGAAAACGCCTATTCTAACCTGACGGGACCAGAGGGGAACAAGGGAGCCGAAGGGGTAGCGGGTCTCAACCTTGGTCTTGCTCATCTCTTTGAGGGCAGCACCAAAGGCCGTGGGGAACGTGCCGCTGGGGCTAGTTTGGATCTTGACTTTGGTCATCTCGAGAGGGCAAAGGGCGATGTCAGCGAAGACCTCTGCCGATGCAGAACCAGCGAGCCAGATGGCGGGCTTGTATTTGTTAGAAAGCTCTTCGCCAGCCAAGTTCATGTACTGGTCCTTGAACACTTCATAAAGACCGTACTTGAACATGCCTTGTAGCGAGTAACCGAGAAAGGTGGGACCAAAGCCTTTCCAGATACCGGTCTGACCCTCCTCACGAAGTAGAGTCGCAAGACCAGACGTGAGACCCTTGTATTTTGCAGGATTTACCTGTTCGAAAAAGTTATGAGACACGACACGGAACCTGGAAGGACAGGATAGGCTGACCTGCATGTTACACTTAGCCACGTCAAGAGGAGTGATACCAGCATGAGTGATACCGCATGCAAGAACACCACCGAGCATGCACTTGGCATAGTATGAAGAGTCGTGAGGGACAGGGCCAAGGTATCTTCGAAAAGCACAAAATGAAAACAAACTCCACATGATACAAGATAATAAATACCTTGCGTCCCACTTGCCAGTTGGTGCTAGATGCGACATCGCTAATATTTTATGAGACTCTAAACAAATATCTATAGAGGTCCTTGATTGGAGGAGCCTTGCCAGCAAGCGCGGGCTTCGAGGTCGAAGTAGGAGAAAGACTTCAAGAAGTGCTTGCCGTGTTACGGCGAACCAAAATTTAACACTCTTTCCGCAAACAGCCGATCGGTGGGAAAGACTTGCAAGCGAACCCGGTGCTTACTAGTACTTGAAACATAACAATATTATATTTGTCGTTCTCTCTCCTCTTGCTTATGAGCGCTGCAGTGATCAAGAGCTTTACATAACTCCGCATTTGCCGGTCATTATGCATCTGCCGGACTCAACCGCCAACGCCAGACCGCCGGAAGTAAGTACAATGGTCACAGCAGCGGTTCAAGGCAAGCACCATGCACTTGCCAAAGTGAATGGAGTTTGCAGACTCCATCAACCCTACTTGGCTTCTCACTCAAGTAAAGGATGTCGCAGCTGAAAACCAATTTCTCCTTTGATGCAATCAATAGAGGAGTCGCTGGATGCATTCGCGTGGGGTGAAGCCATTGTTGTCACGGATGACGGGCGAAGGGCGATATCAATACTATTTCCGCAAGTCAATGCTCCGTCGAAGCAATGGCATCGATGATCAAGCGCACAAGGTATGAGTCCTTTGCACTCATATATTCTGTCTTCACGTCCATTCTAGCGGTACGTCTTGATATCTCTTCCTGAGGAGGGTCTTAAAATTCCCATGATGGACCCCGATAACCAGGAGCGACACAAAACCGCTTACACCATTACCGTAGACTATAAACACGGTCTGTCATGCCTTGATATAATCTCAAGGCACCACAACAGGGATTTCCGCCCATGACCGTGCACAAGTTAGTGGAGTCTGGACTCCACAGTGCACCCCGGGGGCGCCTGATTTCAGCCACCCATGACATATTGTTACCCTTGCGAGCACGGTAGGGCGGTGATTTGGAACGCAGAGGTTATACGGAAACTGGTGTCGATTTATGCGCCCTCACCAATTGGCAATCAACCTCTAGGTGTATTATGCGAGCTAGTGAATGACAATGTGTTGGAACCATGGCGCAGCGTAATGATTGCAGGGCGTTTGCCGATCGGTGAGGCCTAAAAATGACCAGTGTAGAAATGCTGGTGCAGTACAGAGACAACAGGGATGATACACTATGTATGATAGTATGTACATAGCACATAAATATTGAATTTGGGGATTCGTCTACATAGCCACAACTCGCTTCCGAACTTCCGCAGAAAGTCTGGGAATCCGAATTTCCGGCAGTCTCCGTCCGGCTGCGTGCGGGTCTGTCCGGATCCGTCTGTGCACAACTTGTCAGTTCTTAACGTCGCATCACACAATGAGCTCATTTTTACGACTCGTTACTGTCTCAAACACAATATTAAGTTAGCAATATACCAGCCTTGCCTTGTCGGGTTACAGCTTTGTGTAGTTATAGATATGGTTTGGGCATTTGCCTGTCCTCCTCGTGCACCGGGCTGGCCGGCTTTCTTCCGCTACACTTTTGTGCTCACCTACTACCAATAACTGGCTTTCTCATCCTCCATCAAAGGTGCTACATTTATGTGCTTGCCTGCCAATTGCAATGGACTCAACTGTGAACCTTGCAGATTTGTTGCAGATTCTAAACTGTTACATATTTGTACTCGTGACTCACGAGGGTATCTCTGAAATAGTTCGGACCACATCTGTGCACTGCGCTGCAGTTCGGATGTTCGTGTAATGTATATATTAGTGTCATACTCCTTTGTTGCTCCTTTGCATACAAATTATAGTGCCGGACAGATCCAGCCGGACTCGGCCGGACGGACCCGGAAATTCGAATTCCTAGATGCCCTCCACTTCCGAGTGTATTCGTGTCACAATACGTCACGTTTCCTTGGTCACACCACTGTCACGGCGCGATTAATATAAATCACTGCGTCAGCTGCGGGAACCCCACCAGCTCCTCTTAGACGCTACCATGTTCACAGTAAAGGCAACTTATCGAAACGAGACTCGCAAGTTTTCTTTCTCAGGGACTGTCTTGTTCCCCACATACGAGGAGCTTTACCAGCAGGTATGCTTACTCTTCGCTTATCTGTTCTCACTAGCGAAGCGCTGACGCTTCGCATTTGTAGCTGTATCGCATATTTCCTATAAGCCATAATTATTATCTTTCTAAACTCATTTTCTCTCCTGACGTGTCGAAGACGTCTCGTATTCTAATTGGAAAAGAAGTCCATAACGCAGAGGAGTATAACACTCGTATTGCCCCTTTACGCAGGCGCTGGCCCAACCCACTGCTCAGGTTCTCTATCTTCGACGAGACTCCCCACAAAGCACCCAGCGCAACGGTCGAAGATTCTCGGGAGGTTCCTAATCCTTTGTCCTTCATGGCGATTCCTCCGCCTCCTACACTTTTGTCGACTCCTGCACCACCCAATTCGTCATCCGCGTCATCTTTCGATACACGTTTCCAGGAGTTTCTATCATTCAAGGCGGCTCATCCACCGCCACCTTCTTCTAGACCACTTCCTACCCTTGAAGGTAGTTTTCTTGCGCCTCAAATCCCGCCTTCGTTCATTTCGCCGCCACCACCTATCATATTCTCAGAACCGCCTACTCTCTCTAGGCATCCCTCTCTTCCAAGTCTTCCTTCTCTCTCGTATCAAGCGGCCTCCCCTAAGTCATGTTGCTCAGTCGCCAAAGGGAAGTCGGAAATGGAAACCTTATTGACATCTTTCAGGAAAGATATTGATCGTATCATACTCGATACTTTTGGCGCGTGCAATGCTTCAGCACAAGTCGATACATCTCATCGGCAGACCCCTTTTGGAGCGGGAACATCCAACGAGGCTCCTCATGCTTCGTCAGAGGCGTCGTTCAACACAATGAACGTCTCAATGGAACCTCTTTCATCACATTGGTGTTTCGTCTGCAGGAACGAGTTTTCTGGAAGCTGGTATGGGTGTGTGAAATGCCCATGGCACTATGTTGTAAGAACTTTCATTTGCTAGTGATATTTGTTTCGCTGAGCCATCTGGTAGTGTCCAAGCTGTTTTTCCAAATCTGGTGCTATGCACACGTTCAGTTTGGGGCCAACTCACGTTGTCCAGCAGCATGAAACTGTACCGTCAATCGCCACCACACCGTCAGCCGCGGAAATATCTGTAGAGTCTCAGTCTACCGGAACTGAGCTTGCCGATGCTGAGCCTAGTCAAAACCCGCCTGTCATTCACCGAAATATTCTTTGTGACAACTGCAACGAAATAATTGTTGGTGTCAGACGTAAATGCCTGGATTGTCCTGGTAAGATTATATGATTTAATGTCACAACGCAGTCCTCTTATATATTCTCCGTCCTAGATTATGATCTATGCACGCCCTGTATTGAGTCAGGTGCTGCAGAGAGGCACAACCCGTTCCATGAGTTCTTCGACATTGAAATACCCGGACGAGTGCTCGTTCATACGGTCTTTAGTGGAAGCGGGGAGCGTGATGTTTCCCCAAATAGTGGTAGTGCCATAGCAGATAGTCCTCGCACTTCCGAGGTGACGCCAGTGAGCACCATAGAGACTATTCGTCATTGCGCGGCTTGCAACCTGTGTGACTCTCCCATTGTTGGTGATCGCTTCGTGAGTCAGCTTTCTGCATCCCACTTTCTTACCACTCATGGTTACCCAGAAATGTGTCAATTGTCCAGGTAAAAGCGCACTTCTGGATGATCTTAGAGTGCTGATGGTGTTTTGAAAGATTTTGATACTTGTGCCGACTGCTTCAAGTACGTGTTCTATTACAAAGTATGGTCAGCATTGACACTTTTGTGATCAGGATTACTGGAGAGCAACATCCTTATCACGGCTTTGTGCGGGTGAGCAAGCCGAGCGACCTCGTGGTAATAATGTTCTTTTTGTGAAGAAAAACCCATCTCACAAATATTCAAGATGCGCAATGCAGTGACCAACAGAACTACTCATTACGCGACGTGTGATGGTAAGTTCCGTTCTATTGATTGTGAGCACCAAATAATCAGCTGTGTCATTAGCTTGCCGCGAGACTATTCGTGGTGTCCGTTATAAGGTAATTGCCCGTCGGGCTTCATTGATGTTTATGTTTATGACGCTTGCATTTTGTAGTGCATGCACCCTAGTTGTCCGGATTTCGACCTGTGTCAGAATTGCGAAGCTCTCCCTATCCCGGTCCACCCTTCTCTTCATCCGTTATTGAAGATGAAGACTCCAGACACGGTCATTCCTACCGTGTACAGAGTCGGGATGACCAATCTCATCCATTCTCGAAGGACATCTCAGGGGAGCACTCCTCCCGAGACTTTTAAACCTCGTCCTCCGAAATCTCCGTCCGTTTCTGTATCACGCACATCCTCCGAGATTTCTGTGAAAAAAGAAGAGGAGCCCTCTCTTGTTCCCGAGTCTCTGAGTCCCCTTGCTATCTTAGCACAGTGCCCCGATTGCGTCAGTGAAAACTCTGTCGCCTCTTGGGGTTATGGTCTAACTCCTGCTAAATTACCGCAACCCCCACAGTCTGTCACTCCTAACTGCAAAGAACCTTCCTCGTCTCCCACCAGATTAAGTACCAGCTCCTGCTACCAGGTGATCAGACCTGTCGAGGTCAGTGTAACTCTTGCTGGCTTCTAGTGCCGTTTCTGATTGTGTCTAAATTGTCACAGTCCGAGAAGCCTTCCACTGTTGATCGCGAACAATCGACCTCGCCTTACAGCAACTTGGTCCAGACGATCGATCGCTCTTCCGTTGAGGTGAACTCGCCACCCCTCGACCTGAACCCTTCACTCGATATCTTTCGTGAAGTTTGGCCAAAAGTGAATCGAGAAATGAAACACCTCGCTGAAGCAAGACAAATAGACGTAAATTCGCCTAGTTCTGTGGCCGGCTCCGACAAAGCCATTGAAACCGATCTGGGAAAGCTGGCGGAATCCACGACTTCTCCTGTCAAAGCAATTTTCCCTACAGAATCTGTGGAGTCACTCCTCAAGGAAGAGTCGCCTGTTATCCCGACGCTGTCTTTTGATGTTCCACCGATGGATTTTGCTGGACTTCTACGTGGTTTCCGTACACCGTCCCCTGTCGCTTCTAAAGCACCTTCTCCATCCACTACAACTTTTTCTTCGCTCCCTGATAGCGTCACAGATGAACAAGCCACTACTACGCCCCAACAGGCGGGAATTACACCTTTCAGCTGTGCTTTTGTATCCGACACGACAGTTCCTAGCGGTCAGATTTTTCCACCTGGTGCTGAGTTCGTTAAGTCCTGGCGGATGTTAAACGATGGGGACAAGGCTTGGCCAGAGACGACTCAGATTCACTTCGTTGCGGGGGAGTCTTTCTCACCTGGAGCTGACTCTTCGATGGTTGTCAAAGTAGGACGTGTTGATCCTGGTGAAGCTCTTGATGTGTGGACCGGTGACCTGAAGGTTCGTTCGTCGGGTCTGGTACAATTTGTAATCGCTAAAGCACATTGCCTATCAGGCACCCGATGCTCCTGGTAGATATGTCAGTTACTGGAAGTTGACGGACGGTGCTGGGGAAATGTTTGGTCCTAGTGTTTGGATTGAGTACGTTCGGTTCTCTGTCTGGCTGCATTTGAATTAATGCCTTTCACAGCGTTACTGTCACCGAGCCTCGTCAGTCAGCTGATGAAGCTGACGATGATTCTTTGGCATCATCCTCTATGGTCATGCCAAAGTCATCATCTGACAATAGGTCTGCTCATTCTGTCGGACCCCTTGGTCACTTATTTGAACCGTCATATCCTTCAACGTCCAAACCTACGACGGACGGGACGGACGATGGGGCCTCTGATGGATCGTCAGTATCATTGGTCAGCGTTCCTTCGTCTGATGACTATGGATCCGACTGGCAGGATACGCATTCCCAGCCTGAGAATCTTGAGTACGTTGTGCTATATGACAGCAATGGCTCAGAGGATGAATAAAGATTCTCGATAACTTCTGTTTGACTTCTATTTACGATGTCTTTATATGCAGCGGCAGATCGATCCGCACCTTCTTGTTATCGTGTACTATTACAAGCTATCTGATTAGAATCCATATCGAAGAGAATCCGTACAGCATGACCAAGACGTGTATATACGAGAAGCGGTACTTCATTTACCGAATCGACTATTCTGTACCGCAGTATAGAAGCCAGGTGATCCGGATAAGCAGTCAAGGAGGATAACCGGAAATCTGACCCGAAACCACAGCACGGGATGACGAAAAGCCTGAGAAATGGGGGTGAGCGCGGGCGAGTAAAGAATGCGAACTTGAACGTTCAACAAGGGCAAGCCGGTGGCGTGGTTCATTGCAAGGTGGCCGATACCGTGACAGCCACGACCGCTTCAGAGCCTGTAGTGCTCTGGAAGTAGATCGGCTCCTTGAATTAAAGCAGGGTGGGTTAAGACCTCGACCACCCCTCGGTAAGCCTATTTCCTCGTACCTATTCTGTACTGTTCTGCCATGTTCGCCTCACTCCCATCGCCAAGCCGAATTCTGCGGCTGCCCCCTCTGCCCGTTTTCATTTACTACAGCCTATGGACATCGGTGCTCAGCACCGACGGATGGACCTCGATTGGAGTCACCCTGTGCATTCCTTGGGGAGCGCTTCCCTATACACCACTTCTTCATTCCGTCTCGTTGTAAGCTGGATGGTTACGGAATCAGATCACGACTACATCATACATCATTACGCTTTACCTTGTCATTTCTCGGACTCTGTTATTTCCCGCTTAGTGTTACCACGACTCGAACAAGACTCGGACGGGTTTTCAATGAATAGTGTAGCCATCTGCTTGACAATGTTTAATCGTGAACCAACTTGTCTTTGATATTAACATGTATGCAGACACTGATAGTGGGGGTGACGGGCAGGATGCAAAGAGATGTCGGCATTCACGGATGCTGTAGGCATGTATACCGACACAGTTTTCAGGGTCCGAACTTTAATTACTAATTAACGACGTTGACGTTAAATTGCAACATTGTTTTTAAAAGATAGACAGGCTATTTCGGTTAATGCTATCAGATCACAGCATCACTCCAAACCGTTGTACATATGCCGAGGTCCCCATTGTGACCATTCAGGACGAAACCGACCCTTCCTGCTATGAGCTCGACGTAGAAGGGCAACAGCCTATGAGCCAAGGACATCCAGAGGAAGGTACTCAGGCCACCAGTAGTAGTTTAAAGACTCGGAGGTGTCGAAACCTTTCTTCCGCCTTCCCCGCATCTGGCTCTGAGAGTCGAGGCTTGGATCTATTTAAATCCCGACGGGTGGACTCAACTGTCTAGGGGGAACCGAACCACTCTCAAGGGTAGCTCCTGTCATCGTTCGCTACCCTCGGCACTCATGCAGCATGCCAGACGAGAAGAAATCTGGTCGAAACTGCTATCTCCTTTCCGAAAAACTATCCCTCACGAAACCCCTGTAAAACACTCCGAGCCTGACTCTCCTGGTGACGGCAAAATCCCTAGTTCCCTCATTGTCCCTGTGTTCAAAGCTGAACTGCGTAAAACTTCCGGACATATCCCCCGTACCAACGGCGTGCAACCCTTTCCAACGGAAGAGTCTTGGGTGTCAGTGGCGAACCATGGAGACAGCCGTGACTCCGGCACGAGTGCTCAGACAGGTTGTACTACTCCAGGCGCTAATTTCGACTCTTTTTCTACTCAAGCAGTTCTGCCTCCCGCTTGCCCTGGAACATGTCACGACTCTCCTAGAATAAGTGGAGATTTAGAGGGAAGGCTAGGCAATGCATATCACCACATTCAAAACATGCCCCCCTCGCCGATATCACCCACTATTAACCAATTCATTAGCGATCCTCGCACGTATCATAAGCAATTGGGACTGCCTCAACATTCCGTCATCAACCAGCCAACGCTGAAGATGCCGAGCCTTCCGAATCCTCACGCGACGCATGCAAGATCACAGTCACAATCCCCTCCGTCATCGTTTCGCTTTGAATCTCTACCTGCGCCGCGGACTTGGGACAATGTACCTGGACCGAGTAGTGCTCCACAATCTCGTCATCCTCAGGAGTTCCAAAAATATCACCAACCATCATTGCATATTGATGTCGATGTTCATCCTAATGATCGCCGTCCGGCAACGGCTTCAGTCCATTCCTCCCAAACTTCGCCCGTCATGATCCTCGACCCTATAAAGCCCTATCCCGCCGGTGCCGGTGCGCCGTCGTTACCGCAGCCAGAGGATGGCCATATTACTAGATCAGAGCTTCCCCTTCAAAGCAAGGCAGAGTTGATCAAGCGACGGTCAGCAGCACTGTCGCATTTTTCAAGTCTATCCCAACCATCATGCCGCATTACCTCTGAGGAGACTCATACCACAGACGAGTCAATGTTCATCAAGCAATGCTTACCATCGGTTTCTCGTGTCTCAAGTACATCCCCCTCATCATCATGCCACTCTACGTCAGAGGAGGCCAGTACCCCTTCGTCATCCAACCAAGAATCAAACTTCAGTAAGGACGTCCGCAACCAAAGTTTTCTACCACTCGTTATACCCCCCTCACCACTACGGCTAGACATAGTGAGTCCCAGCACCAAGTGCACCTGGTCCATCGTTGACTTATTACCTTTTAGCCGTTACATCAGCCATGGCACGATCGGCGAACGAACTTTGAGTTGTCACCCACGCGGAGAAGCTACCATAGTGGTGCATCCATTACCCTACCAGCATCAAGCACTCAAAAGGCCAGTCCCAGCACTGAAGCACTTGCGTCTTTGGCATGGATTGGTACAGCTCCAATGAGCACTTCCGTCTCGACATTTTCTGGCAGTTCGCATTATACCCAGTTCAGCGCTGTTCCGACCGACGAGGAGATCAGTATATCCATGGCAATGGACGAAAATCTATCAGATGAAGCCGTGGTAGAACATCTCGAAATCATACGGAAACGGAGTTTCAAGGACAAATATCAGCCACTTCCTGTCCCGAGGGCCACTAGCCATGGCGTACCACTTTCTAAGCAAGGATCTAACCATTTGTTTCAACTCGGAGATCACCTTACCAGCCATTCAAGTTCGCCATGGCGATCGGAGGAGCCCGAATCTATGTCACCCTTACCTGTGATTTTGGATGATGCTGAGTTGGACATTGACGACGCTGCGCTCTGGAGTACTGCCAGAAAGGCTTTGCTTTGCATCCGAGAAATCGTCGGGACGGAGAAAAAATACCAAGGAGCCCTCAAGATGCTCCAGACGGGACAGGTTCGTCACCAATATGACGTCTCAAGGGAATGTCGTGACTGAGTTGATATATTTAGACAGCGAATCAACCACCTTCGCTGTTGTTGACATACCTTCCTGACCTCATACGAGCATCAGAGGCGTTGTTGAAGGCCTTCCTTGATGACCCCTCTGCTTGGGGTGTATCCACCGCCTTCATGGCTTGCGAAGATGATATTGAAGTTGCTATGGTTTCGTGGTGCAGCGTGGTAGGCACCTTCTTTACTAATAGTCCCAGCCACGAAAGCGAGTCTGCCATCACGGGAGGGAAATGGCGTTCGCGCAAGTCTCTGCTCTCCGCCACAAACAATCCTCTCGGTACTGTGGTGGAGAAGTCGAGTGGAAGATCTTCACCCGCTAGTTCCTCTCCTCCTCCTCTTCTCACTTTAATGAGTGAGGCAGGGAATAGAATCAGAGATAGACAACGGGTTGTTGAACACTATTGGAAGGTGTTTGATTACAGCGGCGCCGAATCTCACAGTCGATCCAAGGGAGAGCATCCGACTCGAAGGCAAAGTGTACGGGATCTTGCAATTCAACCAATACAGCGAGTCACGAGATATGTTTTGCTGTATCGAGGTATGTTCTATTCTCATTCCACAATTTATCGCTTTCAATCCTGCGGGGATAGATCTCTTGGAGAGTACTCCTGTCACCTCTCCTTCCCGCGCTCTTGTTGAGAGAGCGCTCGAAGCTGCGACCCGCATTGCTAATAAGTGCGACCGCGCACAAAACAATACTGCCTTTTTCCATGCATAGAATGGTTTCCACCACATACGTATTCTTCCGTTCAAAGTATCAACATCAAATAACTGCGCCGGTCTGTATCACACTGCCACTGTTATACCCTCATTGTATATACGTAACATACAAGTCATTCTGCCTTGCCTTGTTGTTCTTGCAATTTCCTGTTATCCCGTGGGAGCTAACGCTCACCCGAACAATATTCACTTTAATGCACTGACAATGACAACATCTCGCCCCATGACCTCAGTTTGGATGTGCTTCAAGGAGGGGATCTAATGTAACCTCAGGTGAAAACTCATGATTCTGCATGAACGTGTCCTTTTTCATACCTGCGTAGCCAATAATTTCTCGCCGTAACCGACACCATCGTCACCAATCAGCATCGGAGCAATTGTGATGATGAGTGTGTCAATAATGGTATTAGGCTTGGTGCGTGCACATTCCGCCAAGAAAGAGCCGATAACAGTTGCACCTCCTTCGACCATGAGACTCTTGATTCCAAAATTGTAAAGGACCTTCAAGAGGTCCGGGATAACGATGAAACCTGAAGATATCCATATGACTCGCGCAAGACAACATAGAACATGACCCACCGTCTACCGAGGGCACGCCTATCACTCTTGCCCCAGCGTCCTCGAGGATGGATTTTCTTCCATCACCGGAGGACAAATTAGCATCGCAAATTACCCATGGACGGCGACCTTTCCTTTCCCGATAATTTTTGAGCAGCTTGCAGTCCGGTCTAAGGCGTAGGTTTGTGTCGAGTATCACAGGACGAGGCAGATGGCTTGGCCGTTCATCCTCAGGGATATGGCGACCTTGTTGTACCTACATAAGTCACATGCGCAGATGAGATTTGAGACGTACTATTTAGCTGGGGATCGTCGTTTAGTGCAGTACCGATGCCAACTAGGATGGCATCGTGCTTGGTGCGCATCCTTCCTTAGGAATAGTAAGGGATGGATGTATATGTGAGTTTGAGATCGGTATCATACCAATGAGTCATGAGCATGCTTTCTCTGCCGCTAAGAATAAGCTGTTTGCCCCCCTTGCCTGCTATCTTCGCGTCAAGAGATTGAGCGAATGTGAGGGTCACCAAGGGTCGCTGAAACTCATCCTCCAAACGACTATCCCCAGGTACTGGTAATACAGACGAGAGGAACTCCGTTACACGTTGACCACCCACTGCCAACATTCTGTTCAGCAGTCAATTGATAAGTGACTTGGAGTCTGGTCCGAGTCAAGATCTGGTCGGAGATGAAAATTAAAATTAAAATGCCGGCACCTCTGTCACGTGATGCGTGGAGGCCATTAGTAAACAAACGCGAAACGCGTGCACAGAGACAAACAACCCTTTCTTCACCACTACCACAATCAATCTTCGCAAACGTCGAAGTGAAGCTCTTTATTTTCTTCAATCAACCCTTATAACACTCGTGAAGCATGTCTGGTCGCGGAAAAGGTGGCAAGGTGTGTAACTTTGAGTCAGGTCCTGATCCGCGGAGCTCACTATGTTTTGGAACGATCTGTAGGGTCTCGGCAAGGGCGGTGCTAAGCGTCACCGGAAGATCTTGCGTGACAACATTCAGGGTATCACCAAGCCCGTGCGTCCTCCCACTATGTTCATCGTGTCAATGGTACTCACTCTTTATCCGCAGGCTATCCGACGCCTGGCACGTCGTGGAGGTGTCAAGCGTATCTCCGGTCTTATCTACGAAGAGACTCGCGGTGTACTCAAGATCTTCCTTGAGAATGTTATTCGCGACTCTGTTACCTACACGGAGCATGCTAAACGGTGAGCCTTCCCTTGCCCCGTGACTGTATAACTTCTCGCTAAGCTGTTGACATGCACACAGGAAAACTGTCACCGCTCTCGATGTTGTCTACGCATTGAAGCGCTCAGGGCGCACACTTTACGGTTTCGGAGCATAATTATCCGTATTTGTATGGGAGCATATTTCTTTATTGGAGCAGAACTCCTTGTTGGTATCAATATTTTTGTATACTACATAGTCCTATTATCGGCTCCTCTTATCATTCCACAATTCCACTAACTCATGAGCAACCTTTCCACCGGGTTCCGAATATGCAATATTAATGTTTGTCCTTATGACAGTGGGGTGCGAAAATTCACGATTACCTAATGTAAATGCTGCGCTTGCAAACGCGCAAGCTTTGATTAGTTGTCCATAGAAATCGATATCGTTTCAGACTATTGAACATTTCAATGATATCCAAGGACGATAAACAAGTTGAGCCAAAAAGCATCGTGCCACAGGATCACGAAGAGGACGATGTGGAAGAGGATGACGTCGTAGACGAAACTCCAGGCACCGGAGGTGAGCCAATCGAAAGTGGTCTCGAAACTATCATCACATGTTATTCAGAAGAGACCAAGAAAAAGAAGAAGAAGAAGAAATCTAAAAAGAAAAAGGTGCAACAGTCAGATCCCCCACGAGTTGGCCTGTCGAAGATATTCACGAATGGTGTCTACCCAGAGGGGGAGATTCAGCCCTACAAGGACGAGTAAGTATTGCAACCACAATGAGTTATACGAGATTGACAACGTCTTGTTTACAGCAATACATGGAGGACGACGTCCGAAGAGAAGCGCTATGACGAAAGAATGGCAATGGAAGACCCAGAGATCACGTACCAGAGTATCCGTCGTGCCGCAGAAGTTCATCGGCAGGTTCGACAAAGCGCACGGAAACACATACGTCCGGGAATGACCATGACCGAAATCGCAAACTTGATCGAGGATGGCAGCCGTGCCCTGGTCGAGGAAACCGGACTGGAGTCGGGCATTGGTTTTCCGACTGGACTCAGTTTGAATCATTGTGCTGCTCATTACACACCAAACGCTGGGGATACTAATGGTGTGTATATGTTAAATGGATAGAATTCGCTGCTTATGCATGGTAAGTTCTTCAAAGTGGTGATGTTTTAAAGATCGATATAGGAGTGCACGTAAAAGGACGCATTGTCGATTCTGCTTTCACGCTCAATTTTGAGCCTACTTATGACAGGCTCATTGAAGCAGTAAAGGCTGCTACTGATACCGGCATTAGGGTAAGCCAAGTCTAGCTTTGGCATGTTCGACTGCAGTTTACAGGAGTGTGCGTAGGAATCCGGTATCGACGTGCGCTTGGGCGAAATTGGAGGTGCTATCCAAGAGACTATGGAGTCATACGAGGTTGAGGTCAACGGAAAAATATATCCAGGTAATCATCTTTCGTCCGGTGTTTCGGACTCCTCTGACATGTTTTCAGTCAAGTCGATAGAAAACCTTAGCGGGCATTCTATAGGACTTTACCAGATACACGGCGGAAAATCGGTTCAACTTGTGAAGAACGATGATCAGACGAAAATGGAGGAAGGCGAATATTTTGCTATTGAAACCTTCGGCTCGACAGGTCGTGGACGTGTAGTTGAAAGCGTAGGATTGGGTTGCGGATGCACTTGTCAGATCTGGCTGATTTCGTTGACAGGGCGAGTGCTCGCATTATGCAAAAATCATCGACGCTCCCCGCGTCCCCCTAAGGTTAGTCACCCCTATTGCTGCAATTTGACAACCATTGACGTCTATAAATTGGAAGACTGACTTCCGCCAAGTCGCTACTCAAGTCAATCAGCAGTAACTTCGGAACTCTTCCATTTTGCCGACGGTACTTGGATCGCGTGGGTGAAAGCAAATATCTACTGGCGGTTGGTCACACGACTTGCTAGGCATTCCATCGTTAATTAATTCGGCCCAACATTAGCTTAACCATCTAGTGCAACAAGGAATCGTTCAAGACTACCCACCGCTTTGCGATGCCAAGGGTTCCATGACCGCGCAATTTGTAAGCCTTTTTCAATTCCTGATCTCGAACTTGGTCTCTCAACGTGGCAAATAGGAGCATACGATCCTTCTTCGGCCCACCGTTAAGGAGGTTATCAGTCGAGGCGATGACTATTGAATATGTAAGATACTACTTATGCACACCAATTTTATTTTCGCGGTCGTCATCTATCAAGGTCTCCCTAGCCGGTTTTCAGTCCACAGGTGAAAACTCTAGATTGTTTGGTATGACACTCTTTGAACCGCTTGCGTGGGCGTTACCAGACATGTCAAATTTTTGTAGCGCTAAGTACAGATGCGGCCTTTTGTGCTGATGCGGCAATGGGCGCTTTCAACGGTCATCGACTGGTCATCGACATCATCAGCATTATTGTGTGATGGATTACTCAGTCACGTGATTTCCGATTCGGACATTCGTCATGGAGCTGCAACTTAATGTCGGAGCACTCGACAAGAGCAGCACCATAAAGTTACGTCGTCCTTATATATTCTAACCAGAACACGTCCAACACCTCCAGTACACGTCTACTCTCCCATTATCACATTAGCGGAATTTGACACCCCCTATTGACCTCCAACCACCTGTTTGAAGTTGCAGTGTTACACACCGAAGATGTTTCGGGATTCATTGCGACTTCTATATCATGGATCCAATGCTAGTTCCCCAGTAGTAACAAAAAAACCATCGGCAGTAGCTCTTCTACAGGAATTTGATTCCCCCGGCGTCTTCCCGGCGTCTGCACGCCTTGACCGGAGTCTCAGAACAACGAATGGCTTCACTATGAAAGTTTGGGACGCATGGAAATATCCTGCCTTCGCAGTCAATAAAGGTAAGCATCCGCAGTGCTCTATCAATGATGTAATGCATTCTGGACCCTGACATCATGCATCCAGCATCATCCCTTGCTCTCGATGTGATATCTCATCATGTTTGGGGCCCGCGTAGGAAATCATGGGGCATTGAGATGACCATACTCTCTAGTCTCATGCGGGATGTTTCGAGGCATTCTGCACTGGCTGATATCGTGAGTGTCGTTTGCGTCGTTCGCAACCCTAGCAATGACAATAACCCTAGGCTATGGTTCGCAAGGCAATGAGTATCGGAGGGCTAGTTCCCTTACCCTCAGATGCTTTAGTCACTCCAGTGACTTTCCGTGTGCGTAAACGCAACCTTCGTGGTATGCTGGAGGCTTGCGATGTGATGGAAGACGGAAAACGTGAACTTTCTGGGGAGTGGATAATCGGCAAGAGACTCTGGCAATCTTTGCAATCGGATTACAAGTCCACTCGCAGAACAGGGGAATGGGACAGCTTTGTCGACCAGACGAAAATTGATTACGATTCTCGAAAGGGGCAATCTCGAATCATCCTCTACATTCACGGCGGTGAGTTCGTGGCGCTCTCTGTACAAAGCAGCGTTTGATTTTGTTTTCAGGAGCATATTATTCATCCAGCGCTGCAGCACAAAGGACGCTGACCATACCACTATCCAAATATACCAACGCACGCGTATTTGGTGAGTTCCTTGATCACAGCTCGCACTACCATCCTTGCCTCACCTCAATCCAAGCCATCGATTACCGGCTTGCTCCGGAAACGATTTTTCCTGGTCAGCTGCACGACGTGGTTAGCACCTACTTCCGCCTGACGGATGACTTGCGGGTGCCGCCAGAAAATTTAGTTGTAGCGGGCGATAGTGCGGGCGGTGCACTAGGCCTTGCACTCCTGCTCTATCTACGAGACAATGGATACACTCTTCCGGGAGGTGCCATGTTATTCTCTCCCTGGGTTGGTATGTAGCGATTGATGCACTTTTTTGTGGGTAGTCTGACACATACTCACAGACTTAACCTTGAGCTGCGAATCGTGGGATACTAATGCTGCCTACGACATCATTCCTACTCCCGGTCCAACCGCTCACTTGCACCCCGTTATAATGTATCTAGGAGACACACTCGAACAGTCCATTACCCACCCATACGCCAGCCCATTGTTTGGCAAGTTTTATGGACTACCACCCATGCTTATTCAATGTGGCGAAGCGGAGGTTCTGCATGACGAAATCGTGCTTCTCTCACACAAAGCTTCACTGGCCGGTGTCCAGGTTCAGTTGGAGACCTACGAGGATGCTGTAAGTTCATCGATTTTTTCGTTTGTTGCACTGATCATCGGTTTTTTTTTTCAAGATTCATGTTTTTCAAGCATTTCCTTTCTTGAATGTTGCAACAACTGCCTTTGTCTCTTGTCGCGAATTTGTGCGACACAAGTTGCCTTGTATCCAAAGCCACTCGCCTCAGGTTTTAGATAGTGACACCGAAATTTGCCTCGAGAACGATACAGATAACGATAACGTCCGCGTCGTCCGCGGCGACGGTGTGGAGACTAACTTAGGATGGCAAGAGGTTCAGGAACAGATGGCTCGAGAAAATATCGACCGGAGTTACGAAGCGCAATTGAGCTCAGCAGTGCCTCCGAGCTGGGGTCGCACTTGGCTGGATTTGGAGACTCCTAATTCCAGCGGTAGTGAGGCAGAACCAACTACGCCTTGCGTGACCGTCACCGATCCATCCCGGGTTCTTCGGCGTGCGGCGTCCACCCCAGCTCTGCGCCGGATGCAGTCTGCTCTCTCCGTTCTCTCCGAGAGATCAGCCGCATCCCAATATCTGGAGGACTGGCCCGCTCGTCGCAAAAAATTCACATTATCACCTACACCAACTCGTCCTTCGTCTCCCTCCGAATCCTCGCATCCTCGCATCAATATTCCTGCTCTTGCAACATCTTGGGCCGCTATGACATCAGTTGCCTCCACTACCTACCTTGTATAGTACTGCCTTAAACACATCGGTGTTGCTATGTCATTCGCAGAATTCACGCCCAGATATATATATAACAAGTAACACATAGCAAATAGTCCACTCCATGGGATGTCCGATAATATCTACCAGTCGTGTGGTGCTTGTGATACCAGGATCTGCTTGTAAAGCTCAAGCTCTTCTATAACATTCTGTAAAGCTTTCCTCTCCCAGTTTCCGAATATGAAACCTTCGTAAAGGTTTGTCGTAGCCAGCCACGATAAGTAAATGACAAGAAGCACAAAGACTGGGTTGAGCCAGGGAACAACAACCCATGCGGATCCAATAATGAGACCAATCAGCGCCAAGATGCTCGTTGCAAAGATAGTCAATTCCTTGCGAGAACGATCTTGCGACATCCTGTAGGATGTGTTGAAGGCGCTCGTCACCTCGGTGACGACATTCGAGGAGAGTTCAGAGGGGGAGTTGAACCACACTGCTGAGGTATCCTTCAACGACGCCATATCATCTTGTTTACCCTCCGCCTGCATGTTAATGACTAGGGTCGCCTCGACACCAAAGTGATCAGAATAGGAGCACGAGTTTCCGGGAATGGAATCGGTGAAGACAACCTGACTATCTCGGCAGGTTAATCGGGGAAGGTGGTCATTGGACCCGTTGGGGCTGGGATGCCGGAATAAGATATAATCAAGGCGTTTCCCTTGGTATTTGCGAACAATTGGGTCGCCAGAGGGCTCTGAGTCACGATAAGAATTAAGAGGCGAGTCAGCAGTGACGCCATAGTTGACGACACCCTCTATGGGAGATATCATCCCAGAGGGCGGGGGTATGTGTGCATGTGAAGTCGCCCACGAGTCAACCAGTCCGGCATAGTTCAGGATGATATTCACCGGGAGACTTGTTGGAATGCTATTGAAATCACCCATCTATTTATGTATCAGCAACGTGCGAGGAACAGATAGCATCTAACTCACGGCGATCACATATCGCCCTAATTCAGCGGCTTGCCGTGTGACTTTCGCAAACTCCCAAGCATTCACGAGGCGGTATGTTCTGTTGTACTCAGGACCTGATTCCCCGCCCTTTGCACAGAACTTGGATGCATTGTCAATACCAAAAAAATAGTATGTGTGTTGGCGGGCTTACATGCGTGACCAAAAGTTGGACCGGTCCAAGAACCGGATGCATGATCGTTACGCTCCCAACGCCCTTGCCTACAAACCAGTCTCCTCCGAAGGCGTCTGCGGGTTCGCCAACAAGAGAGTATGGAGTCATGCTGGTAGCAATGATGGGCCATTTTGTAAGGATAGCAAGTCCGGCACCAAGAGCACCGCTATAAGTAATGGCATAAGTGTGTACCCACCACACAAGAAACGTACTACCTATGAAAAAGCTTCGTGTAGGGCAAGCGAGAGACGACACTTTGCCGAATTTCATTGTAGTCTGCCTCGACCCAGATTTCTTGGAGTGCAATGATATCGTAATCCGAGCGACCGAGCGCACTAGCTATTGCGGTAACTCGTTCGTGCCGGTCTTTAGAGACATATTTCAAGCCCCTACGTCGCTCTTAGCATCAACCTGACCATGTGCTTGGAGACTCGGAGATGACATACCAGCAATTGAGAGTAACAACTCGAATTTGTTCTGCCATGGTGGTGGTAGAAGGTAACCGCAACGAGTGAGTTGCTACCTCGGACTGGTGCGAATTTATAGAATGGCTATTGGATGGCATTAATGGATGCGGTACTACTTCCTACACGCCATGTTGGGCGTTACTCTTGGTCCCAAAGGTTAAGCCGCCCTTGGTTATTACGTGATAAAGTTTCACAGGAGCATATATCACGTGCCACTACTTTATCCATTCACCGTTCTTGTCGTCGTGTACCCGCTGTCAGCAACCAGCGAGAACGACTTCAACAACCGGCTGCGAATGCTTTTATTCCATTAATCTAATATTCTCTCTAATCCCCGTACAAAATTCCCAGTACAACTTGTCTCCGTGAATGGTCTGAATGATGCAATGACCGTTATTACCGACGACCGTGACCATCTGCTTCTCGCCTACAACCTCGCGGATGCATATTGTTGATCAGGCAAGCAAGCTGGGGTCTTTTAAACATACAGTGCTCAGCTGGCGTAAGTAACTGTCCTGTTTTGTTACAATGTGGTCTCTACTCTACGGCTGTGCTCGCACAATCACCATGAATAACTGACTTGATTCAGAAACATTTTCGCCACAATGCATCTACCATACTCCTTTCACCAGCCCACAAGTGCCTCCAACCCCCCAGACCACCCTCCTAAGTCACCTTCTCAAGCTCAAACACCATATGCATCTCAGGCGTCTAGCACTACTCCGTACCATCGCCCCCGTTAATCAGATTCTTTGTAGGTTGATTAGATTAATTCAGTTTCACTACCTAGGCCTAGATTTCTATGTAGCTGTTATTATATCAATGAGCCATTTTTGCTGTTCTGTTTGTGCCTCTTCAAGTTCTATCTTATCGATTTGGCGTAAGCATCGCTTATAATCCTTTGTCTTGAACCATGACCACCACTACAACTTTCACTCGAAATGAGTAGGTGTCGTAATCGCACTCTGTATTACTAAATTTCTAAAACTGTGATAAAGTATCGAGATCGCGACAAGGGCAGCAGACGCGTTTACGCGTTTGTACTACACCACATATGACTCCCCTACAAGGGTGGATGATCTCCCCAAACTTTATCGCTCCTCATCGACAGTGACTTGGAACGGAAATCCATGTCAGGGTGCTGAGGGCGTGAAAAAACTGATTCAAGATATGCCAAGTACCAGGCATGAAGTTCAGTCCTACGATTGCCATCCTATACCAGGTCTGTTTCTTGTGATGCCCCGCAGTGACATAAACGCTCACACATGTTTCATGTCATCACAGGCTCTCAACCCCCATCACTTCTTGTTACGGTGTCTGGCAATGTCACCCATGGACGCGGTCCTGCTGGCAATCCAGTATCGACACCGGTCAAATCAGTCGATGGACAGCCCAGAGTCTTCTTCCAATCATTCATGTTAGTACCCGATCCAACGGCACCAGTAGTCAAGGCGGGAGAGGTTGCAAAGTACTATGTGGATGCTGATTCTATGCGATTTGTGGGCTAAGGCTCGTCGACGCAGATATACCAGTATGTGTTTCCATCACTGAGCTGCTCTCAGTAATCCTAATCGTCGTTCTTAGGTTTCATTGTCTGTCGGGTATCATGGATCATCTGACCGAGTTATTGCGCAAGGTCTGGTGCCTTAGCAAGCAATAGCAGTATCAGAACCATGCCGCCACCATCAGTCATCTTTAAGCGATCTACTATGGACACCGAGCAGCAGATTGCAGCAGGCTGATCAACGGCGGCATTATACTTTACAACTACAGATAAATAGTAAAATAGTCCAACAATTATGCGAGGGTTTAACCAAATGTTTGACTCTATTGCCAGGATTAGCACATAATTGAGGCAGCATTTGGGTGACTACATACCGAGCGTGCACTTCGTTTGACCTTCGATAGTCGCCATTCGTCGGGTTTCTCGTACTAGGAAATGCGTGAGCCTCAGATGCATGTCTCGTACGGATGCGGTGCATACCTTGTTGTACAATGGTTCGATCTTTTCCTGCCTCTTCCGCTTACTGATCTTGTTGGCGTCGGCGACTTTGAAAAATTGAGGTGCAACCTCCACGAGCCATTTTGGCTCTATAGTAGTGACGTTGTGACAGTATTCGCGAGTGGTCAACACCAACTCGTTATAGATTAGCCATTCGGGCGCACGGTTGAAGAGAGCGGAAGAGGGATGGATATATACGGGTGTTCCTTCAACAAGTGTCTTGTAGCCTTCTTGAGGATCTTTCTTAGCTGCATTCCGGAAGAAACCAGAACATATCGCCTTCCGCACACGGTTGTAATCATTTCCTGCCGATAGAATATCATGCTTGTATCTGAAAAGATGGTTAGAATTACGAATTGACTCTTCGAGAATTTCCACGCACCTGTCCATGATGCCCACTAGCTGCTTGCGGATATCCTGTGCACGCCGCATGCTTCTTGCTTGGATGAAGTTCTCGTAGCACCAAGGATTTGAGAAGTTTGCACCTTTCCAGCCATTGTATACCGTCAGAAGGGTAAGGTGATCACCCTCCGGCTGATGGAACTTTGCTTTCTTAGAGTCGGCTTGACCTTGTTTCTCCTTTGGGCGGTAGAAGACAGATTGGACAGACAACATAGCCACAATGGAAAGGATCTCTTCAGAACAACCAAGCTCGACAGAGGCGATGAGCATCTTCGCAAGCGGCGGCTCCATGGGGAAGTCAGCCATCTTGCGGCCCAAGCGAGTCAAAAGACCTTCGTCATCCAACGCTGAAAGCGCATACAATGACTCCAACGCAGTTAGCATGGTCTGCGCTGGCGGTGGGTCCATAAAATCAAAACTAAGCAAGTCATTGATACCCATTGCCTTGAGCATCAGAATGGTATGGGAAAGATTCGTACGCTGAATATCGGGAATAGACGTGGGTAACATCTCGTTCCGGTAGGCAGCCTCCGTGAATAGACGGTAGCACTTTCCTGGACCTGTGCGACCAGCACGCCCAGAGCGCTGCCGTGCTTGTGCCTGGGATATGGGCATGACCACCAATGAATCCATTCCTAGTCTCGGGTCGTATGCGTTTTGCTTCGAGAACCCGGGATCAATGACATAGTAAATCCCAGGAATAGTCAAACTAGTTTCCGCAACGTTGGTAGCAATAACGACTTTGCGGGCGCCAGGAGGAGTGGGTTCGAAGACACGCGACTGTACTTCAGATGGAAGGGCGGAATAAATGGGGAGGATAATGAGGTCTGGCACTTTTGGACCCAACGCTTTCATACGCTCAAACAGGATTTCGCATGATGTATCAATCTCCTCCTGGCCCGTCAAGAAGAGGAGAATGTCGCCTGGGGGCTCGGACAGGTGGATTTGCATGACAGTGATTAGTGACGCGTCCAGGTAGTCGGATTCCGGCTCTTTGGTGTAAAGAATCTCTACGGGGTATGTGCGACCTGGAATGGTGAAAATTGGGCACCCGAAGAAGTACTTCGAGAATTTCTCAGCGTCCAAAGTTGCCGAGGTGACGATTAGCTTTAGATCGGGTCGCTTCTTGACGGCCTCTGCAAGGGCGTCAGAAAATGTCGACCAAATGAATGTGCACAAACTTACTTTTAAGAAGACCGAACAAAACGTCAGTTGCGATGGTCCGTTCATGAGCCTCGTCAAGCATGACCACAGAGTACTGGCTGCAGAGCGGGTCAATCACTGACTCACGCTGCAGCATACCATCCGTCATATATTTGATCTTTGTTTCCGGACTCGTACAATCTTCGAAACGGATAGTATAGCCAACTTCTTGGCCGAGACGACATCCTACTTCTTCCGAAACACGCTTTGCGACTGACATAGCAGCCACACGACGCGGTTGTGTACAGCCAATGCGTCCTCTATCAGCATAGCCAGCCTCAGCGAGATACTGAACCATTTGCGTCGTCTTGCCAGAGCCAGTGTCCCCAACAACGATGAGGACTTGATGCTATAAAGTGAGTCAGAAACCAATTGATTTGCAAAAAGACAATCCATTTACCTCGTCAATGGCCTTCAACAGAGCGTCTCTAAGCTTATAGATAGGTAGACTCTTCCGCTGTTCCTGTATACTGAGGCTTGTAATTTCACCATACGTTGTGGCCTTGTTGAATGTCGATTCCCTCCATTTGGGTACTTCGCCAGCTCTTCGATCCTTGAGATGACCTCTCATGTCTTGAGCAAACATTCTGTCTGACTCCTTCGCCATAGGATCGAGCCATGGTGCACTGAAGTCTCGAGCTTCAGAGTCAGCTTGCTCATTAGATTCTTGCTGACGAAGCTCGCGTCGCTCTTTAGCCAAAGCTGCACCACCTAGGGCGGCTCTATTGAGGGAGCCATCAGGAGCTTTGATGATTTTCACAGGACTGAGATCGAGAGTGCGTTTCGTCTGACCAGCCAAAAATGCCGGTTCCTCTTCCCTGATTTCGACGTCAAGCTCCTCTTCAACCTCTGCTCGAGCTACAGGATTCACGAAGTCTTCATCAAGGTCAGGATACTCGGAGGCATCGATGACACCAGATGAGATAAGCTGCTTAATCTCCCATCGTTCAGGTGAGGTCAGACGTTTGGCGGACCGAGTCGCTAATGGTTCGTCTTTCGAGCGCAATGGCACAGCATTGGCCCCAGAGGACGCGCGAGCCGCTCGTTGGCGCTCTTCCTCCATCTCGGCTTCCGATTTGATGCGCAAGTGAGGAGTGAGATCACGACCCGTAGCTTGGTCTACATCCTTCATAGATAGACCAATACGGCTGCCCGCAATGCTCATCACCTTAACCTTGACCTGTTGTCCACGGCTAAGAAGATCCGACGCAGAGTTTGCACGTGCACCCTGCTGAATATTTGAAACATGCACCATGCCTGGAAGTATGTTGACAAAACAATGCTGAGGACCACAATGCTTTACGCACCTTCTGCACGTCCCGCAACACCCTCTAGTTGCACAAAAGCGCCGAAATCTTTGAGACTTGATATTCGGCCACTGTAGATTTTAAACAATACTGGCCGCTCGTCTCCGTTTCTCCCCCTCCAATCATCCCTTTTTGAGTTGTAATTGCGACCCCTGTCAGGGCTTGGACTACGACGGCGTGGTGACCGTGACCGAGATGGGTCTCTTCGCTCCCGCTTTGCAGGCCTCTCTGAGTCATCCTCGTCTGTTGTTTTTGCCCTCTTTGCAACACCTTCAAACTGAGCCATCATATCATCCACCTCTTTCATGAGCACATCCTTCTTTATCTCCTTGTCTGGCACAGCAAGCCCAGGGAAAAGTCGCCTCTGCTTGTCCTTTTCACGATCAAGTGCGTCCCCGGCGTTTAAAGCGTCATGAGTAACTAAACTGGATTTCTTCTTGTGTTTCGGATGCAAGCTCAGTATTAGACGGTCCACATTCTCAACGAATGAGTCTGGGAATTCAGCACCTGCACTACTGAGCTGCGATTTGAAGTTGGGAAGTGATTTCGACTGGTCGTGAAGAGAAATGACAAATTCAGCGAGTGTTTTATCGTTAATGCCAGTATAATTGTCAATCTCCTGAGTAATTTTGGCGACTAGCGAGAGTACTTCAAGGTTGTAAAGGTCATTCTCTGCCATAGCAAGGTCGTGGTGAGAACTAGAGTTGTTGAGAGTAAGTAGATCGGGCTACGAGCACCAAGTAGTTAGAGCTTACATAATTATAAATCAAAAATTCTATTTGATTGGTATTTGTTGAAGTTTAACCATCCTATGATCCTCAGGCCTCAGGCTTTAACTTAATTAACCATCCTGGGCGCTCACTCGGCATTTAAAGAAGCTGATGCCTCCTCGCAAGGGCATCGTAAAAACTGGGAACGCAGGAAATTCATCAAAGACTAACAAAAACTCTGGCGCAGGTTTACCTTCGCAGTCAGCTGATGCAGAACGACTATTCCCACCGGGATCCAAGTATCCTCTCAGTCTACTTCAAGAAAGGTATGGTTTATGCATGCTTTTTCGTATTCGTTGTAGGAGTTCGTCGCACTCGAAAACGACGTCTGCCAGTCATTCGAGAGCATTAGCGTACCCTGCAATATAACGAGCCGCAGGTTTCAAGGCTAATTTCCCCATTCACAGGTGTCAGAAGAGTGGCTGGGACAAACCGACCGTCGAGACGGTAAGTGAATGTTTTATCAAGCCTTTTATTATAGCTCAAGATCCGCAAGCGTAAATATGGCAACGACTGGTCTTTCGTCATTCATATCGCCCGGTTCGATAAGAAAACATCACAGACGGAAAGTGTCCGACTTGAACCTCACCCACCTTATTTGAGGCCGACCGCGGTAGAAGCGCGTCATTGGGGTGCCACATACGCTCTGTACCGTGTCAGTGCCTTTTTGACATACTTCACATGACCAGTAGGATTGAGCAGAGTAACCCGGCAGTTTTGTAATGGACTTCAGCTTAATCGCGTATTGCCACCCGGACCTCGTGATTACTGGATTGAACTAGCAGCAGAACATAAAAATGTTCCAGAACACATGAAATGGATGTATGATGCTGATCCTTTTGCTGCACGTAAAGCAGTAGATGATAGACAAGCGAAGGCAGCGCAAAATCGACAAGAAGGAAATTCAAAGACCTCCACGATGCTGGGATCAAAGGAGTTCGCCAATTCCCCTGAGGTGAGAATGTCCACTGAATTGCGGGATTTGGTGGAAGATGTTGTTAAGAAGGTAATTAAACTTCAACGACGGATGCTGTTGTCATTAACAAAAAGTTCAAGGCAAATGCGCTGCACTTTGGTGACGACCCTGTGACTTCTGTATTGCCTGCAGAGGTCATACCAGCTGTTACCCAGCAGCTTGGTAACTTAGGTTTCAAGTCTGATCAAATACGCAATACGTTGGCCTTCCTATCCAAACCTTCGGCTCTCGGGGGTAATTTGTTGAATTCAATGAGCCCGCTGCAGGCGTGTATAGAACATCTAGTTCTTCATCTCCCAGAATGCGACCTTCCCGAGCGCTTCTTTCCGGGAAATAACTCCTCTGATCCATTTATTGTCTCTGGTCACTCTGGCTCTGATGACTTGGCAAAGCGATGGGTGGAGGAGAAAATTATCAAAGAGACTGGATTTCCTGCCCACACTGTCAAAGAGTGTACTACTGACAGACACTCAGTAACGAATGTGGATCTGCTAGTGGCCTCTTTAGACCATCGCCTCCTGGGTGAGAGTGCGGGTGCCCAAGCCAATCCAGATGACATAATTCTGGCTAATGTCGTGGACGGTCTACGAAGTAATACGGATGAAGTAGAGGCTCTCGGGGCCCATTTTGTCGACACGAATCATGTATCGATGCCTCTGTTCAGCGCTCCCGTGGAGCTACATGTCTTGCTGCCGTCCTGTTCTGACCACTCCTTTCACAGCTACCCTCCTGTGTATATCACATCAAAGTCTGTCCCGCCGTACATGCGACTTCATCTTCTTTCACAACTGTTGCAAGAAATGAAACAGGATGGGTTTATGGAGTCAGGAGAAGGCTTTCTTATGGCAGCAATGCGGGTCCTCGAGGAGCAATGGGCACACGTTCAGTCCAAAGGTTCGCCGGATGTATCGGAAGTACTAAAATTCTTGATACCTTCGCCCACTTCATCGCCCACTGTCCATGCAACTACTACCTTACCCACCGGTCTTAACGAAACAGCGCGTCACAAAATCCGGCGTCGTGGTGATAGTCGATCGAATTCGCAGGTTAAGCTAGATTTTGACAAATTGTGCCAATCTCAGGCATATGCAACGATGTTATCAGCTCGTAGACGCCTTCCTGCATTTGCTGCCAAGGACAAGTTTTTGTCCTTGCTCGAGCGCAACCGTGTAGTTGTTGTGGTTGGAGAAACAGGTAGGCCTTATTATCTGTCTCCAGTCCTTAAGTTGAAGAAGTACATCTACAGGGTGTGGCAAAACCACTCAGCGTAAGTCATAGTCAACCTCTGTCCATGCAATGTTTCCTGAGAGGCGTCAATTTGAAGTTCCACAATTCATCCTGGATTCTTTGATACTTTCGGGACACGGAGCTGAAGCTTCGATCATTATCACCCAGCCTCGCAGAATCTCTGCTATATCTGTTGCTGGGCGGGTTTCTGCAGAACGGGTGGATGACGGCTCTGTTGGATATGTCATTCGTGGAGAGACCAAGCATAGCCAAGCCACTAAGTTGCTCTTCTGTACGACTGGAGTTGTTTTACGAAGACTAGGCTCCGGTGACGGGCTAAAGGATGTCACACACATTGTTGTTGATGAGGTACATGACAACTCTTCCTAAAATCCAAACCATGACTGACTGACTGCATATAGGTTCACGAACGTTCCGTCGATGGTGATTTTCTTCTTCTAGAACTCAAGGAATTATTGGCACAACACCCTACGCTCAAGGTGGTGCTCATGTCGGCAACAATCAATCATGAGACATTCGTGAAATATTTCAACAACGCCCCGATGTTGACTATCCCAGGCTTTACACACCCAATCACAGATATGTACGTAGTCTCTTTGTCTCGACTACTCGATTACTTGACTATGACGGTCCTGACTCAAAAATGAATCATCACAGGTATCTAGAAGACTATATTCCGTCAATTTCCTATAAACCGGCATCAGTCAAACCAAACAGAAAAGAATCAGAAGAAGAGAAACATGCGTTCCGGGATTATTGCAGTTCCAAGGGTCTCAGCGAAGAGTCGACATCTGCAATCCAAAATATTACGCAGGCGGAAAGGATCGACTATCAGGTTGTGTTGATGTTGCAACACTAGAACAGCAAACTCATCGTTCTTGTCCTAGCTGATCGCTGCTGTTGTTCAGCACATCGTTGCAACGTCACAACGAGGCGGAATTTTGATTTTCCTTCCCGGAGTTCAAGAAATTCGTTCCTGTATCGATGTAATCCGTGGCGTGCTCGGTGAGAAGGCTGAGATATTACCTTTGCATGCAAACTTGTCAAATGACGAACAACTGGCTGTTTTTGCGAATACACAACGTTGGAAAATCATTGCTGCAACAAACGTTGCCGAGGTCAGTTCGCTGTATCAGTTAGTTCCTACAGCTAAACATTTCAAAGACGTCCATCACCATTGAAGATGTTGTCTATGTTGTGGACTCGGGAAGAGTCAAAGAAACAAGCTATGATCCAGAAAGTGGGCTATCTCTCTTGAAAGAACAATGGGTTACGCGTGCTGCAGCCCGCCAGCGCAGGGGTAGGGCTGGCAGAACGCAACCAGGGGTTTGCTACAGGCTTTATACTCGCAGACAGGAGGAGAAAATGGGTCGTTTTCCAATACCGGAAATCCTACGAACACCATTGGAGAGTATTTCGTTAACCGTAAAAGTGATGCGCGAGAGTGAGGATGTGAAGGTTAGTGATTCTATGTGATAAGTGCAGTGCATTGACCTAGCTTTTTTCAGCATTTCCTGAATAGGGCTATTGATCCTCCCGAAGTGTCTGCAATGGATAAAGCCTGGGATGTCCTTCAGGAGCTCGGAGCCATTGATGCAGATGGCTGCTTGACTGCTCTTGGGCGTCATATTGTGCGTGATTGCAGTTGTGTATCTTGCGTTCATTGTTTGACTAGCAGACACGCTCTTTGTATAGTCAATGCTACCCGTGGATTTACGACTTGGGAAGGTTAGTGGTGCATTAAATATGGGACGGAGTGACTGATTAACAATGTCTTTCAGATGCTGGTTCTCGGCACGGTTTTCCAGTGCCTAGACCCAATTCTTACGGTCGTAGCTTGCCTCTCGTCCAAACCTTTATTCCTCAATCCTATGAACAATAGGGATGAAGCCACTAAGTAAAATTTTCGTCCCAATGTCTCCGACCAGGACTCATTTGCATACGTAGGGCGAAATTACGTTTTGGCGAAGACAAAAGCGACCTACTCACAGATGTCAATGCGTACAGTGAATGCATGCGCCTTCAGTCTGGCGGTAAGAGTCACAAAGCATTGAGACATTTCTGTGAAGAGGTATGCTTTTTTTGCTGTAATGGAACTCCAGAAATGATCAGTCTTGCGCAGAACTTTATCTCAGCGACCACTATCAGGGAGATCACCTCCTTACGCCACGACTTCCTCTCCTCTCTTTCAGATCTCGGTTTCATCCCGCGTTCCGCAAGAGCGAGTTCGGAGGAATTGAATACAAACAGTGCAAATACAAACATCGTCAAAGCCGTCATTCTCGGCGGCCTATGGCCTCGCGTTGCTCAAGTGCATCTTCCGCGTTCAGCGATCAAATTCGATAAAGTCCAAGCGGGCACAGTCCAACGCGAAAATACTGCAAAAGAGTACAAGGTCCACGATCTGACAGGTGTGCGCGTCTTTTTGCATCCTTCGTCTACCCTCTTTGGAGAGTCGACGTGGAAGTCACCATTCCTGGCGTACTTCCAGAAACAGATGACTAGCAAGGTTTTCATCCGCGGTGCGACTCAGGTGTGTAATTATTTTTTGGCGTGATCGTGATCGTGTTCGGTGCGCTAAGTTGCGATCAGGTTCCGATGTATGCGTTACTTCTATTTGGTGGACCTGTGTCCGTCAATCACATTGGGGGCGGTCTCACTGTTGGAAAGGGTGGCAACATTGTCAAATTGAAGGCATGGCCACGCATCGGAATTTTGGTGAACCAGCTTAGGTAAGTTGTTGCTGTCATCCGTTGATCTCAAATACACTGATATTCGAACTTCATCACAATATTATAGGCGCCTCCTTGATGCGCAACTGCAGCAATGTATCGCAGACGGATCAATATTAAGCGCCAGTCAACATAGTGCAGTGGCCAATGCTATGAGCGCGCTGCTCGCCAACGATGGTCTGTCCGGATAATGCCTGCTAAAAATACGGCTCCCGAATTCAGTGGTCTCTGAATATAGAGTAAGTAGAATTGCATTGAAATGTGCAGAAGAAGTTCCATAGAGGTTGCTGCGAAATATGACTAGACAATGATTATGTGCTGCGATAATTGTCGTGACTCAAGTGTATGCTATATGCCAATATTTGATAGGGAATATATGCTAAGAACGTGGTATCGACCATATGCCCGTATGTACAATTGCGATGACGTATAAAAATTTGGACTAGGAAATCTCCGTCAATCAAGCAGTATATTAAAACCACCATGACTAACTGACAGGAGAAATTTAGTTGTGTTCATCCGATGGGACCCCAACAACTTGTTCAAGGCCTGCGATTGTCCACAAGGCACTGGACTCACGTCCCGCATGCTCACCGGTGGAAATCAAAGCCCTCAGAGGTGTTCTCTGAGCTACTTCGGCAGTAGCACCTGTAATGGCGTCCTGAGAGTGCGTCGACCCCGATGGAAGCTGACCCAGCTCATCCACAAGGTTGTCAGGCGGGTATTCGCTCTCGGATGCCTCTATCGGCGTCAAAGTATGTGAGTGTAACTTGAACCCCCGACGACCCTCAGCCTCTTTGTATCCGCGATGTGGTCTCTTGATAAGAACGTCATCTAGGCTACCATTCACTAGATCGTGACCTTGTCCTGGCATCACAGCATTCCAAGGAGGGCCGTATGGCTGCGTGCGAGGCACAGACCGCAATGAATACTTGCCCGTCAACTTCGGCACGTTCACCTGTAGCTGCGGTGAGGGCATGGGAGACGGGCACTCTAAGCTCGAAGGAGAACTGATAGGGGACTTGAAAAAAGGAGTGAAGTGACTCGTGAATGTCCTACGAAGTGCAGATGGTGAGTTCGAAAAAATGGCTGTACAGGAAACCATCATTACAATGTCGCCTGTAAACTTGGAAATCTGGTGCTTACAAGTTGACGATGTCGCGGAAGATGCTAAGTCAGGCGATAAACCTGCAGGTTTGGGACTTGACCATGGGCTAGATAATGAGAAGCTCGACCTACGACTGAATTTCGAAGCCTCAAGTTCTGCAAGTGTAGATTAGTTCGGTATCATATCATTTTGATAAGGTGGCACGTACTGGAGGTAATCTTTGATTTCTTTGTCCGGAAAGGATTCACGTATTCTGCACGATACATTTCACCGGACGTGGGCAAGAGAGTAGGTGAAGGCGACGTCCTCACGGGGTACTCTGGTGTAGGGCTTTGCTGTTGAAGCTGCTCCTTTGCGCTAATGTTGATCACAAGAGGTGTATGCGGTGGAACACTTGCCGGACGACGTTTTCTGGTGAAGGCCTTCCGAACAGATGGTAACCGTAAAGATAAGGCTCTCGACGAGCGCGTAGAAGTTGTTCCTTCGGAAAAAGAGTCCACTCCAAGTAGGTTCATCGTGCCATGTTCATCACAACCCAAGCTATTTCTACGACCACGACGGCATTCACGACGCCCTTCGGAATAATTGAGTGGAAGGTCATGTACACAGGTACTCTTTGACGTGGGTGACGATCTGTAGTTGCACGCGGTGGTATTACTTTCGTCTCGTACTGTGGGTGAGGATGGATCAGATTCCTCTTGCGTTGATCGACGCCTGGAGAATGGAGACATTGCAGGTGGCCAGCGACGCTGAATTGTCGATGGTGTCGGGGAGGGGTTCATGCTGACGGACCTCGCCAAACTTGGGTTGTAGGATTCTGGAGCTCCGATATTGAAAGAAACATGCCTTGAGGCCACGAGGGGTTGTCCCTCGGAAGAAGGTGTTTTATGCAGGTCAGGAAACGATACTGCTCGCCGAAGGGAAGGAGTCTTGGACCCGGGAAGTATCGGCGGTAGTGTCTGAAGTATAGGTTCTGGGGAGGAAGCCAATACAAGACCACGGAGATTCTTTGGACTGCGATTGATCGGTTCTTGGTAGGGAGGTGCCTGTATCCTCATCGCAGGCACAATCCAAACTACTCCGAGAGTAAATATGCTCTATTTCACAGTTCTATATTTAAAGCATCACCCTCAATCAAACTATAAACTCACAATAACAAATCCAAGGAGACCGAGTAGCAAGGCGAGGATGCCTGCGAGCACAGTTTTGACTCCAAGTTCATATGCGTAATTATCAAATACGATGAAGATCATGGGAACGAAAATATTCTTAAGGCTCCTGAAGCGAGGATAGCCCCGAGATGGAGAAAGTCGTAGAAAGAAATCAAAGCGGCGTCTGAGAGGCGTAGAGGGTGAAACGAAATTACAAGGCATCCATGTGGGGTACCTCAGATGAACCAAGGCACTTGAGGGATATTTGACGTGTGGGGGGCGACTATGCCACGGAGGCATGCAAAGCGATGGAATAAACAGTGGTATCAACGCAGCGCAGTGACAATGAGCCACAAAGACTGTTCGTAAATTCGTGAAAAAAAGAGAGAGATAAGGTAGTATGACCTTGATCGTTTGGTTGAGAACGATAGTTCGACGTGAAGACAGCTCAAACGCTCAACGGCGAGCGTCGAAGTGGTTGTACGCGAACAGCGCAAATCGGCATACGAGCTATACTAAGACTTAAAAAGTGGAACGACGTCCATTTTAAGTCCTACTACTACTACCTTCCCCCGAGCCCGAGCTGGTTCATTTCAATCTCAGCGGCGGTCTACTTATATACGTAATCCCATTTGAATCATTTTTCTCACAACATCAAATTAATTATATGCATTCATTTCATGTAATACATATGCACCTCCTCTTACACTCAATATTCAATGACAAAATCGCAAGCAAAGAATTAAAATTAGCTTATTTGAAATTTGTGAACCTACCCGATAATAATTTTATTTGTCATTTTATTTCGCACTCGATGAGTTCGGCCATGCTGCCCATGTACAATGGGACCTTCCCATGATTTCAGAGCGGCCGCCGTTCATTAATCATTAATCATTCTCCAGCCCCAGAGACTGGAACAGAACAATCAACGCATCTTGCATGCTACGAATGTAAATGGACATGTCGCGAATGTGGCAACTAGCAGAACAAATATAGCCAAACACCACATACAAATAGCTATGGTACTGTGGTCCGACGTCCAGCTTCGGCTAGTTCTATAAAGTCGATGACGCGATCTACAAGTGTTGGGCTGGGTGGGACGCAGGCAGGTGGAGCCGGGAAACCTGCTTACGAATTCGATCGCGCACGCAATGGAGTCAAAACTGTGACTAGATTAAACTTGAAATATTCTACGCTAGCGATGATCTTATAGACATTTCTGCATAACTTGATAAGGGAAGGGCGGGTGGGTGCAAAGAATGACGAGATAACGAGTGAGCTTAGTGCTTTGAATTCTGGTAGGTCGAAAAAACCTAACGTGCCGGGCAACTCCGACGAGCTAACGTCGTTACTCGGCACCTAAACGTTAAGGCTCTCCATTGATACTCCACACCAAGGGTAGTGATAACCCCATTGATAAAAAAACTAGAAGGAACTAAAAACAAAGGCACCTCGCCCCTCCTTATATCGGAGTCCGCACACTGTGCTTAGATGTGAATGCGTAATCAGCGGAACAAACTCACTCGGAAGACTCCGAGCCACTAGTACCAACCACAGCCCCTTGAAGTGACAGAATTAATAAATAATAAAATTGATAGACTTGACGTGGTCTACCAGGTCAACAACCCCCTAACACAACATCCCTAGCCCAGGTCCCCACAGCCCGGTGTCACCAGGTAGAACAGACTCCCACACTACACTGCTTAGTGTATCCGTTTTCCCTCGGACCGGTATTCTCTAGACACCGATAGCTATGTAGGGTTAGACAGCAGTTGCTTGGCCTTCGGTCTGTCCTAAAATAAGTTCCTGGGCCTTTGTGGCAGTCTGTAACACTGAACAAGCTAGGAATCAAAACAAAGCTCGTCAACTATATGGCAAAAGGTCCGAATAACTATCGAATGACGAATGTATAACTGGGAAGGAAGGAGTAGTACTGAGAGCACGAACACGTCGTTACTAATCTGCACAATCGTAAACACGTGGGGGACGTAAGATCAGAAAGTATATAGCACAACAACGTCAATGGTCCAGGAATAGAAAACGCCGAGCAATTGAAGTCCTGTAAGGAGGAAAAGGGATAAACGCCAGCATAGAAAGAACGAAAATTCCATGAGAAATGTCCAATAATTCTGCAGGCCTACTCGGCTGGCGAACATGCGTGACCATCGCTTTCTAGCGAATAACCCAATTGGCAAGATGAGATTTGGCATTCACCAGAGACGCAAGCGACGCCTTCAACATGTGGGATATTCATGCAGTCATGCCTTGATAAAAAATGTGGTGTTCAGCCAAGTAGAATCAAGTAGTCCATCGGATACTTACTCAATAGGGTCAAGACTGGAACAACCGCCGCAGGAGCGGAGATCTGCCGCAAAATCGACACACTCAAACCCTATCGCTTCCCATTCGACAAATGTGCGAGGGAACTGCCCAGGTGTGCTCAAGACGGGGCAGGCTACGAGCCCGTCGAGACAGAATTCATGAGATTCCGCTGCACTCCCTATCACATGCTGTTGGTCTACGCTGCGCTTTTGTAGGGCTGCGGAGTCCTCAGCACTGCGTTTAGACGGGACTGGCACAGCAGCCAACTGTCGACCTGACAACACCTTTGAAGGAGAGGCTTGACGAGCAGCGAGACGCTCTAATGGACCAACATCACGAGGAACATGAATCGCGGATGGCCCGGGAGCGGGAGCCCGTTTGACCAAGGATCGCTTATCGGGGGCTTTGGAAGGTTCTGGCTGCCTCTGAATAATGGGGAGTGCATATCTCTTTGAGGGCGTTGGGTTACGAGCCTGGAGTGAAGACGCCACAGCAACTGCAGATGAAAAGAGAAGAACGATGAGGAAGCAGTTCTTCATGATGTTGACCGACGTAAGGAAAAGATCTGAAGAATGGTCTCCGACGAACGAGGAGCTAAAGGACAGGTGAATGTAAGAGAAGCTACGTAGTGGGATTAATCTATGACGAAGACTCGGAGGGTAAAGAGGTTGTGAGGCAGAGCAGCTCTCACAACGCAGATATATGATGGTGGTGGTACAAGGAAGAGTTAATTAGTGGATGAAGTTGCGGCTAGACACTTTGTTTCTCACATTGGCTGTGTGGCTAGATTCAAATTATCTGCTCCACACCTTCCGCAACGCCCCTAGCAGGTCCATGCCGATCGGCAATGAGCGCTTGAGCGATCACAATCGCGTATTGATAAGAAGGATATAAAGACTAGTAGATAACTCACACGGGGGCCATTGGTTTTGATAGAAGTATCATGGCATCAATCGATAAAGGAGAAGACACCGAGTAAAGGTACTAGTCGACAACGTTCCCGGTGATTTTTTAATCTTAGTTCTATTATTGTTATTATGTCATATCCAGGATCACGTGATCGTTGTATATGCCAAGTCGCGTTTGTCCAACTCATCTTCTTCCAATCCACAAGTATCATGTCTCATGACGAATTTGATCATTACGACCTTTCAGAATTCACCGAGGAGGAGCTCGCCCGTTTTGATATGGATGCTACGAAAACTCCGCTGCCAACGGGGCTCAATGACAGTCCAACTTTGGAATCACAGCATCATATCTCGGCGGGACCCGGTAAAGCTGTTCTCAGTAGCTGTAGTGGTGGACCTGCGCTTGGTATTGCTATTGAGTCCCCGACTGACACAAATTCTGTTGAAGAAATCCCTAAACCTACTGTCAGCACGAGAGTGTCTCATCACTCGGCTAGCACAAAGCCCCTGCAGCTAACTAGTACGCCTGTTTCTGGAATGCGCCCACAAAATCACACGATAAATCTATACGAGAAGTTTTTATCTTGGAAGAAAGCATTTTCCGTGACAGACCTTGTCTCACCTGTTTGGTTTGTTCAGGATGTCGTTCATTAACACCCTTCTTACAATTGAACTACAGGTGTGAAGTACAATATGAGTATGGGTTGTATGGAGAACGCCACAAACCGCTCGAAAGGCGACCACCTTCTTTCAAGTCAAGAGACGGCAAACAAATTCAGGTCAAACAAAGTGTCGCACAACAGCACGACAAGACACTCAAGAGAGGGGCCGTATGTCTTATTATTTACTTATTTCTACAAAAAAAACAACCTTTTATTTTAGTCTATTCACAAAAATCTGGAGCTGGAAGTGCGGCCGAAAAAACTGTTCGTCCGTACATCAACTGACGAAGAGCGTTGGGCTTTACGGTATGAATGTTGCATCACCGTTGCTCAAACCGTTTCCTAAGCTGTTCAACAGTCTTTTCAATCTGACTGCAGGCCTAGAACAACTCACCTTCGAGGGGCTAACGGTAAATTTTTCTGACGGTGAGGCGATCACAATTAGTGCTAACGTCATTTTGCAGAGGGAACTCCCAGTTTTCGGGATTACGCATGGGCAAGTCGTTTTCGGAATTATCGTAAGTATCTTGGCACCCAGACCCAGAGAATGATTGACACATGCCTGATCTGACAGGACGAAGTGACTCGGCGTGTTCCATCAGAAGTAAATAAACTTCACAATCCTGCCAAACGTGGCCCGGTCTCCCCCGAATCATCTCCCGTCAAGAAAAAGCAGCGTCGGCCGCTGTCACCATCCCAAAACGATACATCTGTTTGTCTAGATCAGTCTACTCCTGAGGAGACTCGCACGGCGCATCAGTCCCCAACCGAGGAGGATATTTGTGACAATTCTATGGCAGAAAGTTCGATCCCAAGGCCCGTCTATCTCCGACCCACGTTTTACGATTTGACGCTTGTAGACTACAAGACTCGTCGCGTGTCATCACTACCCCCAGATGAGGATACGATATCATCACAGATGCAACTTATGCTTTACCATCGCCTGCTCTCGCCGCTCCTCTCACCGGAAACTTTTGATTTCAATGCACTATGGTCAAAGCAAGCCGTCAATCCGCATCAATCATTTTCCAGGAATTTTGTAGAAGACATCGGTTTGCTAACAAAAGATCAACAAGACCCTTTTCATGTAGATCTGAACTCCATGGTCGCCGCATGGGTTTCTGTCGTCCACTCGGCTCGGTGCAGCGGTGAACGACTGAGAGGCATCCATTCCGAGTTGCAAATTATCTACCGGAAAGCTGGGGTCAAGAAGGACTCGGTTCATTATCGGAAACAGAAGGCAAAAACCGATGAAAAGGCAGTCGATAATCCCCCGGGAAGGCTTGCCCTCCAAGAGAAATTGGATATGGATCGTGCCATTGCAGAGAGCTTGCGCCCACCTGATCAGGACGCCGGAGAGGCCAGCACTTCTCAGGCTGCGGACCACAGCATTAAGATTGCACATACTGCATCGAGCGAAGAACTTCTAACTGATGGGGTTATTGACATCACTAGCACTGTTGGTGAAAACCTTGAGCCGACATTGGTAGTGCCATGTTTGTTACCTGCAGGCACCAGCAACAATCCCGACTCCAATCCACAGTCGATCGCTACGAAAGATCTCGGTATGAAACCTCCTTGAGGATTCTACTATACTAACGCTTACGCACAGCTCCAGTGGCTGATGAGTTAACTAACTTGGAAGAAAACGGGACTCTTCCTGATCAAAATGATGACTCTCCAGTTGAGGAGGATACCTCTGGCCTTTCGACCATATTGGGTACCAGGAAGTTTTTCATGGACGAGGACCGGCTCGATGCACATCTTAGAGATATCCTCCAATGGTGGTTCGGCTTTCGTCTTCCCAGGGGCGTTGAACTCGCACAGTCCAGTCGGTGTGGGTGAGTTACCTCAGTAGGCAGTATCGTGAAAGCTGCTCACACCTCGACAGCACTTGCGAATATCAAGACAGTTGCGAATGGAGAAAGCGGAAGGCTTTCGAAGGTAGTAGCGTCGCTCTCGGAAAGCGTAAGGCGACTTAATCTTCAAGCGGTTAAATTCTTCGTTGGTTATGACCCCCCAAAAGGAAAACAAGCGAACATCAATTTGTGGGCGGAACAATGCAACTACAGATGTATTTAGTTTGTTGCATACAAAGCTACTTGGTTGAACAGCCGAACACACAGACCTATAGAGAATCAGTTCACACCTTATGTCGATATCTTGTTACACTCGTCGCCTCCCATCATGATGCTGTCTCTTCTCACTTTCTCTCGTTGTCATCTTAGTGTGGCGAAAGTTTACAGCCTTGTATGGACAAACTCTTGCTTTAACGTTCTTGACAGCATACTCCCTCGACCGATCTTCTTGCCGTACACTTCTATGTCTGTGACGTAGTCAGCCAATCAACGATCCCCGTTCCTGATCAACGTACCGACTTCGAACTGGCGAAGGCTCTTATGACATGTAGTGCCTGAGTTGCATCGGTAACGCAGCCAACCAATCAACTCCGTTCTTTGTTCCTGGGTATGGCGAGAAGGGGTGTCGATGACCAGTAGCACGGTCAGCTAATCAACGCAGGCCCTGTCCACCATGCGCCATAACTGGCTAGGTCAACCGGGGTGGTGATCACGAGGTTACAAGATGTCCATCACCATCATTCGCTTAAATGTATGACGTCGTCCAAGCGCTTATTGAAAGCTGAGTGAACCTGAACACCTCGGTATAGGGTGAACTTCAAGTTGAAGTAGATCATGGAAGTTTCCATCATTGTCATCGCAGTGGTTTACTGCCAGACGGTGTCACGGTAGGGCCGTGTTGTGGGCCATGCAACACCTAGTACTAGTCATTAGCCTAAGAGTACTGACGACGGCGCCCCGATTCTTCAGATATTTGAACGGTTGTGATGGAAATGGCATTCCAGTCCCGACGATTGGACCAAGCGAGGTCGTGGCAACCTTTCGGACTACAAGTTACGGTTCCGCATTGATGCGTAATGCATAACAGGCGAACCGCGTTATCACCAACCACAACATTTTTGCTGTACACTGGCAGTCACGACATCATGATGGATGGCTGGGTTGATTACGTTCATTTCTCATTCATCGGTGAACATATCCTCTTGAGTTCTCTGCGCCTAAACACCGTCTGGGAATTTTTCCTCGGCGTCCTCCTGACTTCTGTCATATGTCTGTCTGAGAGGTTCGTGTCACAAACTCCTCCTTTCACCCACTTCAAGTCATTGGAACCACAAGATTCTTGTCGTTTGCTATTAGCAGGCATTGGGGTCCTCATTTCATTGGTCGTTCGCGATTAGCAAAAGCAGTATGGAGAACAGTGTTATACGGTGTTGCAACAACACTTAGACTGTGAGTTGTGTCTTCATCAATCCACAGAAAAGCAATGTCGAACCGTGAAATATCACTAGAACTTACATGCTTATTGCCATGTCATACCAAGTGGGGTAAGTTGCGTTTTTTCAATGGAAGTCATCGAGTTGGTCTGACCGGCTTTGAGCCAGTCTCATCCTTGCCGTTGTGAGTGCCAATAATCATATGAGATCATCGCAGGAAATTTACTCTCCAAAAGGTCGTCATGTTGTCAGTCGGACAATTCTTCCTCGAGTACGTTGATGCTGCCCCAGGAAAGTCAGCCACGTAAGTGTCTTGTTTATCGCAAGCTAGCTTACTGTAGAGGCTGATCCCCCTTCTCAGCTATGATAAGCTTAGAGATCTTCCCCTGGACTCTGAGAGTGAGGACGACTCATACAATATGTCCACACGATCGTGGCAGCCCAGAACACGCCGAATGAAGTCAAAACCAGAGGCTATTCTCATCCACCCCGGTGACTCTAACCTCGCCCGCGCCGATGCTGCGGCGCAGGAGCTTGGCATAGCTGGTGACACCGAGCGAGTGAAAGCTAATCGCTATCCTGTTGACCAGGATGCTTGGGAGTATGGGAAGGGTAGAGACGTAGCTCGACAATTACTTGGAAGCACAGCACGACGTCCCCGGTCCCCGCAAGATCATCCCATGCCTCATATTTCCGATGGGTGTTGAGCGCTCGAGCCTCAAGAGTTCAGAACTTGTAGCACGTCAGATTGTTGTATAAATTATCTTACAAGCTATTGCAAGCCGTACGTGAACGAACGCGAGCGAATATATTATAGGTCAAGTAAATGCACGTGTCTAGCTGTCCTTGCTAACTTCTCCAGAGACGAGACCAGCTCGCTTTGGGGTATAACCACCTCTACGAGAGATAGGAACTCGAGGCGAATCAACCTCCGTTTTACGCTGCCATTGGTCAATGAGCTTCCCTACTCCTTGATAAGGTTTATCAGGCGATGACGAGCGCGGCTCTTCTAGAGGTGCGGAGGGTTTTTTCTGAGAAAATGGTAGCGATGCTGGGATCCCGTCAAGGGGACTGCTCCGTCCTACTGATGATCCAGGTGTGAATCGACTGGGTGTCACAGGAGGCAATCCTACAACAGGATTTCTTATATTCATGTCTGCCTTGCTCTGGTCCTGACTGGCAAGGGCCGCCCTGGCTAAATCAATCGCAGATGGTCGTGGCTTGCCTGAGTCAGCCCCAGGACCCGACTCTTCAGGAGCAGGTGTAATGACTCTGGAGGCCGTGAATCTCGACACCAACGGGGAGCTTGGGCTTGTACCCGTGACGTCCACAGCACGACCAATGCCAGTAGACGAGGTTGGCATTTTCAAACCTGTTGATTTGGGAACTATCACAGGCGAACCTGGATTTGAACCTCTGACTTTGCCCCCAATAGCTTCGAAGCGCTGAACCATGTCTGTTATTGAGGTCCGCCGAAGGCCGTGTTTACGAGGGTTGTCCTCTGGAACAGATAGACTCGTAGGGTTTGACGGCATGTCCGTCTTTCCATCCGAAGTAGACTTTGACATTGGAAAGGCAAGCATAGACTGCGGTCTTGCGCGAGAGGATAAGACGGGGGTATTGCCAGACGAAGGGGTGTTTGTACTAGATGCCTGCTTTGTATGGGGTAAGGGTCGCCTGGGAGACCGACTTGGTGAACGACGCTGGGAAGCATTGAGCTCTGGGGGCTGTGACTGCATTCGGGGTGATGTAGGCCTCGGCCTAGCCATTGAAGAAATGGCAATTGATCTGCTCTTTTGTAGTTTCACACCAAAGTCCCTGGTTGGATCACTGAATGCAGCAACGGCAGGACTGTGAACGGAATCCTTCGGTCGCTCTTTCGTCTGCACCACACCTCCTCCCCATAGATCAACGAGGTCGTGCACGGAACTTTGCCGGCCCCTTGTCTTTCGTCTTCGCGATGAACCCGCCTTCTCAACTAGTTTCCCCCACCCAGCAGCATCCTCTGGCTCCTGTTCCCCGTCACTTGACGAATCATGAATTTTGGTTGGCTTTGGCGACTCAGAGGTAGGGGCAACTCTCCACCTATCTAACTCATCTTGCGATGAATACTTCAATGGCTGCGATATTACCCCCTGGCGAGACTCCAGGTCTGGCTTCAGTGCAAGAGCCGCAATCACCGGCTTAGGCGCAACCACTGGCAACTCTCTAGGTTTCTTCGGTGTCATAGGGGCGCTTTGCTTCCGCTCTCTAACACTGGTACCTCGCGCATACATTTTGGACGGCGATGGAGGAGTTCTCACTCGATGGGGAGGCTGTTGAGTGGTGACAGCTTCCTGTGGTGATTGTATGGTTGTTGTGTTCTCCTCAATGAATGATGATCGCTTGTTCGTAAACTCGCGTAGAACGGGCGTCGTAGGGAGGTTTCTAGCTTGAGCCTGAGCGAAAGATTCGTCCTTGACTGGGGAGATGAGGGCATCGACGTCGCCTGTCAACCAGTCTTTGGGTTTGCGTGACACCGGAGTTGGGGTAGTAAAGTCCTGAGTACCAATGTCATCGATGAGCTGTGCCTGAGGTACGGCTTTGACAGCAATACTGCTGCGATGTCTCCTTGAAAGCGAAGGACGGGAGATAGGCCGATATGACAGGGGCTTCGGAGACGACGTGTTTTCATCAATGCCATTATCCAGCCCAACGGACCTCTGAAATCTGTCCTTCTCCAAATCACGCATCGCCACCCCGGTGACATGCTCTGAGCGCGAACCAAGGGTAGTGCTCGGAACGGCACGGTGAGAGATCGGCTGAAGCGACGAGGAAGGTGCAAAGAAAGGTTCGGACAAATCAGCTACTTTTTCGCGCTCCTTGTGACGCTCCGACGACTCGAACTGCCAGTTTGGATGGCTGACAGGAGGTGCCGACCTACCAAATGTTGCATCAAGCTCTTCTACTGATGGAAATCGTTCCTCGGCAGAAATTTCGCCCCTCTGTGGAAGCGTCGGAGGGGTGGATGCAGGGGGTTGCTTTGGTGGACTAGAACGCCATGAAGCATTTGTAGTTGTCAATTGTGCTGGAGGACGGTGCGAAGGCGTTGGTTTGATCGGGGTTAGTGATGGTTTCGCGGTGGTTAGAGATGGACTAGGAGTGATAGCAGCACGATTGTTTCCATTAACCGTAGCAAGGCCAGTCCTCAGCTTTCGTGCCTCTCCAAGAGTGGGTGTGGGTGCTGAAGATGGTGTTAAACCTAGACCGTCGAACGCGTCCTTACTCTTCGTGATCATAAGTCTTGTGTTACGCGATCCCTCAGGCGGGGGAGCAAGCTTCGAAATGCGCTCTTTTCCGGAACTTGAGGATGACCCCATTCCTGTCACAGCGGTAGTCTCTCCAGCCTTTGCACCCTCAAAGGCGCTCCACAGCTTTTCTCCGAAATTGTCACCAAATGCAGTAACCCCTGGTGTTGGTGGATCATCTGAGACCGTTTTTGATACACGCGTCTCAACACTCCATGCATCGTCCAAAGGAGGCGCGGATATCTTAGGCTTCCAAACACTCGCAGTTACACCGCCTGATTTATGAGCCCTGATGCTCCCAGCAGCGGGAACTGCAGGAGAGCTTTTCATGTCTTTCCGTGCCTTATCCTCCTCTGCGCCAAATGAAGCGTCAGGCCGAGAGGTCGATGAGGGAGTGGTGGTATCGTTCTGTTGCTGCGAATAATATGGCCTGCCACGGCGCATTGGTGCAATAGCCTCTAACACCCTATCACGCGCTTGAACGCCTGCACCTATGTCCTGGGGCTGAGCTGGCGGGGCTTGTTGCATGGCAGTATCTATACCTGGCGCTCGACGGTAAGAGACAAGGTCGTCAAGAGCATTCGTGGATGAAGACTGTAAAGCTCGAGGGGAGAGGGGCTGAGGGGGAGGAATATCGTAGGTGAAGCGCGATTTGGTACCTCGTATGGAGTGCACTTGAGCGAGAAGTTCAAATACTGTAGGTCGCTGTGTGCCGTGCTCGCGAAGCATAGAGGCTGCATGGCAACTCAGCATATTCGGACGCGATGGAAGTAAAGAATAACACACCGATCAGCGTGTTCATTTGCGATGAGTAAACGGGATATGGCGGAATGCGGTACTGTACGTTCAAAATTGCCAAGGGCCCATGTTCTTCGAAAGGAGTGGTGTAATAACACAGTTTGTACAATAGCACTCCGAGTGCCCAAACGTCAGATTTCTCGTCGACAGAACGGCGAAGGTATGGGTCAACCATCTCAGGCGCCCTGTACTGTAGTGTCGTGTGTCTGTTCAAGTCCGCCTCGAGAGCTCTAACCTCAGCTGTGGTAGATGGCGGTCGAGGCGCGACTGGTGTGGCAGAGCCGAAGTCACAGAGCTTAAAGACGTTATTGGAGGCCTGGAGAATGTTCTCCACCTTCAGATCACGATGAAGAAGGGCAGGGCGAAGATTATGCATGGCAGCAACACCCTCACAGACGTCTACAAAAATCTGGAGGATCTCTGCTTCTGTGAGACGTTCGCGAAGACGTCTGTTCATCATGTCAATAATTCCACCACCTATGTCTGAATAAGACGATATCAAATGTGTAAATCTTGCAGAAACACTTGCCTGGACAAAACTCCATAAGAATAAAGACTTCGTACATGCCAGTCGCCATTTTGTGCCAGGCAGCATCGATCAGATGCACTACATTTGGGTGCCCCTTTAGTATCCTCTACAGGCAGATTCAGTAAGCACCGAGTAAGCAGCTTGGGTGCTCCGAACCATGATATCGACTTCTTTCTTGACCTCCGCAAGCATAGCCTCATTAGGAACGCCAATGCGTTTGAGAACATGATGCGTCGTGTTATACACGGGAGTGGGAGTCCTGACAAGGTAAACATGGGAGAATCCGCCTTTGAACAAGATGTTAATAATGCTCGACGAGGCCGCCACTTGGACTCAACATACCTTGGCTGAGATACCGCTCAACTTGGACCGTGTACTTGTTTACGGAGATGGTTTGACCTGGGACAAGAGTGCCCTTGTTTTGCTGTGCATAAACTTGTAACGCCTGCTGCTGCTGCATGGTGATAATGGGCAGCGATGGAAATGTTAAACTGCTGCTGGTGCAGCTACAGCAGCTGCCAATTGTTAAGACTGTCACGTAGTACTACTAGTAGTACGTCCAAGTTTGTGGAATACTATTTTTGGCCATCTATGCTTATGCAAACAGTGCACAAATACAATTGAGCAGCTCACTCCGAGTCGTTTACTTGACATTTACCGTAACTCCGCAGTTGTGTCGCACAGTCGTGTAATGGCAGCTGTGCTCGCCTCTATTTGCCAAACTCCCATCTTATACTGACCATAAAGATGTATTGCATATCATTGACGATATATTGCCGTATGTATTGCCAAATGTTGAGAATCTTTGCCGGCTCACTCACTTTGTCGTTGACTATCTGATCTCTTGACATATTTTTCCATAACTCCTGCAGTGCATATCGAAGCTTTAAATTAGCAAACGCCCGCGCAGATGAAGTCACCACTGCTGCGCAACTGCCACCACTAATGAATCCAATTTCGACATTCCTCGTGCATGATTACTTCCACTCATTGATATATTGAGTCCATTCGTTGATCGTGCTTTGCAATGCACATGTTTTTACACCTGCATTTTCGCCCCGCACCGTAGACGCTAAAGCTAGCGTTCGTGCAACTCTATGCCCAATCATTCCTTTTGATATGGAAGGGCTGCGCAGTGCGGAGCGGTTATAAGTCTGGCTTTGGCCGCAATATTATACCCATTTTGATGTGCGTGTCTTACGCCTACTTAAACGCGCGCGCATTGGCAACGGCATTTTCGGGTATTGAATTTATCAGACAGGATGAGTGTATTACTTATCCCCGTGTTGTGACTGTGCTCCAGAATTGTGCAGGTATGGCATATGCACGGTATCTAATATCTGGTAGGATGCCCATCTGGAGACTGGGGCGGCCGCTGCGAAGCGCGTGTATCTGCTAGTGTAACCCGAAACTTGGTTTAGATCTGTTTGTGAGAGTAACACTTATAACCAATTACATCCACGTGCACAGTGGGAATCGACGTTCGCGATAACCCTCGATAACGGCCCGTAGAGCACAAGCTACTAATATATATACCAGTACTTACACTCTACCTCATAGACACCCAGTTTGAACGCAATGGCGAACAACCTTCTTCAAAGTCCACATGCAAGTGCCGTCCCTTTTTCTCGGCCCCCGACTCCCAGAGTACACCCTCTTCAAGTCGGCTTCTGTGGCCTTGGGTCTATGGGCTACTTCATGGCCCGAAATCTAGCTACCTCCTTTAAATCTCAACTACCGCCTCTCATCGTGTACAACAGGACTGTGGAAAAGTCTCAAAAGCTCCTCGCAGAACTTGGCGCATCCACCGTCAAAGTCGTTAACACTCTCGATCAGCTGGTTACAGAGTGCGATATTATTTTCACTAATCTCGCGAACGACGCCGTAGTAACGAGTATCTATAACGAGTTTGCGAAGGCTCTTGCCGTACGCCGTAATCATATCTTCTTGCAGGATAAGATAATCATGCTGCTATCATCAGCAATCACCTCCGGCCAAGGTCAAAATCTTTGTTGAGATGAGCACGGTAAGCCTGATATCCGCTTCTGATTTCCATGCTCACTGATGCTGTCAGATTTACCCATCGTTGGCCGGTGCGTAAAGCGCTTTTCCGCCACTAACGGAACCATGAACACGTCTGCTATAGGCGATCTTGACAGACTGCTGTCAAGCTATCCGCATACCCACTTTGTCACTTCACCTATCTTTGGACCTCCCCCAGGGGCAGATAAGGCCACACTTGTTATTGCCATGAGCGGAGACTACCGATCCAAGAAGGAAGTCGCCTTTCTCCTTGTCCCTGCAGTGGGCCGCAAGGTGATCGACCTCGGAGGAAATGTAGAAAAAGGTAAGAACGTGTAAGAGTGACAGCGAGAAAAGTCTTAAATGGGTGAGGTTTCTAGCTCCGACACTGAAGTTGATCGGTAATGGTATGATCCTGGGTATGAATGAGCTTCTCGCCGAAACTCTGACGCTCGGAGAAAAGTCTGGCATCGGACAGCAGACCGTATATGATCTGGTTAAGGGTAAATTTTGGAATGCATTCTACTCTATCTCGACGGAGAGCTGATAGTGATTGTATTCAGAAATCATGCCGGCACCAGGGTATGTATGCTGTCGATTACATTACTGAAGCTGATGCGTGTCAATAGTTTAGTGGCCTATGGTCACAAGATGGTCAACGATTTGTTTGACGGCTCCGTAGGTTTTGCCTTGGATGGTGGAATAAAAGATGCCAAGTTGGTGCCTCGAGGTGCTCGCAATAGATATTTCTTTCTAACATGATTTCAATCCAGTCACATCCGCCGCCTGTCTGCGGAGCTGAACTGCCCGATGCCTGCAGGTATGAACGATTTGACCTTCAGGCATTCAAAGATACTCATCATTTTATAGTTGATAACGCGCATCGTTCCCTGATCGGCGCCCGGGCGATGCACCAGGCACAAATAGTTGCAGGGACACAGCAGTGGGACGTCTTAGACTGGAGTTCATTGATTGCAAGCAGCCGAGTTGCTGCTGGGTTGAATCCATTCGACAGCAAGAAGGTTGGTGCTTGAGTTCTCGGCTCCTTTGATGATGATAGACTGAAATCGGAACTAGGGAACAGGAGTTACACGAGATGACGAATGAGCACCAAATCATCTCGGGCATTAAAAGTCGAGGTGTATGTATTCTTCTGACAGAACAACTATAAATTTGTATGAAGGCATGGATGTACCTTCAATAGAGAAATGTAACCCTAGAAGCATCGACGAAATGCAAAACCGCTCTTCATCAGTTGGTCATGGGACTAGAAATACCTGCAGGTGTGCAATTTATGTTCATTCGGGACTACACCTCCAGACCAGGCAGACGACAGAGCCATACATTCATCTTCACTCAGGGAAAGAGTATGTCTGCTGTGCCAGGGGTTCCGTCTATCATCGGTCAATTCATTCAAGTAAACCTGGACGAATGCAGCGGTTCGACTCGACCGATCAAGATGTCCACCTTATGAGCTGCAGGTAATATGATCATGCATGTTCTATGCAACAAGAAAATGATAGCCCGAATGAGTCGAATAGGGGTATCATCTTCGACAAGTCATTCAGTTATGTTTCAACTCAAATTGGTGTGATAGCCTATACTCTACTCATGCATATGAGTGGGGCAGTCTTGATATGTCGGATGTTGCAGCACACGCCAAATTAATGCTTCAAATGGCCTCTAAATTTGCACCCTTACGAGTCTTGGACTCTCATAGACCTTCATGCCACATGGACTTGGTGTAGGTAGTAAAATCGGTATATTTCGTCCTTCTAACATCCTTGCTTTGACCTCATTCGGAATTTAAGTATCTCAACACACCTATCCAACCTGACGTACTCTTGCTCTTTCTTGTAAGTCCCCTATATATCCGTGGTACCATAGCGAAGCTGATTGCTTTCGCCAGTCATATGATTGCCATCCTGAACGTCATCTTCGTACAAACTCGGGTTACCTACTTACCACCATTAATTTGCTCCGATGTATCAACGCTTGGAAATTCACGGTTATGTCCTATCATTCATCGCTCGATTCGTTTAGTGTTTCCCGCCGATATCCCAGCGGGTTTCCAATAGCCAGCCAATCAACTTCGTTCCTCATTCACGTGGGAATACAGCGTTTCCGATAACTCTCGAGTCCAAATGCTCTTGACGAGTACAACCTGACTTGCTAAAATATTGGTATTTACTTGCCTTTTCTCTCCTAGATACCCCCGGGCCCCAGCTCGAACGCAATGACGAGTAACCTTCAAACTCCAGCCCTGCATGCAGGCACCATTCCTTTTTCTCGGCCTCCGACTCCTGGAGTACACCCTCTCCAAATCGGCTTCTGTGGTCTTGGAGCCATGGGCTATCTCATGGCCCGAAATCTGGCCAATTCCTTTAACTCTCAACTGCCTCTCATCGTTTACAACAGGACTGCCGAAAAGTCTCAGAAGCTCCTTGCAGAACTTGGCGCATCCGCCATCAAAGTCGTTAACACTCTCGACCAGCTGGCTACGGAGTGCGATGTCATCTTCACCTGTCTCGCGAATGATGCTGTGGTAATCAGTGTCTATAATGAGTTTGCAAAGGCTCTTGCCGTACGCCGCAATCATATCTTCTTGTAGGGTAAGATAATCATGCTGTCATCATCAGCAATCACCCCCAACCAAGGTCAAGATCTTTGTTGAAATGGGCACGGTAAGCCTGATATCCGCTTCTGGGCTTCATGCTTACCGAATGTCAGAATTATCCTGCGCTAGCTGGTGCGTGAAAAGTTTCTTGTTACTAACGTAACTGTGAACACGTCTGCTATAGGCGATCTTGATAGGATGCTGTCGAGCTTTCCTCATACCCGCTTTATCACTTCACCTATCTTTGGGGCTCCCCCGGCGGCAGATAAGGCCACACTTGTTATTGCCATGAGCGGAGACTACCGGTCGAAGAAGGAAGTTGCCTTTCTCCTTGTTCCTGCAGTGGGCCGCAAGGTGATCGACCTCGGAGAGAATGTAGAAAAAGGTAAGAACGTATAAGAGCGTGATGAGCAAACCTAAGAGTCTGAAATTGTGTGGGCTTTAGCTTCGACGTTGAAGTTGATCGGTAATGGTAATCTCGCCGCTATCCTGGAGCTTCTTGGCGAAACCCTGACACTCGGAGAAAAATCTGGCATTGGGCAGGAGACTGTATACGATCTGATCACAGGTGAACCTTTGCCGGCTTCTGCCGTACTACAATGGGAAGCTGACGATTCGCGTTCAGAAATCATGCCAGCACCAGCGTATGCGTGCTGTCAATTATTTCATTTCGAATCACTGATGTCCAAACAGGATAATATCATATGGCAAGAAGATGATCAATGACTCGTTTGATGGTTCCGTAGGCTTTAATATGGATGGCGGAATTAAAGACTCTTCGTTAGTGCCTCGGGGGTGTTCACAATGAATAGTCCTTTCTGACATGGTTTTTCATCCAGTCACGTCCTTCGCCTGTCCGCGGAGCTGAATTGCCCGATGCCCGCAGGTATGTCGACGATCCGACCTTGGGTCGTTACGAGATACTCATTCATTTATAGTTAGTAACGCACATCGGAGCATGATTACTACTCGGGCCATACACCAAGCACAAGTCGTCTCGGGGACACAGAAGTGGGACATCGTAGACGAGAGCGCATTGATTGCGAGCAGCCGAGTTGCGGCTGGATTGGATCCATTTAACAGCAAGAAGGTTTGTGCTTGAGTTCTCGACTTCTTGATATTAGCCTGAAGCCAAGTTCAGGGAACAGCAGTTGTACGAGAAGAATAAGATCTAGAAGTGAGCAATGTCATAGCACTGTAGCGCCAAATCATTTTTATTCATTTGTGTCTCAAGTAAATGTACCTTCAAATAGAGACACCCTTGCATTTATTGTTGTTAAAGGATTGTACAACAGCTTATGTGGGCAACGCCAAGTCAATCTGTGCTTGCCAGACCGTTTCTCCGTGAATGTGACATCGTTACTCCCAAATGGAAAAAAGGTGAACCCAGGCAAGCACCCCTTTTAGAGAAGTTGACCTCTTGACAGTTTCACCGAGCCTGCGGCTCAGCGGACATGACCGGCCTTTGTCGTTGTTAGAGGTAGGCAAAGTCGAGTTTAGCTCGCTAGCTCGTTGACTCCTCATATTCTCTGCAGGAGATTCTTCTTCGATGCTGGCTGAGTCTGACGTTGATTTAACCGAACGCCGTTCTCTAGCGGCTTCTGTTGCTCTTCGGCCGACTTTATTCCGCTCTAACTCCCACTCGTCGAGCATGGCGAGGTAGATAGCCGCGATAGCAGAGGAATCTTCACCTGTGCTAAAGGGTGAGCGGCTTTCTTTGATGATGCCAGAGATGACATGGGAAGCTTCATATTTTGTGCATTTGGCGGCTTTAAAATCTTCGAAGACGTCAAAACATTTCTTCCCTAATAGTGTCTTGTTGGCGTGGATGCGCTCCATCAGAGTTGGTCTGCATTGCATGCATGCATTTGTGCCGTATTATTTTACTGGTATGTTGATGCTTGAGTTTCCAAGAAGTACGAGCAATACGAGAATTCAATTTTGTGAGGAAAAACAGAGATCACTGAGACGGTGCTCAAAGGACAAGACAAGACTTGGATGTTATTGAATAAGCATGTATACGTTTTGGGTGTACCGTAAGGTTAGGGTTAGAACCCATAAAAGTCGAAAAAAAAAGGATGGCCTGCTTAGCCAGAGTGGCCGTAGCAGGACTGGAAAATATTGAGACGGTGCATGAGCCGGAGCTCATACAAACCGTAGATACCCTCTGTATGGACAGGGTCGCCGTGCTATGAAGGGTCCCCACGGCCCACAAACCCAGGTAGATGAAGGAGCCTATGCCATCAAGGTAAGTATGAGTTGTTACAGTATCAACACACAGCTTATATACACCACAAGAACGCGCACGGACCACCCATTATTTCTTATGACTGCATTTGGAATACTACCTCCGGCGTGGTCTGTTCGGCACTACGGACGGGTATTAATCGTGAGGCTGTTCTAACGTGAAGGGAACTCCTTCGTTATTATCAGGCCAGTGTGATAAATGAAGCTGAAAGTGCGGCGACTATGCCAGCATATACATAACGGAGATTATACAAACGACGTTCTATAGAAAAACGCTGTCGGGCAAGTACTAGTACTCTCCGATGTACGGTCAAGTCAAGCGAATTAAATGAGCGCCCTAATCTCAATACGATCTCGGACGCTGAGCGCGGGCAGACTCAAACTCGGATAACCTATGGAATGACTATTTTGAAATTGGATCTACCTACAGGTATAGCAGGTAGACACAGTTGGATACGAGATGAGTGTTTAAAGACTCTAGCGCCAAGGTCGCGCTGTGATGATCCCCTCCATTGATGCCGTTCACCTCGAACTTTGTGGAGGTCCTTGTCTCAGGAAGACAGAGGCGACATACCACATCCAAGGCTCCTTCATCCTCTTCACCATCCACACTATATGTCCCTCGTTGCCTCTGTCCCATCCGAACACTGCTCAGAAGGTTACGACTTGACCATCCTACTAGTATGTGTTGCAGAAGAAAAGAATATCTCAATGGACGCTTCGTAGCCTGAGACAGGCCGGCACGAACCTAGTAGGCCTAGGCACCCGGGCACGAAGACTGTCACTACTTAGCTCACATGATCTTCAGATTTTCACTAATCCGGGTAGTCGAACGTTAGCATTGACTCAAGTACGTGCTAGGCTAGGCTAGCTGAGTGGTTAATTGTTCTACTCACTAATCTCACCATCTCACCTTTCGAGTATTGCCCTCGCGCCCCGCTAGGGCACCGCGCTCAGTCATATGTAAGTTTTTATTGGTACGGAAGTTGACCCTAGTAATCTTATCGACTCCCAGATCGAGTGCACTGAGGGACGAAATATTCTAGAAACAGTGGGTATCACTTCCAAAGCTTACCAGGTATCTCGTGACTTCTACACCATTCCTTGAAGCGCTGATCCTTTCCACGTAGAACTGTTGTGGATTTCGTATTTTCTGTCAACAATCCCCGAGGAATCGAAAAGACGTTTGGCGTCTCCAGAAAATGTTTTGACATTCCACGGTCATCATGTTGGCACCATGACGAGGCAAGTTGTTGTGCGATCGCGCTGAACGATATGACGATACTGACGTGTCGCTGCCGTGAATTGCCTAGATCACTGATACAACGATTTTGCCTACGTAAACGCACAGGTTGGCTTCTGCGTATTTGTTCTCTCAACAGTGTTTAACCTTTTCCAGAGCACCAGAAACTTCAAAAGTACAGGGGCGCTCTTCCTTACGAGCTCGTGGAGAAAATTCTTGTAAATGCGTGGTGTTCCATTGGCGATGCTCCTTCTAGATGGCGTTTCTTTCGCGTCATTGCGATCTTGTCCAAGGTATGGCGCGATGTGCTCCACGAAGTGGTATTACGCTATGCCTTCATCGAGACGATGGTCGATTTCACCGCATATGAGAGACTCCTCTCACGCTATGACCCATGCGCTCGATACGTCTCCATCGTGCTAAACGCTGTAGACCACACACGGTTTCGCGTTGATGAGATTGCAAAGTATGTTCCAGAGGCGCGATTCATGTGTCTTGCGATCACAATGGATAGGCGATACTATTTCGACGCGATCCTCCAAAATCTCCTCGCAAAAACAGAATCCCTCACGCACCTCCGTATTTGTTGGCCTCCCCTTCGTGATTCGTTTGCATGCCCCCTTTCTAGCGTCGTTATTAGCTCAGTGACGCATTTACATATTGCGCGTCATCCGCCAGCGTCACTTGGTTCTATCCTTGCGTCTTTCCCAAACGTGACTCACCTTCGTTTGGGCACACCGTGTTTCCTGAAGAACCTTGTCCCGTATATGTCCACAGTTCGAGTTCTTATCCTCGATGCTCCACCGCAGTACATCATGCATACAGTCTCTCAAGCTCCGGCTCTTGTATTTCCAAGTTCGGTCCCGCTTTGGAATATTTGCGATGCACTTGAGCATGGCTTGCTGAAATCTACCGCCAGCTACCCAGGCCGAATCATCATGAATGCCGGAAAGTCGGACGCAGATAAGTCCATGATTGCAGATATCGCTCTGAGCTGTCAGAAGCATGGGGTGGCCTTTGAATGTAGACGAAGATATCCGCCATTATGGCAGCCTAGTCATTCGGATCCCAGGCGTTGGGATCATGCCGCATGGAGTTAACTGCATATAGCTACTCAAGTAGCAACAGTGGTTTTGTGATGCTAGCTATGCTATAAAAGCTATCATCAACATCTCAAGGCCCTTCGGTATTTGATGAAGGCAATTAGATTGTCTCGCATCTCCTCTCCTCTCAGTTTCAAATCTCGCTCCTTCCGCCTGTCAATTGCCCGCACGGCTTTACGCACCCCCTCAACGCTATCTACAAGACGCTGCACGAAGTTGCCTTGCCGGAAATTGACATCGTATGGGAGATTCTCATCGGAATAGATGTCGATAAGAGCCGACAGTGTTTGGATCAGTGGCTCGGTGCCATACGTCGAAGATGCCGTGGACGTTGGGAGGATGGAAAGCAAGTGCATCGCAATAACCTAGTCCTGTATTTAGTTTCGAGAAGCGTCGGAGAACATGCGACTCACGCGATTAGCATCAATAGATTGTGGATGCTGCGCCAGGCACTCAAGCGTGCCGATGCATTTTACGCGGATAGCAGGATCAGTGCTCGAGTTGCAAAGCTGAATCAATAACTGGATCTGATCTTCGTTGGGCACCTGACGGCAACCTCTCAACACCAGAACTTTTTTCCGATGAGAAGACTTACCAAGCTTCCCTTCCAGATATTACCAACACCCCAGAGCACACCCACTCCGATCTCCCACATTTCCTGTTTACGTTCTTGGCCGCGTGTGATTTCCGTGCCTACACTCCCAAGTGCTGCCCAAACGCCGTCCCATATCTGTTTTCCACTCGTGGACGCTGCGGCTAATCCAGAACTTGGAGATGCACTCAACGACAGAAATATGTTATTCAAGCACTCAAGTGCGCTAACGTGAATCGCGCTCAGTACGGACGTTGTCGGTGGGTGCGAAGATTGTCCGGCTGCAGGAGGAAATGACAGCCTGACGGGTTGGATAAGAGTAATGAGAGGTTCTACGAGCGCAGGCAGATGACTTGCGGTTGTTATGCCATTGGTGATCGGTATATCGTCGAGGGCCATGCCATCGGTCACATCCTCTTCTATCACACCGTCATTGTCTATCTGAATGTCAAATAGTCACCTCCATTTATGTAAACAAGATCTTACCTTCATCTTCTTCTGCATCTGGTTCGCCTTCCTGCAACTCAGGGATGGGCTCAGGGTCAGGTAATGTTGCACACATGCCAGTCAAAATTTCTAGTGCGAGCTGGACAGTGCGTAATTTGTTCTCCAGACGGTCGAGTTCGACCTCAGTATCAGACCTATGATCTGACTTTGGAGCATTTTTGAGAGATAATTTTTCGATCTGAGGAGGTTCCAGTGCCTTCACACCGCATCAATAAACACCACCGATGAACTACTAAGATTAACAACTCACTAATTTTACTACGAGACTCTCAGCCAGCTCTGATGACTCAGTAAGAGATACAGAAGCCACCACTGGCTGAAGCAGTGGAAGGACAATCTCCTTGCCAACATCGACCCCTGACGCGGAACTAGGGGGAGGGAAGGGTGAAACGTTGCTCAAAATACCTAATTATAATCAGCTAATTTATTTCACAAAAGAAAGTTCCTTACCACTTGACAACACTTTCAACGTGGTTATTCTATCCCAAATTATCTTCTTATCCTTTACACCGTCTTCATCGTGTACAATTTCGAGTAAACACGTGCTGTACGCCGCATTTGACCGAAGCTCATCTATTGCTGGCTGATTGTCATCCGTTAGGACGTACAGGCATTGCGCTGAGAACCGCAGTAAGTCCTAAAAGTAGATGTTGAAAGCAGGAATATCTGCGAACCTGCGGCAGTAACAGTAGCTATGGGTAATTTTGCTCGAGCCGCCAGGAAGGACATCAAGAAAGGAACAAGGTTAATTTGGTTGATGGCATTTAGAGCCTTGTTGGATGTCTCCCTGGCCATACCCTCAGCGCTGATACGATACGATTAGAAATGGATGCACCTACGAAAGACACCAGAGTATAGTATTCACATTTTCGGTAAATTCATACACCACTTTTTGCGCGTTCTCTGGAGCCGTCTTGGGTGACTCTAGAAACTGTGAGAGTGCGCTCGATATCTGGGAAGAATATATCTCGGCCTCACATCATCCATTCACATGCATGTTAAACATACCTTCGGCACAAATGCTTTAAGGGGAGCCAGTATATTTTTATTGTACATTTCTGCGCATATATCGTACCCTCCATCAATGCACAGATTTCTGAGAGGCATGAAAATGTAAGATAAAGAAATTGATGGAGGCTGGAGATCCACACCTTAGTGCCCCAGCAGCTTCGATCCAGACTTCCTCTTCGCTATCAGATAGACGCGTGATAAGCGCTCCAACTACATTTTTTCCTTGTAACAACCGTCGCGTAGATGGATCGTTTTGTATGAGGTTGGATACCGCGACGCATGCCCACTTGCGTTCAGAAGCGTCCGGATTCTCTAACTACAGTGCCAATGAATTCCCGTACATGGATCTTGCCATACGGCGCACCTTTTGGATGATAGGCAATACAGCTTCATTTTTGGGGGAGGACGAGGCTGCTGATTCTAGACCTTTGGGAAGATGTGAATCTGGCACCCGCATGGGATTGTGCCGACGCATGGACCGTTTCTTCTGTGACTTCCCCATTTCCGAGTATACTGGAGATTGAGTATAGGCGACCGATGGTCCCGATCTGAAGCCTAAGAGCCAAGATAGTGAATCTAATGCAGAGCTCAGAGGGACGGTGATCGAGGGACCGACGTGAAATGTGACTGCTGTTTTTGGTCACTTTAGGACTACGCTACTCACACAAAATTCATTCATAACCACTGGAAACCGTTAGTATTACGAGATGATGCTCTGATAAAAAAATGTCGAACACCAACAAGGAACAGCGCGCGCGAAGCAGTGCAAACTCAAGCTTTAATTCGTTTGATAAGTATAAATTATAATGCAACAAGCACTTTACAACAACATTGTAATGCGCAGATCGGCCAATGTCCATGAAGACAGTGTGTCAATTAGGGATATAGTACAATACAGTAGACGAACGTTCCAAATGTCCGCAAAAATGTGGACCAAAAGCCCATGACTAGCGTTGGTATATCGGAAGTACGCTGTGCATGATAACATGCTCTTCAGGTGGAGCGGAAGCCTGAAAACTAAACGTAGACGACGAGGGCTGAGAAGGGTCGCAATCATCACTATAAATTTCTGATGCTTCGGGAGCACTGCCTTGCCAATCGTCAAACGATTTGTCATGCTCCGATATTGGAGGAGCCGAAGCCGTTAGGGTGTCCTCAAAGGGAATAGCGTTGGGCCGGGCCTCGTACGGGGGGATAGAAGGCAATGAGATAGGATCTAAGGCGGTGATATCTTGCACATAGCTATGCCCATCAAAGTATCTTGGAGACAAAACACTTTTCGAGGGCGGATTTGGGAAACCCGAGTCCCCGACCTCGAATAGAGAAGTTTCGGAGGGTGAGATAGTGACTGGTTGGTCTTCAAAATCATCATGCCATTCTGGGGCAGACTCATGAATCTGCGAGGGACTCCCGCGAGTGTTATCCTGAATTATGGGAGGCGCGCTAGCCAACTCCGACATACGGGCGAGATGAGTCTTATCATCAATGGCGACGTGCCCAGCACAGCTAGGCTGGTAAGGAATATCGTCATGGTCTGCGGGTGAAAAGTCATGACCGAAGAGCAGTGACCCTGGGCGTGATGCGGGATCACCCGAAGGCTCCTGAGAACAACCTTCGATCTCAGGACGCACATGCAGTGCAGGAAATATGTAAGCGGGGGGAGACGAAACGGTGCATGGACTAGATGGGTCGGATGATATAGAAGGTGGTTGTGCGGGATAGGAAGAATTCTCATCGGAAGCAGCGTGGTAATCCACATCTTCGGAGACAGATGCTATTGAATGTTGTCGTGATGAGACTGGGGAGGAGGCGTGGGTAGATGCTTCGTGAGGATCCAATAATGCGGGAGATGGTGGTCGACTTCTGGTAGACAAGCCCTGACGTCGCCTGCGTCGACGAGCAGAATGTCGTATGTTAGCCTTCCACCGAGCGCTTGCCCTCGCCCACAAACGATTCTTTCCGCGAGCCTCGATCTCCCTTTCACCATCCTCTGATAGGTCTTCCGGGTTCGCCTTATGTCGAGCTTTCAGTTCCAAGTCATTCTTTTTCTTTTCTCTATTCGATGCTTTCTTCCGTCTCTTTCTCCAAACGATGCAACTTATAATGAATATGCAAATTGAGACTGCCAAGACTATGGCTAGTGAGAGGATGATAATGGATGCGGTACGATTGGTTTGGGATGTTGTAGACCAACCCGCGGGAAGGACGGAGTCCATTTGGGTGGAAGCGGTTGGAACAAGAACCGAGGTAGACTGCGAAACATCAAGTGTAAGGTCCGAAGACAAATCATAGTACTAAATAAAAAAATATTTAGCGCATGGAAGATGACAAAGAGAGTGAACGAACTGTTGAGCCATACAAAGTCCAGGCAGATGCCTTGCGCCAGCGGCCGTCAAGCCCTTGAACGTATTTGTCTGCCACTTGTTGTGTGAATTTAGCTGTAGCCGTAGGGGACGATGTGGAAGAGCTGCTATAGGATGTTGTAGGGGTTGTATTACGGACGCAAGTATTGAAATGATCTATAGACGGACATAAGAAAGATGGGGGTGGAGTCGGTGATGGGAGAGGGCTTCCGTCTACTGTTCGCGAGCTAGCAGCGATAGTTGCAAGAATTGATAAGACGGATGATGAAGGACAAGCTATGGCGGCTGGTGAATGTCTACGTTGTTGATGATCTGGTCTTGAACCGGCCTGGCCATGAATTTGCTTGGCCATGATACGAGTGCCAAGAGAGTCTTGCCGCTTCAGCGTGGCAGGAACTCGGTAATTTGTCGTCAAAATCGTTATAGTCAATATTCGACTATAAAAATGAGTATAGTCAAAGCAAAAAAAAAAAAGAGGATCAAAACCTCTGAACAAGGCTCAAACTTTTGGAGGGAGAATAAATCTACAACAGACTTGGCAGGTTGGCTGAGGAGAAAAGCGGGGACTAACTCGTGGGCACCATATCCAGCTTAAGTAATAAATAAATAAATAAATACATAACTAAGAGTAGTCCAGTACTCGGTTGCTCAATAAGGAATTCTTTTCTTACATGTCTATAATATAACTCACATACCAAAAAATAACATTGCTATTTCTATATCGGTTATTTAAGCTCAACATTAACATTTGCTAACCATCGGCTTCGTTTCCGCTCTTCCTCTCGAACTTTTGCTCTTTCCCTAAGCTCCTTCTCCTCATCTCTGCTTCTCGGTCGCACGTACAAATCTTCAGCGCTCGATTCATAGAACATCTTGTACGTGCCTAGGCTCACCCGGATGCTCATAGAATCCCAACTTGATGTGCCTCGCGGTGATTCGTCGATCGTCATGTGCCTATTTGTACAATATTCAGCATCACAAATCACATTTACATAAGTCGATCATCCCTTCCACTAACCTTCGCAAAAATACCTTGCCTTCACGCCTTGATTGTGACAACCACTCCGTCGGCTGCCGTAGAACGTACGAGTCGAGATATTCTCGCCACCGACTAATCGCCGTTCCATCTCCATTCACACTAGGATCGTCCGGTTCGACCAGTTGAACGAACATTGTTTTCGAAGACCGATGCTGGAATTACTTCATGTCAGGGTCACAAATAATCCCAAAATTAAGTCTCTCACATACCCAATCGAACCTGTACAAATGCTCGTCGGTACCAACGTGACGTTCCGCCTCACGTCGATAGCGAATCATGTTCTGATTGGAAAGGGCATCCACCTTCCGCGTTTGTTGAAGTAGCACCCAAAGCTCCTGACACTTGTTATCCGACAACAGAATCTGCACCTGTTAAAGGAAAACCCCATTCAGCTAAACTTGAAAGCGCAGTCACGAAGCCTAACAGCACAGCGTTATATTTACCTGCTTGATCAATGAAGACAGTATCTTGTCTAACGTGAAAAGGTAATATGCCTGGAGCATGCGCCGGGTCAGGTAGCGACTCCGGAGATGAACGCACGACTTACCTTGTTGCCGAAAAACCATCGCATATGTTCCTCAAACGTCGCCTGATCAAGCTCATTATCAAATAGCTTTTCAAATGCCTCCAACATGTAAAGGTATACGACATCAGTCGCGTCACAGGTCTGACGGTTGGACACAGCCTCCATAGCCTGTACGAGTATAGCAGAGGGTCCATTCGGGTCATCCAGCCCTAACTCAATGGCGATAGGATTACAGTCCGCAGGATTTAGACCTTTCGCAGTCTGACGAGCGCCCTGTTCCTTACATACGAGCAGACGAGAATAGATCAACTGTGTGCGATAAAATTAGCTCACATCACGCGTATACACTGTGGGACCTGACCTGTAACAAACAGAACACTGTGTAGAACGTTGTGTTCCCGAAAAAAGGGTTTCGCCTAGAGGTGCCGTCTCCTGAAATAGGAGGGGTTTGATTGGCTGACGCATCACGGATCCACTGATCCGGGGATTTATTTTGGGCTGGAGTCAACCCTATGCTTGTGTTGTCCTCCAGGGTGGTATCAAATAATACACGCTCAGAATGGGGCGTGGTCCCTCTTGACTGGGATAACGAAAGTGTATCCAGGCCCTCAGATCCGATGGAATTTTCTTGGAAGGATTTCAGTAAACGCTTCCGAAGGTCACCCGCCGCCATTACGCTCCCCGAAAGGCCACGCCCATTCGATAACGGGACTCCGTTATCATTCCGCGCGCCATCCAAAGCTTGTTGGTCGGTCTCCTCGTCTCGTGGATCATCCAAAGGCGTAAACCCGGCATTGAACTCGGTAGCAGGGCACATACATAGGAGGGGAATGAATGATCGCAGCCAACCCTCGACTCCACGCCGTTCCTGTAGTGTATAGTGCGCATGGGAATGATCCAGGAATGAGTAAACCAACTTAAGCGAGTCTTGAAGGACAGTCATGTCCTTGAAAGAAAACTCCAGTTGGTAGCCTGGCACAGTAGTATCGAATGAGGGTGGACCCTGCTGCGTGCGCGCATCTGCTTGCTCAGCTTTGACTGACTCAATATTTCCAACAAAATGTTTGGCAGTGACGACCTTCTTATCATTCGACTTGAACGTGACCCCTTGATGATCGAGGGATTTATAGAAATTTTTGGCGTCAACCTCTCGCCATGTTTTGTTCCATTCTCGTTGCACGCGTCGCCATTCTTCATCTTTCTGCTTTAGCCGAGCGAGGACCACCGGCACAGCGACGCTAGGACACTCCTGAAGAGCTTGGATAACCTCGATTCCAGCATCTCTGCCGTAGACTTTCTTCAGCGTCCGGTGGTATATGTTCTTGCTCAAGCCACCAAAGTCAGGCTTGAGTCGGAAATTCGAGCGTTCATCATTGGTCATTTCTTCGATGCGGAAGTTGATGGGCTCTATAACAGCGATCGTGCGTGCAAGGGCTTCAAGCTGGACGTGATATTCGTGTCGTTCTTCTTCGCTCTTGTGCAGTGCTTCTTCAAACGAGTTCTTCTTGTGCGCGATAAAGCCTGCTTCTTCAGACGCCCATGTCGGATGTGAAACCCATTCGTCATTAAGTACAGAGCGACAGAGTTCGTCGCGACCGGAACATGCCAAATGAACTTCCTGCAAACAAGAGCGCTTCAGTCAGTTGGCTAGAAAAACAGTTATTCGATACGTACGCTCTCGGGTAATCGACGATAGCTTGGACCCTCACCATCCTCAGCTGGTAATGCAGACAAGGCTTCTGGCGGCCCGGTACGGATGCTCCCAGGCGGACCATGTTCGATACTGTCCTGCCGTTCATCGATCCCAACCACTTCCCGAAACTGCGATAGTAGATCACCATCGCCCAAATACACTTGAGCCATGTTCACAAGTGTCTTCGCATCAATAATGTCCTTGGAGTACATGTTCAAGAGCTTGAGAAACTCCTCATATGTATCCTTGCTCTCCAACGTGCGCTTCGCGCGCTCAAAAAAGATGAGTTCATCGGGTGCTGACTGAACGTTGGTAACTGGCTGGGGGCCTTGTATCACTAGATTATGCATTTGGGGTGGCGGTAGCATACTAGCATGCAATTGCGAGGGATGATGGGGCGGTGATTCCGGTAACCCATATGAATTGAACTGCGGAGAGTCAGGGTCGGCCCCTTTGTGCATGTGCTTGGGCTTCTTGGCCTACACAGGGAGAATGTTATTAACGAATGACGTAGAGTTAGCGAAGCACACACTCGACTTGGGACAGTCCGCACAGCCGGCGCAGGCGTAGTCTCTTTCTCTGGAGCTTTTCTCCTTTTTTTAGGCGGAAGCTGCGTCTTCTTTCCGTTCTTGTCCCCTGCATCTACCCAAGGTGTTGGCACACCTGGACCACTAGTTGGCTGGGGAAGAATGCTGACAGCCCCGCTCAAGGCCATCGACATATCAGGCAAAAAATCCTTGAATTCACTAAGTAGTTCTTGAGCATCCTTGAACAAGACTTGCACTTGCACGTATACTTGCGACTATGCTCAAGCGTCAATAACACATCAGAGCCAACACACATGGCACATACATCTTGGATTTGACGCTGCTCCTTCTGATACGTTTGCAAGATTTCTAGGAACTGCTTGTATGTATCGGGATCGTCGGAATAGTGTGCCTTGATTTTGTTTAGGTACTGTATTGCATGGTTGAATTCCCCTGAAGATTTATTTTCTACTGCGTTTCGGTTGGACAAATTGCCAAGAAAGGAAGCCGCAGCAGTTGTGGAGGGTACTTGAAGGCCTGGGGTGTACGTATCCATTGACTGTGGCATGTGCGGAACCTGATAAGGAGCTATCGATGGTGTCATCGAACGGGTCATTGGCTGGAAGGGAAACGCAGGGCCGGCGGTTGATGGAAGAGGAAGCGAAGACTTGGTTGTAGTGGGGTCACGAGTGACGCGGGAGATCTGCTCGAAGGTGCTTGTGCTTTGAGTGGTGGTCCCTAACGGCGTTGTAACGGTGATAATATTAGGGTCATGCGGGTCTGCAGACATCTCTATTCTGTAGCCAGGGGGAAGAAATGTGTTGAATCCCTGAATAAGATTTGGATTGCCATGGAATAACATCGACACGCGCTCGATCACTCCAGGTGTGTCGATTCTGTGCAAGAGAAGATCATTAGCAACACGAGGCTGAAAGGCAGAAGAATAGACGATATAAAAGGATGCTTCTCCAACGACAACCACAACAGGAAAGGCGCGTACGCCGGTGTAGTCCATGCCCTTAGGCGGTAAGATAACCGGACATCATAAAACATTTTCCGCCTCCCGAGTCGCACATCCATGTCTACGTCACTAGTATCTAAATTGACTCACGCTTCGCTCTTGAAGTCCTTCATGATGTCTAAAAAGTGGTTGTATACGTCTGGCTTGTCCTGAAATTGAACTTTGACCGCATCGAGGTAGCTGAGCGCATCGGTAACGTTAAGTGGTCTGTCTGGAGACCTCTGCGCTGCGGAACCATGGGATGTGCCGTCACTTTCACCAGCGGTGCGAGGACGCGGTGTTCCAGATTTTGGAGTGCGGAAACCCATGTTTGATGAAATGAGAAGTTGTGCGGTACTGGAAAGAGGTTCCAATGAAATATCTCTAGGCGTTGTAGAGGTTGGAAGTGGGGTGAGGTCGTCGGGATCGACTTGGAGGGATGGAGAAGGGATGGTAAGCTTTGGTGAAAGGTAGGAAGAGTGTGGTGGTGGTGGTATGGGAAGAAGAGGGACGGTTTGATTGAAGTTCTGTGACGGAGATTGTGGTCTCGAATTAGGTATGATGAAGGGTGTTTGGGTGTCCATCACTGTTGTTGCCCTTCACAGTAAGTCTGCAGTACGGCACACGGTGACCGAAGGTAAACTCAATACTGCACGTGGGAATCTCCGGAACGGCCAATTCAATTCATTATCTTATCTTATCAATACTTCTACTATCAACTAGTACTGCATCCTTAGGTTCTCTTATTCCTCGTGTTGGTTTGCATGAATTCAGAAGGCCGCAGAAGCTCTTCTCGCGTCTTCGCCACATAATCAATGGCTTCCAGTGTCCCAGGTGCTGGAAAAAAGTATGGCGCTGCGTAAGGCTGTGTCCGTAATGGTGGGTCTGGGATTTTCACAGAACTAGCTTCGGAAGCGAACACCGTTGATTTAATTTTAAGACCGGTGGAATAAACCCGACTTACAAAATGACCCCGTAGAATTTCTGCCTTTGAGGTGCGTCGATCTTTGCTTTAGCGAAGCTATTGTCCGACACGAATTAACAAACGGGGAGGCTGGAAGGGTATGTCTCTTGAAAATTCGGTGGGCTTCCGAGACTTCACCGTGACTAGATCGTTGAATGGGCAGTTTCGTTGCAGGCATCAGGGAGGCTGGTAAATCTACATGCGCATGGCTTTGCGGTACCGCCCCATCAACCATGCTGCTGCGTATGGTTTCATGTGACCTGGTCGATCGTAGAAAAGATGAAGTCGGCGAAGCAACTGGCCTGGGAACGGGTCGCTTGACGCGACGAGCTACTATTGTCCTTCGTGATTTTTCACCGGCGTATGGGGGTGGGTTCGACCAAGCCCATTGCCAATGTGATGGGAGTAGTGTTTGAATGAAGATAGCTAGCACACTCTAATGTCCGGTGAACATGAGTAAGCATGGTAGTGACCGACCTCGGAACAGCTGCCACGCACCAGGAGAATCCCGAAACTGGACAGCACCACGCTGACTGTCCTCAAGATGGTTTTCCGGAAATTCATCGAGGCATTGAGGGTTATAGCAACATCCTGGACTTGACTTGGAAATGACACTACATATAACTCTGAAAGTCAAATATATGAATATGTAACCGATCATCCGTGGTGGCTGATAGTGATTCGACTAAAGCTGCTGACTACACCGTGACTGATTTACCGGCTTCACGGAGACGTCACTACAGGGCTCGGGATGGCGGGAGTATGAGCATAAAACAAATGACAAAACGCCAACGGAATGCTGGCGTCGTCCGCCGGAAAGGTCCCTTGGTATAAAACAACCCCGAAACTTCACTAATTTTTCCCGCTACAGCTTTATCTAGGGTTGGTTAACATTTTGCACTGCCATGGTCGCGTGGGAATATTTGGGCACGTGTTGGTTTCGTAGTTGGTCTTGTCCTATGAACGTCAAAGCTCTTCGTTCAAGTCACTTCTAGTACTCATCTTCTTACCAAAATTCACTCTGACCTCGACAAACAAATCATGCCTCCCCGTGGCAGCGAAGGATTAGATTTCACCCCAATCTTAACACATTATCTTTTCTTGTTTACGACAATTCTTGCTGTGGTACGTATTAAAGTCTTCTATTTTTCAATTTTCAAACTGAGCGCGTCATAACATAGTTGGCATGGTTCATCGCATTTATCTCGCAATGTATCGTAACTGCTCAATGTTAGTACAGCACCTTGCTCTTTATAGTTCCACTCACTAATTTATTTCCTCTAGACCATGAACAATCCGTTGGCGTTGGGTGGTTTGGGATATTCCTCCAACTATTCCTAACCCTTGGCGTACTGCACACCCTAGCAAGCGATTCAATAGCCATGCATCGCTTCCAAATATCAGTTTTTGGTGCTATCGCAATCGTTATGGCTGTCATCACCGTCAGCAACAGTATTTTTACTGGATTGGCTGCACTGGACGCCATGGCTGCGGGATGGCTCATTATTGCAATCGTGGACATCCTTTGGGTGATCTATTTCACATCAGAAGAAGATTCTCTCGCATTCCACCTCTTCAACTCTATGGGCACCGGTGGCCTGACACCACCATCCCGCCGTCGTAGGACTCGGGGTGCGAGCAATATTGGCGCCAATGGCTATACAGCCAACTACTCTCCTGGCGGCGGTGTCGGTTCACATGATATGCCCTACGACAGCGCCAACAAAACAGGCGGTATTGGCGCAGGTCCTGGAGTTCGGAGTCAAAATAGTTTTGTCGGCGGTGCTAGTGTGGACGGTGCACCCCGCAGCCTTGGTCCCGCAGCTGGTGTAGGCAGTGTTCACAGCACACCAAATCCTGCTCCGGTTTCTCTAAGTGGCCCTGATAACAGTATGGGTCCAGGCTCACCATTGATAGGCCCTGGTGCAGCAGGTGTAGGCGCAGGTGGTGGTACTGGTGGTAGCCCAAATATACCTGAAGCCAACCCGGGCGGGCCAGAGGCATACGTCTACAAAGCAAAAGCATTGTATGCTTGTAAGCCAAGAGCTTTTTCACTTATCTTCTTTTGCTTATCACTTGCACAGACACGGCCTCTCCAGATGATCCAAACGAAATCTCATTCACTAAGGGTGAGGTTCTTGATATCATCGACAAGCAAGGCAAGTGGTGGCAAGCAAAGAAATCAGACGGTACATTAGGAAGTGCGTATCTTTATCTTGCCATGCTCGCTAGTCCCTTGACCCTAATCCTTGCGTCGCAGTTGCACCGTCGAATTACCTTCAGGTCATCTAATGGACTGAGTTGGGAATTTTGGTTTTTACCTTTTTATGCTACACCTGACGATGATGGTCATGATGCGTGCGTGATACGAGCGTTACGTTCCTTGTAATAGCACTGAAAGTGTGTTGATATCAGGCGGTTCGAGCTATATTATCCACTTCCTTGCTCCACAACCCTTGTGTTTTTTTTATTTGCTAGCTTCACTGTCTCAACGATACCACATTCCGACCAATGTTTTGCTCTGTCCTAGCGATGTATATGTTATCAGATTATGCACAATTGATGATATAAGATAGCCTACTTATTCTTGTCTCAGTTGATAACAATAATCAATTCCTGACGTCATCTGGATTACTACCTAGAATTTGAATATGCCAGCGTTATCGATCTCAGCGGAGTCTACCGGGAGAATCTCCATAGAGGTTCTCTAAAAGGAACTGTCTCAGTTGCACAGCGACCACTAGGTGGCTCATTCTTCCCTTCAGTAATGAGCGCTCACACGGCAACAGGACCAGTCAATCGTCTGGCGAACTTCTTACGACCGAGAAAGCAGGCAACTGCAACCGAGAATAAAAATATCGCCCAGCTCACAAGAGCGGAGAAATCGATCCAGGTACTGAGTGTCGAGAATGAGGTTTTGAAAAACGCAAACGAGGCTTTGAAGAAGAAATGTGGCGATTTACAAGATCGTCTGCAACAAGTCGAAAAGAGGCTTGAAGTCAAGGACAAAGATGGAGATCTAGGCGTTGACTCGGATGAACAGCAGGTGGACGTAGAAGGCACAGGCGCCCAGGGTGTTGATAAGCGCTGCACAGTCAGCAAAGAAGCGCAGGCGAAATTGGAACCGTCCTCTCCCTTATCTTTACACCATCAACCCGGGATGTCCAGACATGACCACCGATTGCTTCCTCCGGAGCTGTGGTTGAATATCATTCGCTGGGCGACCTATGCACCGCCGGGCCTTGACGTGCCAAACTTCGAGCCATTCCTTGGATCTCTTGATCATGACAATAAGGGAGAGGCGGATGCTAAGGCTGTCAAGTGCGCAGTGGTTCAAGTGTGTAGGCTTTGGCGAGACCTCGCCCTCAGCATTCTATATGAGGATGTCAAGGTCGGACGTGGGGTACAGTTCCTCGTGGAGGCATTGGGGAAGACATACAGGGGTGAACAGCTCGGAAGATGTGTCCGCCGCCTTGAACTTCCCTACCCTCACACTGGTACTATAACCAACACTAGCTCGGATCTCGCACTACAAATTCTGCAACATTGCCCGGAATTGGAAACCTTGGTGAGGCCCTTCATGCAGGGACTTCCAGACGCAGTACGCTATGAATTCCCAATTCGCAGCCACCCGTTCTTGAATCTCAAGAGGCTCGAGTGGTGGCACTACAATGATGCCACTCGCTCTGGGGGAATAAACTCGCTTCTAAACGTTTTGCGCCATTCCCCCAATCTCCAGTATCTCATTGTAGGAGGGGAGATGTGGACTTCCGCCCAAACTGGCAATGTGCTGGAGCTCCCCGCATTGAAGACACTTCGTTTGCGACGCATCAATCCTATCTTCGTCCACCAGATCTGCCAGTGGCGGTTACCTTCACTTGTCCATATCGTTGTAGATTTCCCACTAGAACAAAACGCGCTCGACACCATATGGCAGGTGTTTGGCGCTCGCCTCTGCACGGTCGAATTCGCAAGGCATGTCGGTTTCTTGCTTAGTGATCAGATCACCCGCTTCCTCCGTGGTTGTCCTCAAGTCAAGACATTCAATTACTTTCTTAACTTCACATCACCACCACCTATTTTCGAACAACAATGCGCGCTTCAATGCATATCTTTGCACGCATTCCCATGTGGCATGGTTACAGACATGATCACTGAAGCTCAAGAGCGCCTCAGGCTACACCTTGCCTTCCTCTCCAGATCATCCTTTCCAGCGCTGCGCCACATAATTCTTTATGGCGATTGGGAAGAATTGCTTCTTGATCCTCGTTTCGTGACATTTAAGCAAACCATGATTTCCAAAGGCTGCTCGATTGAACATGCCACTGGGGGCACGCATTCTTGCAATCAATCATTAAGCGCCTGATTGTAAGTGCCAGTCAACGGATTGATGTACAATTTCACTCACGTTTTGTCAGCTACAGAGGACTGCATCTCTAACGCCTGTATATTCATGGCTGAGGTTGCCCTTTTAAAATTCTTCAAAATTCGTTCATTTCCTTTCTCACCTATCTTCGAACTACGTAACACGCTGGTGACATTTTTCCTCGGTCGAAATCTGTTTTTGTCTCCTTCGTGTCTCCCATTATAGAGTGTACTGTTCCACCATGTGAAAAATTGCAGGGTCCTCAGCTGGATTCTCACAAGATTACGTCTTACTCCACAGTAAATTCGAGGGTCTTTGGAGGTGTGTGATCTCGCGTGCGCGGTATATCTATTCTGAGGAGGACTTAATGTCTGCCGTGTATCATCATATCTCATATGGTTATTTTCAGTCCAAATTTGGTTGGTGGCGTTGGGCTGCCAACGGCTGGGCCATGCAGTAGAGTTATGGCTCTGCTAACCAGTCAAAACACCTCAGACCTATCAGCACACCTGCGGCTTATCCACAATCTGAGACTAACCCTTTTGACCGAGTGACGTGTGCCCAACGCGTCATCACGGTCACGGTATCGACCGGCATCACTTTTCGTATGCAGGGTCTGGCTGATGCTGGTCTCTAGAGCAGCATTCCCCACGACCTCGATCTTGTCAATCTGTCAACAACTCAATCACCGAAAAGACCGAAACGACTGCATAGTAAGTATGGTTAGCTTCGGCATGCCGCCGGAGTGTTGGCATGTGGTATTGCACGCTCAAGGAGATGATAACGAGGCCTAGTAGGGAACTGTTGCAACTCTGAGCAAGTAATTACCAAACTTATGGGACCCGGTATGCGGCCCGGATCAAGATGTCGGAGGGGGCTGAGAGACCCAGGCTCATCCGTGCAAAGTGCGCAGCTTCCTTGAGTATTGATCAGTGTCTTTGCCCTTGCAGCAATATTGGAAGCTTCGATGCGGGGAAGATGTTCATGAATTTCCTTAGTATGGAAGGAACGATTGTCTTCATTTGTCTATGGTCTGTCTACTAAGCCCGGGAGAGGCTACGTACTCCCTGAAAGCTGCTGACTTCTCCCTCTCTAGAACGAATCGGATGAGCACCATGAGTTATGCAAAGATGAACGACTCACGTTCTCGGCTTCAGGTGGGCAATTTCATCTAGTGGCCCTTCTCCCTCGTCGGTATTACTGGAACTTTCATCATGGCCATCAAGTGCCCCGAGCCCCGATTCATCCAATATTGCTTCTAATGGATCGACCGCGACGGTGGCGGGATGAGAGAGAGTTCCAGGATTGAATGTATCAGAGCCCATCGGGGGGACATGTTCAGAGTAACGTCGCGCATTCGTAGGATTCAATGAGTTCTAGCGCAGTTGGCACGTGTTATTCATGGTATGATGGTACGAGTGATTCATGTGACGTACCTCTGAAACTGGGCGAGCAGAGATGCTCATTACTTTCAGGATAACCAAAACGATACCAGAGAAGACGGCACTTGGCAGAAGGAAGACCATAACGTTTGTTTTATGCTAGTTTGTAGGATAAACTTTAAGATGGGATGATTCTCGACCTGCGAGACACTATTAATGTGTGCTATAAAATATGCAGGAGCAGAGAGGTAGGCCTGGTTGAACGCGACTGGTACCGCGTCGAGGTCACGTGTCTCTTGATATTATTCAAATACATATTCACTACCGATCGGGAAATCGCTCAGACTTGCAGACAGCTTTCTCTGATCAGTGCTGAACCAGCCTTTATGTGCGAGGCCGTCCTACTTTACCCAAGACCACTTGCTCGTTACCCAGGACGCCTCCTGCTTCTCCCTCTTTTACCTCATCGACCTTCTCTAAAGCCTCTTCCTTCAGAAATATGGTCCCGCATTTTTGTGCAGGCCCTCTTCGAAGACGATCAAGATACCCAATCACACAACGCGCACAATAATATATGGCGTTCGTGTTTATCATTGATGCTAGTCTGCAAGGGTTTCAAGGCGAGTAGCTTGAGTTTTCAGAGGGCTTCTTACGTACAGGAAGCTGGCGAGGGACGCAGTCACGGGGTAGTCACATATGACTGTAAATGACTGCCTCCATCCATTTCACTCACTCCGTCTCACTATGCTGACATGTCTTCGCGGTAGGAAGTTGCAATGCCGATGTTATATTCTAACGTGTGCTTGCACTCTGTGAATTCCTTGCAAAAATTTACTGCACACCTTCACTCTGCAGACCGGATGTGGGATTCTATTCGCAGAATCCCTTACTCTACCCCCGGGCGTTGGGTGCAAGTGCTTGATCTTTCGGCACTTCTCGCAGGGCTGGATTCCTCGGCATACTATGCAGTTAACGCACTGTTGACGCAGCTTTTCCCACTGCTGCCGTTCCTTGCAAAGTTGACTTTGTACTCTGGATTTCTGCTGAGCTGTCGCGCACTTGCGTCTCTCACACACAGAGATGGAAGCTCCAATATTCGTGCGCTGGGCGGAATTTATTATGATCCCTTCATATATTCCGCAGTGGCAACTGGTGAAGACCATTTCGTTCAGTTGCTACGAGTATGCGTAAATCTGGAGCTACTTGAGGTCACTGGAATTGGTTTGGATGACACTGATCTCGAGTCACATTTCGATAACGCCGAGAGTCTCAAAACACCAAATATAACTGCCCCGCTCTATTTACCGCACCTGCGAAGCCTCACTTTATTATCCATGCCTTCCTCTTTGTTAATGTATGCTCTTTTGCACTCCCCCCTACCACGTTTACGGACACTGTCACTTACTCCGTACGATGACATCCCCTTTCCGACATCGCTCTCGTCGGTCTTTCTTGAGACGCACGGGCAGCATCTTCGTAACATCTTTCTCTTCACTCCAAAGTCTTGGCCTACACGCTATCATTCATCACCCAGTACTATACTCAACACATCCCCACATCTCAGGCACCTCTCTCTGGAATATCCGCTACCAGCACTTACACTTACATTTCAAACGCCATTGACTGGTGTATCATCACCTTGTATCTTTCCCCTCCAGATCTTGTCAATTCCCCGACCAAGCAGTGACTTCTGGGTCACTTTGGAGAGGCTCGTCCCCTTTCTTCCTTCCCTACAAACGATACGTATGCGCGACGTGCGGTGGCTAAGGCATGGAATGACTTCCCGTGCTCAGGAGGCTGGAATACAGGGTGAGATGATGGAATGGGACCGTCGCTTGACTCGTAGAGGCATCCGACTGTTGGACCGAAACTGGAAGGAGTCACAGGCGCGTGAATGTGGAATATCCAAACTCTCTGAACTAGCTGTCTTTTGATAATATCTTGTATGTTTTCGTGTTTTCTGCTCTCTGCTCCACGCTCTATCTAGCTCTCATCTCTCACCTCTCAATATAAACCTTGTCCTTGCGAGATAAAGAATATTTTATATGCCATTTTTTTATGAATATTTTTAAGACATTGAAAGAGACTACCAGTAAATCACCTGAGCAAACTGTTGTTCCTTACGAGTGGACGTCAAAATATGAAAGCAGCGAATGCCTCATAGCTTCGAAGTACCTAAAATGTCACCCATCTCCTCCACAAATTTCTGATAATCATCTTTCTTCCCAACATTGGGCTGCATGCCCTTCGAAGAACCTTTTTCATTCAGAGAGGCTGCTGCAACTACAGGTACCGGTCCAAATTTATCCATCAATGAGCTCACAAGATCCGGTCGCGAAGCTTGTGCTGGTTCCAAAGATTCTGACCCTGCGTCGAGAGAAGGAGCTGCGTTGACCTTAGATGACGCCATCCCAGTAGCAGGCTTTTTTCGCTTGAGGGATGTCGGAACGAACGCCGTAGCCTCCTTCTTGAAGTCCCGTAATTGAGGCGCGGCCGAAACCGTAGCTGTAGTTGTATTGTCACCAGCAATCCCTAAGAGAACAGCACCAGGGGCTGGCGGAGGTTTTTGGGGAAGTGACGGATGGGGCGTTAGGCGGTTGACACGATGCGCTTGGTACGTTTGATGAGGAATGGAAGAAAGCGGATCTTGCATGGACGAAGCAGACTGTACACGAGGGAAAAAACCAGGAGGTGGGGGAGGCATTTGGGGTTGCATGAACGCGGATATAGGAGGGTATGGTGAGACACCGGGCGGGAAGCTGGGAGGGGAAGTATGTCCAAATGCTGAATGTTGGTGGGGATAAGATGGCGGAAAAGGCGGGGGACCAGGGACAGAATTAACAAACGGAGGAGGAGGTAGGGGCGGCGGGAGATGCGGAGCGCCGCTGAAGGGAATGTTTGGCGGCAATGGTGGTTCTATGAGATTAACCTGAGAATTTAACGTACATTAAACGAAGGAAGGGACGAACCTTGAAGAGTGCTTGGTGGAGGTCCTTCTGGCATCGGAATGTCATCATCGCTATCAACTATGTCATCGTTGTTGCCAGTTGGAGGAGGACCTTCAGGCATAACGATGTCGTCATCTAGACAATGGAAAAGGTGATGTTAAGCAAAAGAACGATATGAAGTAAATTATTTTGCTAACCACCATCAACCTCGTCATCACTGGCTGTCTCGTCAGGCCTCAGAGCTACAATAAGAACATCAGAATTAGTTTACACCGTGTATTATTAGGGTTGACTTACGTCTCTCCATGTAAGGCATTCCTGGAGGGGGTACTCCATAGGGATTCATGATAGCATCATAGTAGATGCTTCGTTCAGGATGTCGAGGTAAGCCATGTTTATTGAAAACATTTCTTTTCTGCTCGGCAACCGGTTCCTCTTTGTTGACCTCATCCTTGTCTCTACGAACTCGGTAGACAAGTTTACGTTGTTCAGGATGCTCTTGGACGTATTCCTCTTTCTTAGCCATGATTTTGTTTAGCTCTGCCTTGAGTTCTGCCAGGCGATATTTCTCTGCGCCGGAGGGCTCTGCCAATCCCTCAAGCTTCTCGATTTCATCTTGTAGATCTTACAAAGTAACAGTGAGTCGAATGCTATAGTAGATGAGAGGGTGAACCAACCTCTTGTGTCCTTCTTGACTAGAGCAAAGTCGCGAGCTTTGGACCTCCCTGCCTTGTTCTACTGCAGTGACAACAATTCCAAAATGTGTTGAGTCCAGACATGATCATCGAAGGGTGCATGCTTGCCTTTTTAAGTTCTTTCTTTCGTTGAGCCTTTCCTGAGGGTAGTGCCATTCACTATGAGGCCTGCATGTAGTACATTAGGAGACTCACTGAATGCATCCGCTGGGTTCAGATTTTTTCCTTTTGCCATGGCGGCGTCGGTTCTGGACCCTGGTGACTGCAACAGCTTAGTCCTCGCTTGCAAACGGTACCGACACGTGACTCGGATAAGCAGTTTCGGGAGTCATACGGGTCTGACAGATTTCATTCATTGATCGTGGTGGTCTCTATCCCACTTGTAGGGAAGAACCCCACGAGATCCACCAATTCTACTCAGTAAACCGACGTTTGTTTCTGCCAGTTTTGTTCAATGACGTCGCAGCTGAGAGCACAGGCGACAGCCCCGAAGCGACCACCGAAGATGGCCTCAAATCAGTCCCTGAACCATCTCTTGAACTTCACACTTCCTCCTAGACAGATTCAACCTCAGATTGTGCCTAGGAGGAGTAAGAAAGCTGTTCATTCAGCCGTGTGGAACAAGGAAAGTGAGTATCGTCTTCTGTATTGGTCATGCTACTTCTTACAGTGTCACAGGGTTCGTGAATGCGCAGTACCGGTTTGTTATGAATCCAAGCGGGGACTATACAGTCCACTTTGCAGATCCAGACATGTAAGGTTTACAAAATGTACCTGGACCGCTCACACCTCACTGTTGAACTCAGCTTTTTCCAATGGCATGATATATTGCAGGTCATTATTCCACGGTCCTCGGCTTTAGCGTCCGCTACTGTTGTCGGTGGGGAGCGTGCTGTACAGGAGGAGGGGGTCAAGACATGTCCTATCTGTTTATCCCCTCCGACTGCTCCACGAATGACAAAATGCGGGCATGTCAGTAATGTCTTCTACTACATACCAACGACTGAAGATCATTTCCCAGGTGTATTGTTTTCCTTGCATCTTACATTACTTGAGCATGTCGGAAAAACTCAAATGGGCCCGATGTCCGGTCTGCTTCGACACACTCAACGAGAAACAGCTGAAAAGCGTCAAGTGGTATGATGGACCTCAGTTCCAAGAGGACGAGCCTGTTTTTGCCAGTGGCTCCTCGTGTGCCACAGAGCTTTTGGACCATTATGCGACTCCTCGAGCTGGATCCACAATGCGGATGCGACTGATGCAACGTCCTCAGATGACAACCCTTGCATTACCACGCTCATACACTTGGCCATCGGACCTAATTCCACCTCATCAGGCTCCTTTTCACTTTCTTCCCGATGTGTACGACTATGCCAAGTTCATGCTTGCCACTCCTGAATATCTGATCGCCGATCTCTCCAACGATTTGGATGTGCTCGCCGTAGAACGCCGGATGATGGCCAGCATGCAAGATGGACTCAGTATTTCGTTTATTGATGCAGCTGATCAGAAGATTCGTCATCAGATTGCCAAAGCTACTGCTTTAGAATCGCCACAGCTCAAGGAAGCCATCGACAGAACTCGCAAGGATTACGACGACATCACACGACGTCACAACCTTGAATGGGCGCGAAAGCTTGCTGGGGAGATGAAAGGAGCTGCACTCCCCGAGGCACCAGAAGAATTTCTCGCCACAGGTTCGAGCTCTGGGATTTTCGTATCTTCGCACACTCCTATGTTGATCCCTGCCACTCCCGAGTCGACACAAGCACGAGCATCCGTTCCAACTGCCCATGCCAATACTTCTAATAATCGTAGTCACAGACAGCGCCGTAACATTAACCCTCCTCCCCCATCTACGCAGACCTACTACTACTACCAGGCAGCGTCTGGCCTGCCCATCTATTTACATCCTCTCGACATCAAGATCCTCTTCTCGCACTTCAACAGCTATGCTTCATTCCCAGACACAATTACAGTCTGTGTAGAATCTGCTACTGAAGGTACTGTCAACGACGACCTGCGCAAGAGGTGCAAGTACCTTGCACATACACCAGAGGGTGCAGATGTTGTTTTCATCGAGGCAGACTTGGAGGGAGTTGTGGATCAGGAGGGCCTCAAGAATTTTGAAGGGGCGATTAAACTCCGTAGGTCAAGGAGGAAGGAGAAAGGTAGGAAGGACGACCGCGCACGCGCGCGAGCGGAGGAACGTGAAAGAGAGAAGGTTATTACGCCGTGGACGGAGTCTGTGTTTTCCGTGCCTCTCGATCCCGTTCTTCATGCTGTGGAAGTTGAGGGGATCGCAAATCATGAGTCCCCCACCCCCCAGATTAGCGGTGCTTGGGGTTCGAGGAGCTTTGCGTCTGCTGCCCACTCTGCATCAGGCGCAGATCTCAGACATCCGAACACAAACAATCGCAATACGAGTCAAGAGATTGGGGACGAGTGGGAATTAGACGCAGCTTGGCACGAACTTGAGCAGCGAAGCACAGGCGGACAAGGGAACAAGAAGAAGAAGGGAAATAAACTTGTCGTTATGGGCAGCGGAGTGGGGGGACGAAGGCGATAGAATTTCTACTGGAACGGTTAAGTCATGATCTATTATCTTCTTTGTAACAACAGCAGCGTCACTTATTTTAATTGTTAAAACGACCCAATGATTATTTACAGGGACCCTAGTCAGCCTTTGCGATGCTTCGTTGAGAATTTGCAAGGATGCACATGTATGGTAAGATTTGTATTCAATCCTATGTGTGTGCATCAGGAAAACCCTCCCGGGGAAAAAATGTTATAATTTTCGCTAAAAGTTCTAATTCAGATAATTCTATCTAATTACAAGAATTAGGAATAAAATTGCTAGAAGACGATAATGTGGGATGCAAATATCACAAAATGTCAAGAATTACTTGAATATACAAAAAGTGTATCTATCTAAATACGAATTCAACCAAAAATCGTTACAATCATCCAGAACCGTATCACTCGTCCATTCTTGTGGGACGACAGCACCAAAACTTGGTATCAGATGGACACTACGCACAATGTTTGCCAATGGCACAATACTTGCCAATTTTTCACCACCACAGAACGATCACGAGAGCTCATAAAGTCCATGGCGTCGATCGGGAGCTGAAGAGAATGGTGTAAACCACTCGATGTAAGCTAAGTGTTTGGGTACCTGGACTGTTGGCGGCAAAAGGAGTGGAAGTGACTTTGGTGGTAATGCAAAAATGACTCGTACTTGGCCAACGCGGAAACCTAGACTCAGTCGATGGTGAGTAATTCGTAATGTAAATAGTGGTGGTGAAACATACCTTGTATACCAGCGCTAACAATATCAGTATTCGGACCGAGACTCACAAGAGCTGTATCTGACCGACGAGCCAATGGAGAAGAACCTGAGCTCTGCTGTGGTCTGGCATGCACAGAGTCCAATGTGACTGTTGCGTCGCCATGATCACAAGTATCCACCGAGAGCCACTTAATCTTGTGGAAAACTGGAAGACTTCGGAATGGGAGATGGACATCGTGTGCCAACACATCCAGTGTTTGACTAGAGAGGCACGGATCATTAGTGTGGCTGAGTTGTGTGATATAGCGTGCAAGTGCTTCGTGGAAATAAGTAGTGCCGTAGTCTTCAATCAGCTTGTCTATATTGACGGCCTTTGCACTAGGGTGCTTTGTCATCGTCTGAAGCCGACGGAAAGTCATATCAGGAGGACGTGAGTGGTAGGGCTCGGACTCGTGATTGCCAGCAAGTCGCCAGTTGATGTACTTCTCATAGCGCAGAACCTTCTCCTTTCGTTCGAGCCAGCGTGTCATCTGCAAAAATTCATCTTTATGATTTGTAGCGCGGTAAGCGTCCTTTGCATAATCAATATGAAGTCGTTCGGTGTACTCTGTATTATAATTATCCGTCGTCCCCAACATCATTATCATGAGAGTGTAGTGGCGCGTTGCGTGCAGTTTTGGTAGATTGAAATTGTTTCGGATACCCAGCTCGACGAAAATGTCCTTATTGTCGTGAAAAAGATCGAGCACGTCGTCCAGCAGCTGCAGGGTCTCTGAGCTATGACAAGGATATTGTGCAAGATAGAGGAAATCGAGTAGACCCCGCACTGCTCATAGAAGTCGACCTGCATTTAGATTATTGGGCAATCGGATACCAATCACGATACCAAGGAGAAAGCGGCAGATTTGTGCATGTTCAGCACCGCTTATACGTGACAGGCTAGTGATGCCCTTCCTGAACAGATGGATATTATGGTTGGGAGGAAGACGCCGACAATGAGCATCTATTTCAGCAGCTCCACAAGCAGCCGACAACCATCCTAAGAGGTGCTTAATCAAGCCTTGATATAGTTGGTGTAATACGTCTGGTGTGATCGCACGGAAAATGTTGGTGAACGGGAGATCTTCCCAGAAAGGATGGACAATGGGCTTGATGCCTGCTACCGAGCAAGCGCGAACGAAAGATAAATTCCCTTCATTGAGAGTAGCAAGGGCATCTAGTACCTCGCTCAGTTTCTGTAAATGAAATGGTGCAGTATTGCTACCCATTTCAGCAGCATCGACATTGCATTTCGGACACTCTCCAAACTTGATTCCGGTAGCAAGGAGCTGCTCTGGGTAGTCACCAACAAAGCTAGCAAATAATAGATGGCAACGGCGGAGAGCGCCATCCCCACTAGCCATACAAAGTCCATCAAGACCAACTGACTTTAGCGGAGCGAGAACACGGCTCAAACACGCATGATATAGGTTTGCCAGAGTTTGGCGACGCGATGCTTTGTTGGTGATGTGTTCAAGTCGTGTACACGGCAAATATGCCAGGAGTATATGTGCGCCACGTGATGGTTTGCGTCGGATTTCTTTAGGGATGTTGCCAATGGTGAACCGTGAGATAGACGGGATAGACAGACTTGTTGCGGAACAAGGTCACTTGCGTTTTGTCGGACGAGATGATGATGGGAATGATGGTACCACCTGGACTGTGCTGATCCAGTTTTTTCTAAAGTATTGTAAGTAGATATCGCATAGTCATAATCAGCCCTCTGTACCTGTGTATCCCACCACCATTTTCCTGTGTGCATATCATGAAAGAGACGAACCGTTTTATCCTTGTCGGAATAATGCCGCTCGGGGGCAAATGCAAGATATCTTGCAAAATCAGGATCACCATACAGTGACCTGACACATTCGACCACATCGCGATAATATACGTCAAAGGCTTCACCAGCGACGACGATCTGCTCTCGCTTGAACTTTGGACGGCTACTCGGAAGCTCATGGTCGACAAGTGCGTTCAACTCATTCGCATTCTTGAAGGAGAGTGACAAGCGTTCGCTGACCTGTGATGTTCACTGTTAATTAAGACTTCATAAAACAAATAATAACCTTACCCCCTCGATTGCGAGCAAGTCTGAAAAAGCTGTCGAACTGACTCCGCGAAGTTTCGCCCATCTGGCGACCTCCCAATCCATCTTAGAAGTGAAAGGATGGTACAAATTTTCCTGCTCCGCATTGGCAAAATGAGCCCCGTAATCCACGTTTGCAGCATGATGGTTGGCTCGATTAGCTATTTGTTCACCAGCACGTGGATCTGGGTAAGGCATGACCACGCAGCCCTTGTGCACGTGCTTGAATATCCTGGTGAGTATTGTATTGATCTTCGGCCAGGTCTTCTTCGGCCAAGTCTTGACCGGGGTCGTCCATGCTACTGTCAACTGCTTCGACCGGAGGCTCCCATTCAGGTTCGGCATTCAACCCATCGTCTGACGCATCATCATCTGCATTGTCGTCACCACTAGTTTGCTCCCACACAAACTCCGGATCATCAGCCCGTGCAAACTCCAAGTCATCCTCACCATATCCTCCATCAGTATCAGGTTCATAGTAAGGATCATTGGCGTGTATTTGAGAGTGTGACTGACGGTACAGTGCTTGACAATGTGGGTTGCGGCTCTTTGCAAGATGCTGACTGAGACCCGTAACCGTAAGATTATCACGGGAACAAGCAGGGCATTGTGTGGACATGACTTCCTCCCGAATTCTGGTAGGAGTGAGCTGAGAGGACGAAAGGCGAAAACTTCCTCACGAATCGGTTGCTAACGCTGGAAACTTCCTCCCGAATTCTTGTGGAGGGAATGGGAGTGGCGAAAGGCGAAAACTTCCTCCCGAATTCTTGTGGAGGGAATGGCAGGTGGTTCCTAGCGCTGGAAAGCGAAAACTTCCTCCCGAATACTCGTGGCAGGTGGTTCCGTGACGACAGATGAAGAAAAATTCCTCCCGAATACTCGTGGCAGGTGGTTCCTAGGCGCCAAAAAGCGCAAACTTCCTCCCGAATTCTTGTGGAGGGAATGGGAGTGACGAAAGGCGCAAACTTCCTCCCGAATTGGTTGCTAACGCTGGAAACTTCCTCCCAAATTGTTGTGGAGGGAATGGGAGTGATGAAAGGCGCAAACTTCCTCCTGAATTCTCGTGGAGGGAATGGGAGTGACGAACTTGAAGCGCGAACTGCCTGGTCTGAGGTAAGTGTTAAATTAAACCCACGGCTTCACTCGGCGAAATACTCACCAAAGTTAAGGGCTCCATGTGGGCCCGTTACTAAGTTGGACTGCCTCTGATGCCCCCTGGAATGCAATAAAAATTCAGCAGCGCCCTCAAACTTTTCATTTTCCTCCCCACTCTTTCGTGTCACCATTCCCTCTAACATTATTTGTTAGCTTCCTGTCCTTTCAATCAAGTATACCATGTCCGCACCTGTTAATTCCCGCGAGCTGCGAAATGCGAAGAAAAAAGCTATAGAAAATGCTGGTAAGCAAGCGTCTTCAATTTGAATGAGAAAAATTTCACCTACAAGCGAGTTCAGTTTGGTTGCCTAAGCCAACAAAGAAAGCTCGCCAAGCACCTCAAGCACCCTCTGGTCTGGAATGCCCAGCGAAGAAGATCAGCAGCCTGAGTACCAACAGTGAATTTTTCAACGCCTACATAAACCAAATAGTACTCACCTTTGATCAGAGGATGTGCTGCGCACAAAAGCAAATGGACCGTGATCTGCGAAACTGAGTACATCAATGAATCTATAGTACGAAACATAGAAATTAGTACTGACTTGAATGACAGAACATCAGCGCTCATTGACCAACTCGGAGGAAGAGGAGGAGGATGGGGGTCACTTCAAGTCTAGTGGCAGTGAGACGGACTTGGAACCTGTAAAATCAAAGCCTCGAGGTTAGTTATAAGCTAAGTATCGCAAAAGGAAGTCTTACTCATGGCATAGGTGCACAGGCTTGTATCGACCTAACAAACTCCGTCGCACATATGCCATGCAAGATGTCTCCGTATTAGTTGATACTGACGAGCTCGACTCCGATGGTGATCAAGTGGACCATCCTGTCATGGCGAATGGTGGTGATACGGATGAGGAGAGTGAGCACGATGAACCAGAGACTACCGCCATGATGCTTGCTGATGAGGTAAGTGATAATAGTTTACTTAAGCAGTGACTCACGCTGTCACAATGACACAAGATCCCTTCGCTAGTCACTGACAGCATGAAGCCCAAGCGGGTTGTTCAAACGCACGGCAAATCACAGTCTGCCCGGGATCAAAAACACGCTGCGGAGGTGAGTCTGTTCTTATTCAAAAATGCACTGTCTAGACTTGACACAATCTACTAGATTCCTACCTGGCGCGATGTCGACAATGCTGTTTCAGAGTCCGAGGAAACTACTACTGCGGGCAGCGAACCCTCGGAACCTTACTCCAGTGAATTCGATGGTCCCAAAAAACTGACCTCTGCAACTCATTCAGCTCAGACAATGGCTGCTCTCATTCGAACAGAGAAGGGGAACATTAAATTACTCAACCAGAACCACCAGACTCAGCGAGTAGTCCGGAATGCGATTCTTGACGCCAAGTGTCACGTTATCTTTGTCAACGCTTACCCAGAACTTGTCGACAAAAACCAGATCTCGCTACAATCTTTACTAACTGTGGCCCAGAATCTTGATGTACCCGCCATCAAACAACATCTTCAGACAGATGCACAGTATGCCGCTCACCTCAGTAGCTTAGTAAGTCCTTTGCATGTCTCAAATATTCTGTTTTTTTCAACTATTTTTCATTACTCGAGGTTGAGCCGCGCATTCCGTTATTGCGCCGTGACTTGAAAATCACTGCATGTGCCAATATTGATGGCTACTTTCGTCTCGGCCAGAACATAGTCAAGGCCAGAAAGCTTATGGAGCAGCATGCATATGTGTATGCTTTGAAGTTCGATGTGAGTCCCATCCTTGTCCGTTCCACTGCTGCTCCTTCGCTTCGCACTCAGGAGCAGGTTTCTTTATCATATTCCCTTCTACATATCACCACCACTCCTTCGCTTCGGTCTAACCAACATCCCTCTTCCACAGACCGATGATGATGCTTCGCCCATCAGAAAAAAACCCTACCAGGGTGACCTACTCATTTTTCTACTATATGACGGAGTCTTTGATGGTGCGAAGTCCATCGGCGTCAAGTATGCGGGGCGCTTTGGTGAAATAGCGAGTAACAAGGGTAATCGCCCCAAAATACCAATTCCTTTGTTGGCACTCGTGGCGACAGCAGTAATGTTCTTCTTGCTAGGTCTTCGTGCTGCACTAACTCATTTTCAAGGTCTATGCAGCCCTTTTCTGGAAGACGCTTGGTTCCCCAGGGAAATTCAACTTTACAGGTAATCAATTCAGTGAAACTTATGTTTTTCACGTCAAGTTCCTCGAGAAGTTGAAGAAGGACGCTCCTGCGAAGTTTCACTGCATGATGGCTGATATTTACGAAGCCATACAGTACGTTTCGCTAGTGTACATGGTGTTGTTTTGACTCAGATACTGACACTACTGGAAGGGCCTTGAAACGCAAGGGCAACGATCATCTGGCCAGTGAACATCAAGATGCGCTCGCGCTACTCGACCTCGATGGGATGGCTGAAGATTAGTGGGTCGTTCATGATGGCGCTGATACATATCGCAGATTCGTTGTTCCTTGGTTCACTCTCCATACCCATAGATATTGCAGATTCATTGTTCACTCGTTCTCTCCATACCCATGAATATTGCAGATTCATTGTCCAGCTCCTTTTTGTGTACCGCAGTCGTGGTGATTTTCATACACATCATTTAATCAAATATTAGTCTTTTTTCTGGTAACATTGTCCGATGTGCGTGATTTGCGAACCAGAATTCAACAAATACTTTCTGCAATTCACAATGTTTTCGCGTGAAATATCATCAAATTTTTGATAATTATAATTCACGGAGAAGGAGGTAAAAAAGTCTGTCTAGCCTGCATAATTCTTCTAATTTTCCTAAAGCCCCTAATTTGAGGTAATAATCGAAAATTATCACAATTTAGTGAAATTATAACATTTTTTCCCCGGGAGGGTTTTCCTGATGTGCGCCGCAGTGTATCTGTACAAGTCTAAAATTTGGCAAGCCGCAGGCTCAGCGAATCTATCCAAGGGACTCTCCTAAAAGAGGTGCTTTCCTAGAGAATATAAATCATCAAACTCTGTTATGATGCTGTCCGGAAGCACATGATGCACAATTTTTTTTGTCATTGGCTCGAAAAATGCAGCTGCTGACAAGCTTTTGTCAGTAATGTGTAGGAAGAACCTCTTGTGAGTGGTTCTCTGAACCACTGGCAGTGTCACAACCCAATAAACGAATTAATGCTGGGCAGAGACTAGGACTCGAACAAAAGATAATCACAACAAGAGGAGGCAGCAGGTATGTCTTGGATTGCTCACTTGGAGATACAAGAGGTTTGAACTAAAGAACTATTGACTACAACTGTCTACCTATATACACATATTGAAAACTGAGATTGGAACTGAGTATGAACTAACTAACCAATCAGAATAATTAAAGGTATTGTACAATTCTATATATAGCTATGATATCATAACATGTGTTGCAGCCGCAGTAAGACTCTGGAACATTCCAAAAGGGTCACGTGGTGTGAGATCATCCTGTTCGGTATCTTCCGAAAGGTCACGTGACTTTGGTAACTCTATAATAGATGCAGCCGTGGGGATCTCTTCAACCATAAATACATTCTTAGGAACAGGCGCTGTGACTGGGCGCTTAAAGGACTTAGAATTTAGGAACATATAATGGTTTGTATTTGGAACTTGTGACATTACCCCCTCTCTAGGTTGAGCGTCATCGCGAAAGACATTTGGGCGGATAAATTTTCGACGCCACTCCAAGAATTCTTGTGTTTTAAACACCGATTTGTTAATTCTGCAGGGATTTAATGCCTTCAGATTTTGCCGGTGGAATTATTGAACTTTCAGCCATGCATTCTCTAGGTTTTCCTCAGGTTCCCATGTCGCTTCTTCTATTGGATATCCTTCCCACTCTACTAGGTATTGGAGTTTTGATCTGTGCAGTCTCGAGTCTAGGACTTTTCATACTGTCCATTCAGAATCGCCTTCTGATACAATCTCTGGTGGTGGACGATGATGTGGAGGTTTTTGGATTAAGGTCGAGGGGGAATGCGGAGTGAGTAATTCTACGTGAAATACTGGATGAATCTGATATTTTGCTGGAAGTTTCAGATGGTAATTTACATCACCCATCTTTTCCAATACTTCGAACGGACCAAGTCTTTGGTCAGAGAGTTTCTTATTTGGTCTTTTCTGATGGATGTTCTTGGCATTGAGCCAGACCATGTCTCCTTTCTTAAACTGTGGTGCGTCTTTTACTCCTTTATCGTAAAATCTCTTCATCCACTCATTAGCCATGCGTAGCATGCTTTCCGCATCTTCTTTTGCCTCTTTCATTACATCCACTTGTTCATCAGCTGCAGGTACTTTAGAATTGGAAATCAGTGAAAAAGTAAACTCGGGGTTGTATCTGTAGAGTACTTTGAATGGACTATGACCGGTTACAGTCACAGAGTTATTGTGAGCAAATTCTGCTATTGGAAGCCAGTCTACCCAATCATTTTGGCGGTAAGACATGAATATTCTCAGATATTGCTCTACTTCTTGATTTATTCTTTCTGTTTGTCTGTCTGTTTGAGGATGATAAGCCATTGACATGTTCCATTTTATGCCTAGGTGTTTCGACACTTGTCCCATAAACTTAGAGATGAATTGTGTCCCTCTGTCCGATATCACCTGTTTCAGAGTTCCATGGTGTTTCCATACATTATCTAAGAAAAGTTTCGCGATTCCTCGAGTGTCAACTTCCTTTTTTGTGGGTATGATGTGTGCTTGTTTCGTATATCAATCAACGACAACAAAAATAGAATTGAATCCTTCGCTTTTAGGCAAATCTACTATCAAGTCACAAGTGACTGATTGCCAAGGTCCTGCTGGTATTTCATTTGGTTTAAGCAGACCATGTGGTTGTGTTGGATGAATTTTCGTTGCTCTGCATCTATCACAGCCATTCACGTAATTGTGGACATACTTCGTCATTGAAGGCCACCAATAATTTCTGGAAATCAATTCTAAGGTTTTGGCTCGTCCTGGATGTCCAGCCGGTGGAGAGTCGTGAAACAACTCCAATATCTCTTGGTGGATCTCTTTGTCGTTTGGAACATAAACCACCAATCCATCCTCAGCATTTCATTCTTCAATCCCTCTGCGTAGTTGTACTAGTGCTGCTTTTAACGTTTCCAATGCTTTAGCGACTTCAGGTTCTTGTTCTGTGCATTGCCTTACCTTTCTCAGCAGTTGTTTTTCTCCTTGCACCAAAACTTGACCTCTTTTAGCAGCTTTTACAGTGAAAAACTCCGGTTTTAACAAAACACAATCAGAATTGTTGTTTGCTACCCCCTCTCTGTGGTCTTCTCTCCGAGATAGACAGTCTGCCTTATCGTTAACTACACCAGGCTTATGTTGGAGCGTAAATTCATACTCCACCAGGAACAAACTCCATCTGGCTTGCCTTCTTGTCAATTTTTGGCTCGTCATAAAGTACTCGAGATTCTTGTGATCCATCCAGATCTCCACATGATGAGGTTTTCCCTGCACATAGTGCCTCCATTCCTCCAATGCTCGAATGATTGCCAATAACTCTTTATTGTCAATGTCATAATTTCTTTCTGCATCATTCATCAATTTCGAGTAATAGGCTACGGGATGCCACATATCATCTTCCATCAGTTGAGATAGAACCGCTCCACTTGCGTAATTGGAAGCATCGGTTTCTATTTTCATTCTTTTCTCAACATCTGGCATAACTAGAATCGGAGCCGATGTGAACCTTGACTTCAGTTCATCGAAAGCACCTTGCTGTTTCTCCATCCAGTCCCATTTGACATCTTTCCATAATAGATCATTCATTGGTCTAGCAATGTCTCAGAACCCAAAGATAAATCTTCTGTAGAAGTTGGCGAAGCCCATAAACACTTGTATGTCTTTAATGCATTTGGGAACTGGCCAGTTCATTACTCCTTCTACTTTTACAGGGTCCATCCAAACACCGCCTTTTTCCACTATCAACCCGAGGAACTCGACTTCTGACTGTTTGAAGCTGCACTTTTCAGGCTTCAGATACAAGTCATTTTCTTTTAGTCATTTCAGTACTGTGCCTAAATAGGAAACGGGTCACTTAACCTTAATTTACGATTTCCAGTGCGAGCATGGAGTATTGTGATGGAAAAAGTATATGGAATGAAAGAAAACAATTCTGGCTATCATAGTTATGTGTTGTTAGAATTTTAGGAAAGTGTTATGAAGATCCATGAATATTTTGCCAGAGCATCTCAATTTTGGTCAAAACCAGTGTAACAGGTCAGCCGCCGGCAAACTCCGGTACCCGAAATGGCAACTGGTGCGCATCAAGGCTTTGCACATGCATGACGAGTGCTCTGCCGCACAGGCTGCTGTTTATCAACAATCGCAAAGTCTGCATTGACTGCAGCTGCAGCATGATTATCATCCTCACCATCAAGGACACTTATTTGAACATCCATTGGACTTTGGACCAGGACCACATTAGAGTGTAAATAAGCCAATGGGTTGTTCACCTGGCGCAGGATGGGTTGAGGACGAGGGTGGGGACACATATTTGAAGGCTGAAGAGGTTCAAGAATGTTATCATTGATGAGGTTGAGATTTTCTGAGCCATGATGAGGTGAGTCTTCATTTTCACTTTGCATAATTTGTTGACAGATGGTTTTTGATGCTCTCTCCAACTGCTCACGTTCTTTCTCTGCTTGCATGGCAATTTTGTGGTCGCATGCAACACATTTCTTCACCTCTGCATCTGCTCGTTTTGCTGCTGCTGCGGAACACTTTGCTTCGACTGCAGCTTTCTTTGCAGCTGCTTCTTTGGCCTTGCGAGCCAACACCAGCTCCCGCTTAGCTGCCTTTTGAGCATCTGCAATTTGCTTTGCAGCAAGTGTCACCACATTTTTGATGGCCTTTGCAGCCTCCTTTGCAGCTGCACGTTGGTGACGCTCCTCTCTCCATCATAAGTCTTCTTCAGCCTTTTCATGATCTCGTATTACCTGCTGAATTCCTCTGAACTTTCTCGCAGCCTCGGTGTGAACAACCTTGATGTTTGCAGTCCATTCAGCTTTTGCGAGGGCATTGAGCATCTCATCACAGGTCATGTGGCGAGAGCCCGAGCCACCTTCCCTCCGTAGGCCGTTCTGCTTCTGTCCAAACAACTGCTGTCGCAACCATCCATTTCAGCTTCCATCAACTTCTTCATGGCATAGTCGGCCTCCATCTGCTGTTTTTCCTTCTCTGCCCAATCACAGAGTGCATAATAGCCAACAATGTAAGCTTTACAGGATGTGTTCCGGGGCAAAAGGGGTGGAAAGTCAACAAGGCGATATGATACTGCTTTGCTGCTGTTGCTGGGTGGAACACTACTGACGAGAGTTTGTGTTGCACTGGTAGGTTCATTATGCAATGTTTCAGCTGTTGCTAATGATGTTGGAGCTTCACTTCCTGTTTTGTCGGAATCGGTAACATGATCTGAGTCAGTCTCGGCTGCAACCTCCAAGAGTGTAGGTAGTGTGGCTGGTACAGGTTGTGCTGGCTGTGTCGTAGTGTTAAGTGTGGGAGCATATGCAGCATCCTTGATGATCTTGGGGTCTAGTGGATGGATGCCTGTGTTGCGGAATGCTGCCTGAATGGTGGATGGAGTAAATGCTCGTTGGCGAGCTTTGTGGTAGAATTCAGGAAAATTGCCTTTTGTAATGCTAATGCCTGCTTCGCTTGCCCTGTTCACCTCTGACTTCCAGCTCAATGCCAACGGCCCAAAAACACCAACATCACAAGGTTGAAGATGATGTGTTGTGTGTGATGGCAAGCAAAGTAGGACGATATGGTGATCATGACAAAATTTCACAAACTTGAATGTGCAGTGCGAGTTATGGCCATCGAGGATGAGCAGCCTCCAACCGCTTGATAGATTATGGGCTGCACTGGCAGGATCGAAGTCGTTCTGCAACCACTTGAGTCCAAGCTCATTGCCGGTCCACCCGTTTGGAGAAACTGAAATAC